TGAGCTACTTAACTTTCGGTGCCTACGTTATGTATGGGGGAGATATTGATCCAGGGCATCAAATAAAAAACTCCTGGATTGAGGCCATTGGAGTTTGAAGGAAAGAGATTGATTCATGGAGAGCGATCTGGGATATTTTTTTTATGAAGTAAATCAGTCAGAGCTACTACTACTAGTTAATGGGGGCAGTACCAGTAAATGTCAGACTTTGGAACCACGCACATGGCATGAGTAAGTGCGGGCGGCAAACGCCAAGAATGTGGTGGACGGACGAATCGCAAGGCGAGGTTAGTCCGAGTAAGGCTGCTAGTGAGTCTGTTAGTCGTAAAGCTACAGCTGCTTTTGCTAATTAGCACGACTAAATTCGGACTAATAGCTCTGCCGATCGCTCCCGGATCGAGATAATCAGTAAACTACCTCAAATGGGAAAGGTGAGGGTTTTGATAAGGGCTGTGTAGCTCGAAAATAGATTATCTCTGGAGATAGGGACCCAAGCGCAGGGTGGAATAATTGGTGAAATCCCACACGTGTGGTTTTGGGGGGTGTGGGAACCAACCTTGCCAGCAAAAAGCAAGGTGAATGAAGAGCGAAGGAGGATCGGCAGCAGGGTGATATCATTGAAGTCAGCCGCCAGTCACGGGACTGCGCATGCTGGTCGCGTCTTTGGGGTTCGGTTCCAAGGTTCCGTTTGTTTACCAGACCGCGATCCATGGACAACATATTACCTTATCTGTAGGTTTTGTATATGCAAGCAAGTAGTGCTGACGTCTAGACACGGCATAGACTTTCTGAAACAAAAGTCATGACATCGGGCGCGGGGACAAGGAAGACAAAAGCTGGAAGATGCAAGGCATCCTTTCTTCCTGTCTCTTTTCCCCCACCTCATGTGACATCACCATCCTACCCACTTTTTTTTTTTTTTTTCTTTTGAAGGCGAGCAATATTTAGTAACAACTTAGTTGCAAGGACGTATTTCCGTACACAATGGATAAAGACCGAGTAAAGTTGCAGGGAGACAAGGTAGCACGAGCGCTAAAAGCGCCCCGACGGGCCAATGAAATAGACTAAGGCAGGGTTAACCCCGCAGAGGGACTCGGGCCAAGGCTCCAAGGCTCTGACGCGACGGCCAGACCGAAACAACTGGTGAGGTGACGATGATGCCTTAGTCGGGACCTCGGAGTTGTCTGGATTGGTCGTCAGACTGCAATCAATGCAATGCGCAGCACTTGGTCTTGTCACGGCGGCTACGGTGGATGATGGATCCCAACCCTGGTCTTCTCACTCGTTACCAACTCTCCCACCCTAAAGATCGGAGGGCCCGAGATACGATGATAGTCACCACTAGTTCCTCCGTGCTTGCCGACCGCGAGAGCTCAGCTGAAATGTCAAGCGACGCCTAAAAGCTTACAAATGTCGCGATCGGGCCAATGCGCAAATGCGATCGCACAAACTAAGAAATTTAGTTGGAGTCTTGTCGCGAAATCAATATTATTGTCATTGGGTCCATCGCGATCCAAGCGACCCTATGAGCCTCAAGATAATGGCCGATTTCCGACTCACGGTGTAACATTCGCTCAAGTCGGGTCCTCTCTGCTCCGCGCCCGCTCCGACATGGACCGGGATAAACATTGGCGCCAACCGGTGTCTCAAGAGGTGAGGGGCTGCGGCGTAATGGGGTAGCAGTCCATTGCGAGGCTCAAAGCAGGCAAGGTGACAATCATTTGTTTGACGTCCCCCGTTTGTGGCGGTGTAGGAGCTAGGAGTTAGTTAGATTATTAGATAGTTCAAGCGCCATAGTTAGTTGGCTGTGGCAGCGTCTTCAACCGGCCGATAGGGATCATTCCGTGCGCAGCGGCGGATTGTTCAGCACGTGTGGGCTCTAGACCGATAATGCACGATCGAGGAAAGCCGATCCATCAGGGCGGGGACCTCAAGAAACCTTGAGCATAGCCCATAATAAAATGAACTGATTTGATTAGCAGGTGTCATTGGTGACGTCGTCAACTGGGGGGGGGGGACTAGTCGCGATATGTTCCCCACATACGCCGCTGGGGGAAGGTCAGCAGAGGAAAAAGAAAGTCAAAAGGGCCCAGGAAAAAAGGCAATTCCTTTGACAAATCGCATCAACTGACAATTAGGAATCAATAGCAACATTCGTAAGGTAACTTGCGGTATGCGGGAACGACAAGAATAGGAACCGTTCAAGGAAGGCTCTAGTAGGAAGGGATGAAGATATCCCTTGGCAAGACTAGCAAGAATGCTGAAGCCGCCCCCAATCGAGACTATAGTGATCCTGAGTACAGTTACTCCGCAAGTAAGGACACACTATATCTTCTAATGTATGGCGAACACACTGCGGGGAGGACTGTGCTCCTGGAGATTGATTGATATCCCTCGTGTTAAGATATCACTTCGTTGAGAGCTACAGTCGCCCTCCCTCCTCTTCGGGTAAGAGAATCATACGAACCGACGATCCGTTACCATGCCCGAGGCTCCAATAGTACTGCACGATTGGTATGTAGATCCCAAGATATCCTCAGAGTCATCTGCAAGTCAAGATATCTTCAATGGATATCACTGCTATATGTGGCGATTTCCTTGGCATGCTGGACGGGAGGAGGTTTGTAAAGGCATCCATCTCGCTGTATTTCGGTTGTGCTCTGGAAATAATGGAGATGTTACTTCCATTGTCCTCTGTACGGTCTTCGTCCCCACAGGCCCTATAGCGAGAAGTCGATGTAGGGTGTATGCATATAATGTTTGATGGGGAACTAGTTAGCTCGGAGATTTACGTCCCAGGAGCTGTAGGAGTACAGTATTAACCATACTATTGGATTGACTACTGAGAAGCTACAGGACCTTCACAACTGACAGCTTACCAGTTTGGGGAAATCCAATCTGACCTGGAACTTCCGTTCCTGAGACGCAGACTCCGGACAAGCTCTTTTTTCCGACTGAGTGGAGCGAGTGGAGATTTTATTAGATTCGATCTGTCTTTTTTGGGATTTCTTTGGGAACTGAAATTACTGGGACCCTAAAAAAAGAGAGAAGAAAAATGGACCGGCACAAACGGATAGACTAAGATAAATTTTACTATGGGCCTATTACCTTTTTTTTTCGTTTTCTTTTTCTTTTATATTTGCTCTCATTTTTAATATCGAACCGTTCGTAACCCTTTTCTCCGACTAAGACGGAAACTTAATGGTGAAACTGCATGGGACTGCCTAGCGTATGTTAGGAGCTTAAAGAAAGACAAGAGGGAAGAGAGCCTCCTCTTGGAAACCTTTCATGAGGAAATAGTACAATGCACAGTCTGAGAAATATCGTTCTTGCTCGATAAAAATAAGAAACCGTTACTACAGCAAATGGCGGTTGTCCCACTCCTAGTACATGAAACCTGTCAAAAAGAATGTGCGGTACCGGGTGAATTGTCAGAAAGAGAAAAAAAAGGAATAATGTAAAAAAAAAGGAGGGACCCAATATTTAGTAAAAGAAAAGGGAAAAGAAGAAAGAAAATCCTTCGGTAGCCCGTGAGACAGGCACGATCATGCCTCAGCCAGCCAGGAAAGATTTGGTACAGTAGCAGCGGGTAGACCAGTAAGGACGCTGATAGGCGAAGGGTTGCTGAGCAGCCGCTAGCGTTACTGATGGCGGCAAGGGAGTCCCGGCAACGAGGGGGGCCCAGAGCCCTAGACGCTGGCTAGTCCTCGCCGTACGGGTACCTACCTCTCTGACTTACATACTGTACGTATAGTATGTATGATACCCGTATCAGACCTATGATGTATGTACTCTGTAGGTACTTCGGACCACCGAAACCCACCGGGACGCTACCTATGAGGTACATGCGTCGTTATGCTGTCAGAGTTGATATTTGCTCATTTTTGGAATTACTGTTTCAGCAAACGGTTGTAAATAACTTAATTCCCTTGAAGAACAGAAATAAAGGGTTGTCAATAGATAGCATTGCTAAGTATAGTAAGGACTTACACTGCGATATCCCTTTGACAGTGACTTTTTGAACTCTTAACCTTTTTCTTTTTTTTTTTGAACCCATTCTTTCGCCTGTCCGCAGGGCTATAGACGAAGGGCGGGTGAAGATTCCAAACCGGTTCGACACAGGTTTCTGACGCCGATGAACCAAACCAGCCTAGTGCCGTCTAGTACCAGAAGCTAACCTGTCGTCGCTTAAGCTCTTTCTGAGCATCTGGAGATCCATCCCCACTTTTGCGTTGCCATTGCAACAAGATCATCCCTTCAGCTTCACTTTCTCCTCTTTTTTTCACTTCTTCTCTTTCTTTTCTCTGGGTCTTCTGAACGTCTGTCCGTTCTTCTTTTAAGACTAGGACTGTTCCTCATTTCCCATGCTTCATTTCTCGAGCTATCCTCAGGCCCAGTCCCGTGTTCCAGTCTCCGACAAACCCTCTGCTTCGGTAAGTTTCCTCCAATGCATTAGCGTACCGATTCTTCCTCCCCTAAGATGCCCGCCTGCTGCTGATGTCAGTACTTAGAATGCTAACCTAGTCTCCGTGGTTCATTAGCCCCTCGCCCTTTTCTCCCCATCTTCCAGTCTTGGTCCAACATTGACGCTCCGGGTTACCTTTGTTCGATTTTTCGGCCAGCCATGTCGCTCTAGACGCACGGCTTCGTCACGAGGAAGTGCCGCTACATGCTGGTTAGCTGAGGGATTCTGAGGCCGTTCTTCAATCATTCAATTAGTGAAGTCTGGGTTCAACACGCCGCAATTTGGCAACAGGAATATACGAGAGCTGGGTGGTTACCGTTCCGACAGAGACGCCTGCACCTATCGTGTAGTATATGCCGGGTAGATAGTATACGGCATAACGGTCTTCTACTTCTCTGTTCTTTGCCAGTTCTACTTCTCTGTTCTTTGCCAGTTCTACTTCGTTTTTATTCTTTTCTCTTTTTCTTCCCCACCATTCGACTGCGGCGTTCTTGCGGGTTTGAGGCATTAGGGAAGAAACAAGCATTTTGCAACAATGGAACACTCGTCCCCGTTGGCTGCTATGCAGCCCCCATCGGTGCTCTTCGGACACTGTTTTCGCTCGGATGCAAGGACATCCTACCCTGCATTTGGTCTCAATTCAAACAGTTTCAACTTCAAAGATTTATCTATGAAAAAAGCCCATGGTGCCGATTACTTTAATGTAAAAGGTACATCTCCTACCGCGAGCCTCGCGGCCGATCTATCTCAAAACTTCCATATTGATCAGAGGTTTGTCCACTCCTTTGTGCTCTTTATCTTTGGGGTATTGCGTGTTCAACGGAACACACTAACCAAATATAGTCCCCAAGTGGCTACTCCACGGCGGTCTTTGTTCTCCTCAAACCTTTTTGGGAATGGTAACAGGCGTGGTAAGAGTTGATGTGTTATAGTGCATGAAGTACTGGGATTGCTCATCAAGTTTATAGAGGCAGCGATGACAACACCTCCACTGCCTTCCTCGCCTGCAATGGATATCATGGAAATGTCGCCGCTACCGCACAAACCTCCGTTCAACACTTTGGAAGCTGAACTCCGCACTCCTACAATCGAGATTTCCTGTATGGACACGCCCATGAGATCTAATACTGCAAGCCCTCTCCAGGACTCGCCTTTGGTTGCACAAAAAGAAGGCCACCATGAGTAAGAACCAGAGAGTCAAAGGATGAAGTGTATATCGGTCTGACAATACTATTTCCCTATAGGAGGAGACGTCCAACCTTTCTTCGGCCCAGCCTAGCGAGGAGCAAAGCGCAATCTTTTCAATCGGGCATGGTTAAGCCCGCACCGGAGAGCCAAGCACCACCGTTTAAATTCCAAAGCAGAGGAACCAAGACGTCGTTAAGCACATCGGCTTCGTTGGAGGATATGTTTAATGAATCGCCACCTCGTGAGCGGCCATCGCTGAGGAATCATTCGTCCCATGCTTGGTGAACCCACGCCTGAGACCCCCATTTGGCCGAGAGACGAGCCATGTCCGTGGAAATGGATCTCCATCGGCAGCATCCATTCGCAAAAACTCGCACCCCATGATGCGCCCTCGTAAACAGTGCCGACGTTCGTTGAGCATGTTTGAGAACCCCGAGGATGTAATGGTCGAAAAAGAGGCTTCTTTTACATCAAATGCACCACTTCAGTCCATCTGTGACATCGAAGGAACCCCCAGCCTACAGTTGCCTCACTTTTTGCCTGAGGACCAGGTTGATACATTGCCTCGCATCGACAAGAGCATTCTCGTGGAACTCATAGATGGAAAATACAACGACCGTTTCGACAATATCATGATTATTGACTGTCGGTTCGAGTACGAATATGAAGGTGGTCACATCAATGGGGCTGTGAACTACAACGACAAAGATAATCTTGCCGCGGAGCTGTTCGCCAGCCCTAAACCCAGAACAGCATTGGTTTTGCACTGCGAGTATTCCGCACACCGGGCTCCAATTATGGCCAAATACATTCGCCATCAGGATCGTGCTTTTAACGTGGACCACTATCCACATCTTACCTACCCGGATATGTACATTTTGGACGGCGGCTATAGCAGCTTCTTTTCCGACCACCGGACACTCTGCTTTCCCCAGAACTACGTCGAGATGTCTGCCAAGGAACATGAGTTTGCCTGCGAGCGTGGCCTTGGGAAGGTCAAGCAGAGGTCTAAGTTGAGCCGCGCTCAAACCTTTGCCTTCGGTCAATCTCCCCAAATGGAAGACAGCCCTACTGGAAGGTGTCGCAACGGCCTTGGAGACCGTAACCGACTATTAGGTTCTCCATTTGCCGCAAGCCCTGTCTCCGCTCGCTTCTCCGGCCGCCGCATGCTTTCCTACTGACAGCCCCCCACGAATCGTTCGATTCTATTTTAACAGCCAGCCCTCGATATTATGAAACTATCGAGCGTTGTGCTAAGGCTTTTACTGCATTCCGTTGCACCGCAATATTTCACATATATCCAGAGACCCTGGTTTTGGTTCGCTGTCTTACCCACTCGCTGGTCTTTCGAGAATATTGAGTTGCACCATGGGACTTGGAGAATTTGGTCGCTGTTGATCTAGCGCCTTACCACTCCAGTTTCCTTTCCGTTCGTTTAAATACTTTCGGTTTCTTTCTCTTGGCCCGGTTAATAGAGCTTCAGCATTTTGCATTGATGACATGGCAACTTTTGACTCTTACCATTTTACTGATTCGCCGTGCACCTCTCGCCAGCCGGCACTTTTGTTAACGTTTAGCGGATCCGATTCTTTCCTTTATCTCTGACCACTGGCCCTACACTTATTTCCTATGTCTTGAACGATTTTCCTACACTATTCGCCCTTCCACTTTGCATTGGGCCTGATCGCTATGATACCACGCCTCCACCCGGCAGTTCCTCTTCTTGGATCTTTCCTTATTTTTTTTTTCCTTACTGTCTTTTAATCCTCCCTCCCTATGCTCTTGTATAACAAGCAAGGGAGCGACTCAACTCCTCGCCGTACAATGTACATATTGATGTACGGCTCGTCAGAAGGGCGATAATTTCCCATGCATGGCAGCGACCCCGAAAGCGATCACCCTGAGAGGGCAGATCTAATAGCTTCGGGATTGTCGATGCAGCTGTACATATACAAAACTCCCGTGTCGGTGAACTGACATTTAATGGGAAGGCCGGGGGATTAAGAACTAAAAGATAATTTCCTTTGTTGGAATGGAATGAAATGACTTGAAGAATTCATTTGCGTGCTCGAGTAATTTTAATGGATCTCATGTAGTGTAGTTATGAGAACCCACTTTATATAGTTGCGCGGAGTAGCCTGAGGCAACCTTAATTTTAGTCTCCGCCGCCGCCTTCGATTCCGCTCCGCTTCCCACAATTTATTCCACTCCGTCGAGCCCTCTTCCGCCCCCGATGCTACGCGGCGCTTAATGAATTGTACCCCCCGCCATGGATATCGATGACATCCTTGCCTCCGTTGATCGCAACGATGTTTCTACTCCCGAATCCACCCAACTGGACCACCAGCTGCTCACGCGCTTCTGGGTCGCCGAGCGCGGCGTGTCGGAGCTCCTCCCATGGCCGGAGGCCCTGATGAACCGAATGATGGAGCGAGTCCGCAAGCAGGTAGGGTCAACCACGAGCTTGAAAACAGCCCTCAATTTCCTTAAACCAGCCCACCCTAACCCATATAGATCGAAACAATCGAAGACCTAGCCTCCTCTTCCTCAGACCCCACCATTACCACCACCACCACCACCAACAACAACAACAGCAACAGCAACAACCCAACCCTAAACCTCAAACTCTCAATCCTCCAAACCGACCTCTCCCGAACCCAATACCTCCTCCGCTCCATCCTGCGCCAACGCCTCTCCAAACTCACGAAACACAGCATGCACTACCTCCTCCGCATCAGCTCTGCCTCCTCCCAGCAACAACAACAAACCCCCGCCGACTCCCAAACCAACGACCAACAGCCCGAAGACTCCATCCCCGACCTAACCGCCGTGCACGACCCCTCGCCGCTGTCGACACAGGAACTGGACTTCTTGCGCGCGCACCAGACGCTGCTGGCGGGGCACTTCGGGGCGTCGTTTTTGAGCTCCTTCCCGGCGCAGCTGAGACGCTTGGATGATAATGCTGGCGGCGTGAGTATGGTGCAGGGCCCAGATGCCAGGGAGGTCGTTTTTGTGAGGTGTCTTGTCGAGAAGGTCGGCGTTGTTGTGCCGCCGGGCGATGGGGTCGAGGTTGAGACTGTTGGCGAGGAGATGCGCATGGGCGATGTTTGGGTCGTGCGGTGGGAGGGGGTTAGGGAGGCTTGGGAACGGGGGGAGGTGGAGGTTCTTTGAGCTTTCTTTCTTTGTGGTTGTCTGGGTTGTGAGGTGGATGGGGTTGGTTGGTTGGTTGGTGGTGTGTTAGTTAGTGGTGGAAATGCATGTATATATGTTGTTGATGCATCGTGGCGTTTGGGGTTGGTGACTTGTGATACCTGATTTTTCTTATTGCATTTCGGATATAGAATGTATGTGGTGCTTGTTTGTTTATGTTTATGAGGCATGTTAGGTTGAACTTGGCTTTGATGTTGTGTTCTGTGACTGATGTTGTGGTGATCAATCACTATACATCGCTCAGCTCAGCCTGGAGCGTCGTCCTTCCATAACCCTATTCTAGTAATTCGATATTCTCCGAGGATGCAGTAGAAGACAGAAGAAGTAAAAACGCCACACGATCTATAGCATGAACAATATCCGCCGTTGCGCCTGACCGCTAACCCCAAATCACTTTCCATGCACACTTATCAACGCCCAAGAAAGGAATAAAAGAATTGGCATGCAATTGACCAGAAGAAGCCATTTTGTGTAGCAAATGAACTGGCTAAGGAATACTTAAGCGACGTATCCATATGTGGGCGGGTCTTCTTCGACTCGTTCGAGATACTCGCGGTCAATCAAGCTCTCGATACGCCGCTTGATCATGTTCACGTCTGGAACGAAACGTGCGGACAGTTGGCTTAGGACCTCGCTCATGAGCTTGGAGTGGACCAGTGTCTTTCGTTGTCTAGATGGTGGGGACCTAGTTAGCTTCTGTTATGATGGGATGTATGGATTGGGTTTGCTTACTTCATGATTCGCACGACTGCAGCTTCAATGCTGGCGCCACGCTCGTCGTTCATTCGCTTCTCGGTTTCTTTTCTTTGGTCTTGGTTTTCTACCTTGTTGGCGCTTCCGCTGACGACACCGATGCGGACTTTCATGAACGGACTCTGGAACTCGTTGTTGAAGACGAATCGGTCAGTAGGTTTGACGTCCTTGCTCATGGGATCCTTCTTCAGGACCCGTGTCTTTGGTGCAACCGCAAGCGACTGCAGATTGCGGATTAGATCATGGTCTGGAATCCTTGTCCGGGCCTGAATCTCTTCATATGTGAGAGACTCGCCCTGGGGAACGTCGTTGAAGAGCAGCAGGATTACCATGGCATAAGTGGAGACATTGAGCTCATGTCGCTGGACCTTGCCGTTGGACCTGTGGAACGTGGCCCGGATATCTGCCGTGCCCATACTAGCCTGCCATGACAGCTTCCGGCCATTGTGTTTGCTAAGATAAAACTGCTCGAAGCTTTGTCTCAGGTTGTCGATTTCCTTGGGGAAAATGCAATGAAGCTGAACTTCCTCGCCTTTAATACTAGACATGGACTCCATGGGCCACATAGTGCTCGTGAGGACATTGATTTCTAAATCAACAGGTTTCTGGTCGGGATCACCTGCCCGCCGAATATGTTCCTTGTAGCTGGCAGTCAAATCCTCGGAAACCGTCATGTCCTTGAACATGGATTCTAGGCGTTGCGTGAACTGGTTCCCGACCTCCATCTTCATCTTGGATATCATCTGCCGCTCTGCATCCATGCTAACTGAGCGCTTCATTAGAAGACGCCGGGACAGGTGCTTCTTGTAGTATGCCTCGAAGAGATCTTTGTCCTTCACATAGCGTAGGAGGGTAATTCCGTTGTCCAAAAGAGCATCCACTTCAGTCTCCGTTTTGCCTTTGATGCCTTTTTTCAAGTTCTCATCAAAAAAGAGCGACAGATACTCTGAGCTGCGCGTGTTTGAGTTGATAAACTCTGAGAAACTCGTCGTGATGGCGCTTTGCATCGTCGGATCGGACCGGAATGATTGTTCCCAGATCTTATCGAACTTCATCTTCAACCCTAAGACATCGTCGACCCATTTGATAGCGGAAACTGTCTGCAGATTCACAGGCTTCTCAGCAGGTTTCTTTCCACCCTCGGCGGTCTTTTCTGCAGATTTCGTGGGTTGAGCTTGTGCTGCTGCAATTGCCGACTTATTGATCTCATCACCCATCTCCACTATGCGCTTTTGAACGGCAACAGTCAAAGGAGTCTTTTTACTGTCTACCCTTGCGCTCAGTACATAGACATTTCGTAGAACATCCATGCGGTCATGGTCGAGCATATTCTTGACCCCGGTGCCCTCCAGGTTGATAACTTCCGCAATGTTTGAGCCGATCAGCTCTTTATCTAGTACGTCTTTAATCTTCGGCTCCGACAGTGGTGAGAGTGTGGAGAGACAGCGCGCCCCTTCTTCCGCTATGCGGTCGGAGGCGGCTTTACAGAATGTAGCAGCGTCTCCCGTCTCTAGCAGTCGCCGTCCTTCTGCCCTGTAGAAGACTTTACTCGTCTCAAGGAATGCCGGCTCGAACATAGTTAGGTAAAGCTTTGATGATTCCTCTTCAGTAATGGTTTCATAGAGACCCTCCAGCATATAAATGCAATGCCGAATCAGCGGCCGGTTTATCATCTGCCCTGACCGTTCCAGCTGGATCATAAAGAGCACAGTAGATTTGAGCACATCGGCGACTGTCGACTCTGCATCTGCACGGACCACAGATCGTAGCACAAAGTCACGAAATAAAGCCATGGATGCGACGTATATCGAAGGTTTCTTATGGTCTGCCGAAACGACTCGATCCTAGAACAACCTGGTTAGCTTTGATCAATCAGACACATCAGCACGCGGCCATACCATGTACATGAGAACGTCTGTAATCATCCCCATGGAAATCTGGTGATCCTCCCAGGCTTCCCTTAGTACATCTAGAAACTTCTCCCCGGTGTCCCTCCGCTCATTTTCTTGATCCTGGATTTCGGCTTGGTCCTTCGCCTGGAGAAGAACCGATGAGATTGCCGCAGTCACCCGCTTCTGCACTTCGGTATCAAGCCATTCTTGCTCAAGCTTCTTGACCCGTTCATATAGCTCCTCGCCGCGCATCATCAGCACGATGTTGTAGGCATTCCGGTATAGCTGCTCGAAAGAGAGATTGGACGCATCTTTCGTATGGATTTTCTTCAGGGACGTTGACAAGCCTTCCCAGTTTGTTTCAAAGTCATCGGTTTTATTGGTGTTAAGACCCTAATGCATCCTCGGTTAGTTGAGCCATTCCAATATAGTGCCGCTCAATGACTGCCATAGTCCGAAGTACCGTCGACGGCGGCGTAGGACTTAATCCTTCTCCTGTTAAAGGGTCGGGATGATTATAACGGATCGGGAATGATAGCTTACCCTCCGTGGAGCACGGATCTTTTGCCTTGCCCTCATAGCCATCTTCTGCTATAGTGACACTTTGCCATCCACTTCCTCGGTGTTGGTGTTGCGCGCGGGGCAGTCGAAGGAGCAGTTGGACTTGGGTGGACACAGATTGAGTGGAGATTTAGACCTAATGGGGGATTTGCAAGCCTCAAATGAAGAGGATACCGTCCAAGACAAACTCCTTCCAGTAGTTTCAACGCTTCTTCGAAACGAGTGTGGAGTAGATGTACAGCAGAATGATGCCGCGGAGGGCAGAGAAGGTGGAAAAACAGAAAGTCCGGCGCAAGTTGAACACTTTCTCCGTCATTGCCCTCCGCCGTTCTCACGACCATTCCTTCAACTCTTGGGTTTCTACCAGGTCCTTGGGCAAGCGATTCCAGAGCCTAATACTCTACATCGGCGACTTTCATACCGATTCAATACACTCACCTTCACGATCTCGCCATGCGCTCATTCACATCTTTCCCCCGAGGCCTCCGTGCCATCCAGAGCTCTCTTCCCCGAACTGCCATCTCGCGCCCTATTTCCAGACCTTTCTCACAACTCATCAACCGCTCTACCCGATCATCGCCCACACTTGCCTGGGCGTCGGTTAGAATCTTCGTACCGGCGTCTACGCTCCGTCACAACTCTAGCTCTGCGAGGCCTCTCACGGACCAGGCCGCGGACGCCGCCAAAGATGCGGAGAACGAAGAACAGAACAGGAAACGCCGGGAACAAGAACCGGCCTACCAAATTACCTTCACATGTAAGCCGTGCGGTGAGCGTTCGTCTCACCGTATGTCCAAGCAGGGTTATCACCGCGGGACGGTCGTGATCCGTTGTCCGTCCTGTAAGAATCGTCACATCATCAGCGATCACCTCAATATCTTCTACGACAAGAAGACGACATTGGAGGATATCTTGGCCGAACAGGGAAATAAACTGAAGCGGGGATATGTGGAAGGAGACATGGAATTCTGGGATGATGGATCGGTGACCCCAAAGGAGGGTGAGGAGGCGAAGTCCGATCAGGGACAGTTGCCTTAATCTATATGTCCCTTTCGACGTGGGATTTTTAATGGATGATGAAAAGAGGCCTGGCTGTTGGTTAAATATCTGCATTTGGAGAGTTGCGCTACCAAAAGTCTGCATAGAGTTGCTGGTTCAAAAGATACATGGGTATACAGGCGTTGTTGGTTGTCCGATTTAGATACCTCTGTGACATTATATACACTCTGCTCTTGCGACCTGTACTATTATTATAACTTCGATGGATATATTTTGTACTATAATAGCAAATAATCTATTCCGTTCCCCTCCGCTCAACGCCGTTTTTTGTATAAACCTGTGTAAACATGTACAATCATGATTTCCACGTCTCTTACCATCCTCGTCTCTTGCTGCGGTGTTCCATTCCTTTCTCCTTTCTCTTATCACGCTTGCGGTCGTTCCTCCGCTTCTTCTCACGCCCGAACCTTTCAGGTTCCGTCACTGCCTCAATACGTCTCTTAACACGACGGCCTTCACGTTTCTCTTTGATCTTCTCCTGGACGAGGGCCATTTGCTTCACAAACTCAGAGGTACCCAGCTTCTTCTGGATGAGGTCCAATACCTCATGGCAGTTCGACACCAGAGCCTTGTACGATTCTCTGAAGACCGGATCAGAGGAGCGGGGTGGCGGGATGGATGAATCAGTCATATGCTGAAGAGGGATGAGGATGATAGGGATAGATGGTTGGATCTGCTCTGCATCAAGGTGGCGGCAAAGAGCTGCCAGAAGACCGATGGATGCGGTCTTGGGGATCAACGATTCTGCCCTAGTAGTAAGAAGCTCCCTACGCAGTACAGAAGAAACTTGCTCGAAGATATATCGGATAGCAGGTTTTGATGAGTCTACCGACTGCTCCTCCTTATTCTCGTCATCGGATTCTTCACTGTCGCTAGCATCTGACTCGGCAGCCTTGTCACCCTTGCGAGAGAACTCGAGGCCATTCTGAGCGCAGCAGCGCGTAATGAAAATGATGTTGCGAACGGTTTGCATCGCAAGCTCCTCGCTGACGGCTGGAGTTCGAAGGCAGCGTACACTGGCACGGATCAGCTGCAGCATGGCGTCTCTATCCAAGGCCAATCCAGAGGAATTTTCCAAAGGCAATGAGCTGTAGCCATTAGTGGCGTTCGACTTAGCCAAGTCCGCAAGCCAGGTTCCAACAAGATTAGAAGCAGATGTTTTGACCCAGGCATGCGGGTAGAAGAGACATTCTCGAATAGCAGCCCAGTTCGTGGCACTTTCTTTGGTGAGCGCGATCGCAGGAACACTCTTGCAGAGCTTTGCGTAGAGCTGGAGAGAGTAATAAAGCGTCTGCCAGTTTTCAGTATCTTCAGCTTCTAGGACCGGCTGCATGATTGAAGGCAGAAGATCTCTAACAAAACGAGCTTCTTTTTCCTTCGTCGTCTCCTCCGCCTCAAAGTAAATTCGCATAGCGTGTAGCCCGGTGCTGGTCAAAAGCAAGTTGTCTGTTTGTTCCAGCCATGAATGCAGAGGCACGAGAATGGTCTTCATCGTTTCGTTGTCTGCCCTACTGTAGAACTGGCTCAGCAAGGTTCCTGCGAGCTCTCTGCATTCTGAAGCATCATCATTCGCCATGACAATGACTACTGGCAAGAAAAATGTACCGACTATGTCCTGAGCGAGTTCCTGTCCAGTCTTCGACAGCAGAGTATGGATGGCTTCCATGACCGATTGACGACCCTCCGAGTGCTTGTACTCCAAGTTTTTGGCCAAGAAAGCCAGTTGTTTTGCCCACCGGTTCTTGGCCTGGGGGTACTCCACAAGGAAGTGAATGTAGACACCTCGCGCTAGATCACGTGCAGAGCGAGTTTGGTTTGTGACCATCATGGTAGCAATATGGTCAACCAACTCGTACATTTCAGTGACAACGAACTTCCTAGACATAACAGCCCTGATGAAGTTGAATGTGATGCCTTGACGATCCGGCTCTTCAATGTCGGAAGTGAGGCGCTGCAGCAGATATGAAAGATGTCCGTCCCTGAGCTTTGTGGACTTTCTCTCCCGAAGCATAGCCGCAATCAACTTCAGCGATGCTTGAGCAGCTTCAGTGTTTGTATTCGGCGCCTCCTTGATAATCTTGACAGCCTCAGTGAGATACACGTGCGAGTTGTTATCAATTTCTGCAAGAGGGAGCTTGACCATTGTAGATAGTAGTCGAAGAGCCGAGATCTTGACTTCCTCCTGCCCTTGGACTAGCGAATCGCCAATGATAGGGAGGAACCCAGCCACATTGGCTGGCGTGAGTAGTGAGTCAAACTTGCTCAAGACCGAGCGAAGGACATCAAGGGCAAACCGGGTCAACTTGTGAACGTAAGAAGAAGTGGTGCCTCGTTTCTCACCCCGCTTTGCTCCATGAAGCTTGATCAGAAAATGTTCTTCGGAAGCAGATAAAGCTTTCTTTTCAGCCTGCACCGGCCCCTGGTACGACTCCTTAATGACTTCATAACAAAACATCAGGATGTCACGGTTTTCTACACCTGGGTTTCGCAAAAGACCAATGCCGATTCTCCGCAAAAGCTCGTCAGCCTTCCTCACAATGGTGGAGGTAAGCTTCTCTTTAAGGAGTGACTGCAAGGGTCTGATCAGATTCGACAGGTTCCGAACGGTGGAATTCTTCGCCAAGAGTTCAATGGAGTCATAACTCTTGTTGCTCTTCACTTCCTTCATCTTGCTCACATATTCCTCTGCATCCTTCTCCTGACCAACAGTGCCAAATATGTCGTCCATCACCACCGCGCTCAGGTCTGCCAGACAGTAATCCAGGTCCCCTTGCTTGAATTCGTCCGTCGTGGTCACAAGCATAGAATGGACAGTGAAAGACAGAACGTGCAGCTGGTAACCCTTTGTGAGGGTAGTTCGGAGTTCCTTGAGTATGTAGCCGAAATACACAGGGCCCAACAGCAGGGCGATGTCGTCCAAAGTCTTCCTAGCAGTGTCTCTGGAATCTTGTGCGCGACTCTTAAGAATGCTGCAAACGTCCAGAAGGACGGCCGGTAAGCGAATAGTCATGTCTTGCTCTGGCAACAATTTCAAAAGCTTGATGATTGTCACCGAAGCTGGTAAACGCAAGCTCATCTGTGCTTCATTTTTATGGTGAACAAAGTTTGTCAGGAAAGGAGTAAAGTTCGTTGTCAGTTCGGATGCAACCTTGGAAGTTGACGGAATTGTCCGAGCCAAAGTACACTGGGAAGGTACTGAAGTCTCAACTCCCTCCATTTGGTCTTCGGCCGTTTCCTTGGGCGCATTGATTTGATTCATTGCAGTAGTTAGGGCGTCAGACATTCTACCTAGAAGTCTCAAGATATTCTTTTCCATCTCTGGCTTGCTCTGCATATAACTCTTATACCTACGGAAGATGGCCCTGAACTGGTTCCAGTCAAGCCACTCCGCAAGTGCCCCGATGGTCGCAACTGCCTCTGCGATCAGGTTGTGGGCAGCCTCATCAGCCTCTTCATCGAACACAAAATGCTCATTAAGGGGAATGAAAATTGTGCTAATGTTTGAAGCCTGTAGTTTGCCCTTTGATGCCTCGGTAGCCAGACGTCGTAAGGCTCGCAGACGACGATGCTGTTGTATATGGAGAACGTTATTGAAAAAAGAGGCTTCCTCGTCGTCATCAACAAGTAAATCACGCATATCCTGAACGTTAGGTCTGTCAGGATTCAGCTTGACGAAGTAGCCTAGCGCGGAGATAAATTCCACCCGAACTAGTTCTGATTTTTGCCGAATTCCACTCTGCAATGAAGGGAATAAAACATCCTTTACGAGGGGCTCGAATTCCTCCACATTGTTGTCAGTAGCGAGAGTAGCCCGGTCCATGAATCGTTTCAATCCAAACGAAGCACTCGATCTGATGGCAAGCTCTTCATCGTCTTTAACGTGGTAGAGCATGTTGTAGAGAACCGGCCGCCATTGCCTAGCATTGAACTTCTCCCAGAGCCCATCGTTGATCTCTCTGAAAGCCTGCAACCGACGTTCAAAGTCAACTTCCAGCTTCTTCCGAGAGACTGAGTTCAAGTCTTCACAAAGAGCAGCAACCTTGATGAGCTCAGGGTCATGCTTGGCGAAGGCAGAGAAAACCCTAGACAAGACCTCTCGGTTCGCTTCATCCTTGAAGTAATCGAACATGGACGAAACTGCATCAAACACCTCCTGGAAAAGCTTCGAGTCTTCCTTGGGGTCGTACAGAGGTAAGAAGTGCTCGAGGATGCGCAGAAGGCCAGATTTCGTCTTGGGGGAAACGCGGTCCGGGGGCTGACGGAGAAGATATGTGGTTATGTTAACCAAGCTTGACGTTTCCGTGGACGATTCAACACATGGGGCCAGTAGAGAAAGAGTCTGAACGCCAGATATTAAGACTGGTCGGGAAGGGCCTCGCTTCAGCAAGTTACCCAGATGAGAAAGGGTGTGGTCTAAATAAGGTGCCAAAACCACCGATCGAATTTCATCAGCAGGAATATCGCTCATTTCCTCCTGCTCTCTCAGTTCCTTTCCAGTTGCCAGTCCGACTAATGGCACTAGGATTTCATCCATAATAAACACCTTGACTTCATCACGGGTAGAATCTACACCAAGACAGTCAACGACCTTGGTTAGAAGGGCATCATTGTGCTGGACGAGATAGAAGGACGATCTGGGGCCAGTAGCCCAGGTATGGAACAGTCTAAGAAGACCAGAAACACCTTGGGTTGTTTCTGTCGCAAAGTTTTCGAGTCTAGGGTTGATCGTCTCGTTGAAGATCACACGAACGAAGGGTGTCCAGTCTCGGTCCAGCGAGACAGAGAATATAAGGTCCAGGCACTTAATACATGTAGAGCGGATATTACGCAACACGGTCAATAGTTTCCCTTCTTCATTTTCTGGCTGCGACTTTTCCAATTCACGACATGCTCGAACCAGGCAGTAAAGGACAACTTCCATAGACCGCTCGGCGTAAGGTGTCATCTTGGTCTGTAGTGATTCAAAGACCGTTTCAATCATCCTTAGTAGACCCATTTGCCTCCTTGGGCTTGCCAGCTCTCGTGTGAACACTTCCTGATCAATTTCACCATTTTGGATCAAGTGAACATCGCCCAGAGGACCGAATGAGATCTGGATGAAGAGCTGGAACTCGTTGTCAGGCAATTGGGCCAAGGTTCTCAGAACTGCTTTTCGTCGTCCTGCTTGCCCAGCCTGACTTGCGCTCGCACCAGCCTTTGAGATCATCCGTCCATAGAGAAGTCGAAGGAGAACAGGAAGTAGTTCATCCCTATGTGCCTCTTCAATCAAACTATCCTCCCCGCCAACTTGAACGAACGCCGAGAGCTCGTCTCTGAACCGCGATTCGTCAAGAATATTCAAAAGGTTCTCCTTGTATGGCAAAATACCCTGGGATTTCCAAGTGAAAAGAGCTTTGAGAGCAGCCTTCTGAATCTCAGAATTTCCGTGACACAGCAATCCAAACAGTGCATCGTGAACCTCGGAAGCCCTGAACAGGACACGGGGGTTTAAGTACTGACCGAAAAGGCCAAGGAAGGCCAGTCGATCATGGAATCCCCAAGGAATGTAGGAGGTGGACTCGGAAGACTTCAGATCAGTCGCTGAAGGGATATCTTCTTCATCGCGTGTTGCCCAGGACAAGAACAAGGGAACAACTTGGCGCGACCGTTTTTCAGCGATGTTTGGCGCAGCATTAAGAACACGTAAAGCTTGAGTTCGAGGGGCAGCTGGGATAACCTCCGAGAAGTGATGATCTTTTTCAAGCCGCTGTGTTAACATGGAGATGGGTTCGCCAGCCTCGAAGTTCGTGGTGCCAACACTTTCCACCTTGAGTGCATTGAAGCACTGGTAGTCCCCAGACACGAAAGAGTCCGCATTAGGATCATCTTCCGTGTCTTCTGCAGAGGTTGGGGTACCTCTCTCTTGAAGCCACTGGATAGCCAGATCCGAAACAATCTTCTCTCCATCTGCGTGCTCGCTGATCGACTTCAAAGCAGCGGCAGAGTCATCCCACAACGGGGCCATCTTCTTTGAGAAAAGACCGAACAAGAAATTCGGAATCAACCTAGACATCCATCTCCGCGATGCCACCTGTGGATAAGATATAGCCATCTTACGTACATGCATGGACAACTCTCTAGCGGACTGTAGCGTAAGGGGGCTTTCTTCAATTTGAATGGCCAAAGATATAAGGGACGTGTCGTCGCCCGAAGCTTGGACAATTTCCTGCAGAATTTTGAGGGATACCAGTCTCAAATCGTGGGACGGCCCGGCAAGGTTGGTGATTAGCACATCTGCGAACTCAGCGAGGGCAGGCTTGTTCAAATCAAGTTCTTTGGAGCAAGCTGAGACGTAAGCCAAGGTTGCCTCGAGGAAAACGGGAAGACGAGAATATGTGGAAGCGACGTTGCTGATTTGGTCCCAGAGGTTCGAGTCGACTTCGCCACAGATCGATGCCAGCTCCACATATGCCTTGAAGCCCTGACCGACGAAAAACTTGGTCGACAGAGATGGTTGGGATTCATCACTCTTCAGTGCACGAGATACGTGACCATGGAGACTTTGAGTCATGTCGGGGAGGAGGGAAGGTTCCGTGGACAAGGACAGGGCACTAGGAAGCTTGGAATATGCATTTAGAAGTGTTACCTCTGTTTCCCCTGGACGCTGGGTTTTCAAGGTCTTCTTGATTTTAGCCTTCCAAGGGGCTGGACAAGAGATGTAACCAGGCTTCGAAACTTCTGATGTGATGCACCCGGCTTGATTCAACCGAAGCAAGATCAAACAAAGTTCGTACTCACGCTCCTTCCATGAAGTGTTGACAAACCTATTCAAGAATCAATAACCAATAATAAGAGGATAAACAGCTTGGGGCTCTTACTTCTGGAAGTAAGGAAGTATCACACTATGAAACCGCTCTGCGCCCCATTCCGAAAAGGTGGCGCAGAATGACAGGAAGTAGTTCGAAAGAGGCTCGCTTGTCACGGTTTCCATGGTCGTACGCATAAATGGCAGCAATTCATCCATAGGTGAAACTTGGAGGGCATATGCTACCGCAATGAGAAGCTGAGGTGTCGCATCGGCATACGCACCAGGCGCGGCAGCGGCGGTTTGCAGGAGAAGTAACAAGGTCTGGTGTACATTTTTCCAGTTCTTCACTCGCAAACCCTTGCGAGTAGAAACACAGACGAAGATTAGGCGACAGCATGCCATGGCGCGTCGTTTGTCAGCTTTCCGGCAACGAGCTTCAATATGCGACTTGATCGTGTCCACTATGGGCTCAAAAGTGTCGGGAGTTGTGTTGTGGATGATGTTGGTCAGAATGCCGCTTGCAACATCCAGCCCCAGACTACTACGCAGGTCGTCATCCGTAGACATGTTTTCCAGAATAGCGCTAAAGATATCAGTGCCATTGGAGTGAAGACCATACTTGACACCCTTTATGGCGTCAGAGAACATGGCCATGAGCCCTTCCTTATATATCTCGATATTCTTATTGTCCGCCGCCGTCTGATGCAAATCGTCGAGTAAGAATGAAATCGCACGCTGAAGGGGTGTAGTGTTCTTATAATAGACTAATCCTGCCTTGCGAATGAGAAATGACATTGACTCTGCGGCAAACCGCGCCACGAATGGCTTCTGCCGCTCTTTTCCGAGATACGGGGTCATGATGCCTAGAAGCTGTCTCAGGTCCGGAACCAAGAGCCGCGAAAGGAATTTGAAAATCCATGCAAGGCATGTGAAGCTCCATTCAACGACCTCAACCTCTGGGTGAGTAGCAGCTACGGAGGCCACGAGGGTCACCGAGGCAGCGAAATGCTTCTCAAATTTCGCACCGAGGTCCCTGGCAAACTGGGCAAGAAGACTCAGGAGCGGCTCCATGGACAGATGATCCCTCTTCTCAATGAATTCCACCAACAAGCTCATTATCTTTTCCTCATGATACAGGATCTGAACCAAACTCTCACATAGCGGGTTAACTCGACGAGCAAACTGCACAAAATTGTCGGACAGGTTCAACTCGGTCCAGTGATCGAATGCGGATCGGAAATGTGACGAGTTTTCGTCTCCTTCATCTTCCCCAAAACTCGGCCGGCGCACGCGGTGAATCGGATCGATCTTTAGCTTTGCGACACGCTGCGAAAATCCCTCGAACCGATAGTTCTTTGTCGTCTCCGTTCCTTTCTTCACACGCTTCACGGGCTTTGCCCGCGAAGCTGACGACGCTGCGACCATCTTTGGGAGTGATGGCGGTGAGACGAGGCAGCGCCGTTCGAATATGGTTGTATTCCAAGAATTGGAATATGTTGATAGTATACCTCTAGACAAAAAAATTCATCGGCGCCGCAGTAGCGTTATTCCGTGCGGAGATTAGCGGCGCTTGCAGGGAATATCCGCTAGCCTGATAAGGTTAATGTCAGTCACGTGGAGATTAAGCATGGTCCAAGCTCCCCGGGCCGTTTTTGGCAAAAACTGTCGCATGTCCAGACGCGACGATAACGACGAGTCGGCATTTCATAGTTTGTAGCCGATACAGGCATTCGCTTTATATAGCGCTCGAAACTCCTATAGGTTTCGCGCTAGTTTAATCTTGCCTTACACGAAGGCTTGACTTCGCAGAATACTATAGTCTACTCAAACCCTACATCATAGTACCGAAGCCGAACTACAAGCTGAACAATGGCCTCCAAAATGTGAGTCTGAAAGCTCCACAGTGCATAACCCGCTCAATTCACTGATGCATATCTCAGAATTGTAATTGGTGGCGTGAACTGCCAGCTCCGAGAAGTATTCACGAAGCTGGCCAAACTCCACGTGAAGCAATCCTTTTCATTTGCGATTGTTGTCGGCGACCTATTCGGCGACTGCTCGACAGAGCAAGAGCTGGATGAGATCTCTGCGCTGTTCCAAGGGAGCATCAGCGTGCCACTCCCGACCTACTTCACCTTGGGTAGTCGGCCTCTTCCCACGAGGGTCACTGAAAGAATCGAGGCGAACGACGAAGTCTGCCCGAACCTCTACTTCTTGGGCAAACGCGGCACTCTCAAAACCTCAGAGGGTATCCGGCTCGTCGCTCTAGGCGGCAACCTGGAGACAGAAAACCAATCCTCCGACAAGTATCACCCAGGCTACGCAGAGTCAGACGCCAGGGCGCTCTACGGTGCGCACAGTGCCGATATCCTTATCACCCATCAATGGCCGAAGGGGATCCGCACGCGCTCTCAAGTCCCGGTACCAGAGGAAGCAACCAAGCCCGAAGAAGTGCAATGCATCGCAGACCTCTGCTCAACCCTGAAACCTCGCTACCACCTCTCATCAGCTGGCGAGTTCTTCTACGAACGAGAACCCTTCTTCCACATGCCCCCGGAAGACAACCCCGACGCCAAACCCCTCACCCGCTTCATCAGCCTCGCATCCTACAACAACCCCTCCAAGCAAAAATGGATGTACGCCTTCACGCTCGACCCCAAAGCCCCCCACCCATTAACCATCCCCACCGGCGCAACCGCCTCCCCTCTGGCCCCCGTCCAAACCAAACGCAAGCCCCTCTCCAGCCAAAAAGAATCCTACAGCCGCTTCGCCGTCGACGACGAGGGCAGTAACCGCCCCCGCAAGCGTGCCCGCGGGCCCCCACCAGGCCCTGACCAGTGCTTCTTCTGCCTCTCCAACCCCAACATCGCAACCCACCTCATCACCTCCATCGGAAACGAATCCTACCTCACGACAGCCAAGGGCCCCCTCCCCACCGCCAAAACCTTCCCGACGCTCGGCTTCCCAGGCCACATGCTCATTATCCCCTTCACCCACACGCCAACCCTATCCAGCATCCCCGACGAGCAATCGCGCCTCGCAACCTACACAGAAATGCACCGCTACCGCCAGTCCCTGCACACCATGCTCAAAACCAAAGCCAACGGCTCCCTAGGCGCCGTCACCTGGGAAGTCAGTCGTGGTAACGGCATCCACACGCACTGGCAATTCCTGCCCGTCCCCGGCGACCTAGTCACGCGCGGCCTCGTAACCGCCGCGTTCAAAGTCGAAGCAGAGAACCTCAAATACCCCAAGTTCGAGTCACCGTCATCGTCCAGCGATCCCAGCGCCGAGCCGGGCGATTTCTTCCGCGTCTGGATCTGGGGTCCGAACAAGAACTCTAACTCTGACGCTGACGCTGAGACGGAGAAAACACTGCTCTTGCCGCTTGGGCCCGAGTTCCGGTTTGATCTCCAGTTCGGACGCAGGGTGATGGCGAAGTTGATGGAGCTGGAGGGCCGGATTAATTGGAAGAATGATGTGCAGTCGCAGGAGGAAGAGGAGGCCGATGCTACTGCTTTTAAGGATGCGTTTAAGGAGTTTGATTTTACGTTGGAAGAATAAGTGTGCGATCTACGGGGGTTTTGTAATTTAGTTGTTTATAGAACTCTTTTTGTTGTGTTTAAAAAGGATGTGGGCTGTTTGAGCATGTGGGTGTTATATATATATATGTGTGTGTGTGTATCTTGTACTGCATTGTTTGTATATCTCTTGAGCTTGCCAGAGATACAGGGATAAAATGTAACACTGCTACTCGGGCAATGATATATATCTGTGTCTTCGGTCTATTAATTTAGTACCTCTCTATACAATAGTGGTCGGCGTATTTGAGACGACCAAATTGCGGACCCCGTATACACGTAAGAGAAGCAAACCATACATATTGTGAAGCTATCATTGTCATCCAAAGAACATAAAGTCGAGTTTCCTATCAATCGTCCATCGAATAGGACGTATACACACAAAAACATGACGTGAGAAAGTCATGAGACGGTCTTTTCCAACGCCAAGCCAAACAGAAGCGAAAGGTAACAACAGGAAAGAATAGAAGTTAGCAGGAAAAGCCCACAATATCTCCAGCTGATTGTAATGATCAATGTACATTTCGGTGATCAACACTCATAATGTACGGCAGCGTTCATCGGTTTGATTCTGTACAGGAAGATAAGAAGGTCCAAAATCACCACAAAAATGTCCACAAAATGAATCAAACGTGTCATATCCTAAAGAGCATAACGGGTGGTGGGTGATATTCCAAGTAGTAAGCGCAATTTCCCCACATTGTACAATAACGCCAGCTATATCGACTTTACGTAGGAGAGAGTATAAAACAAATCAGCCTTGATGTTGACGCACAGACGTCAATGAGCGACTGCGATCAAATCGAGACAAAATCTCAACACTATCAGTTGCAATGTTTATACATCCCTGAAAGAATTGGGAACGGCCTTCCGGCCACTTTGTAGCAAGGTTGGGGGCCTGCCCGAGTCTTGTACGGTTTCATACGGAGCGGGACTGGATGTGAATGGCGGAGGGGGTGACGAAGGAATGGAAGGAGATGTATCCCTATAAACCGGCTCTGTGTTGAGCGGAGGCGGCATTGCCCGGTAAGTGGGCTCAGGACCAGGCGGGGGCATTGCCTGGTACGCGGGCTCCTGGCTGGGAGGAGGCATCGCGCGGTAAGCCCCCTCCTGGCTAGGCGGAGACATGGTCCTGTAGACAGGCTCGTGACTGGGGGGAGACATTGCCCGATACACTGGTTCTTGAGTGGGAGGAGACATTGCCCTGTAGGCCGGGTTCGCGTTTGCAGGTGTCAATGCTCGATAGGGAGGGGCTGCGTTCGCAGGAGACATCGTCCTGTTGATGGGTGATTGGTGGATGGCAGGAGATGGTTGTCGATAAGGTATCGGACGAGCGCCATCCGTGGCCAGGGCCATCCCCGGTGTGTGGTTGATGGCTGGAGATGGGTGACGATACGGTGCAGGAGAGGCGTCGGAAGACGGTGAGACGGCGGTACCAATTGGCAGGTAATGCGGTTGGGATCCATAGGCCTGGGAATAATCACCATAGGGTTGTTCGTAAGGCGAGATAGGGCCTGGCGAGGGCCCGCCGGGGGAACGAGCGTGATACGCGTCCTGGTCATCAGGGTAAAAGCCGGGAGAATTGAAAGCTGTGCCTGTCCTGATAGGCGGTGGCCCTATGTAACCGGCTCCGTTTGCTCGAGGTGCGGATGGCATTCGACGCGGTCTTTGGTTGGCAAGGTTCAAAGGTTCCATCTCCATTGCCTCTTGGTGATGATCCGTCTCGTCGACCCTCTTGGTTACGGCACTATCCCACGTGGGCATCGCGGGCAACGCATCTTCATTGCCTTTGGAGACCGCAGGACTTGGGGGAGTGTCAAACCGCGCAACCTGCGCTCCACGATAAGTAGGTAGAGATGGGGGTGCGGGTGGCTGATAAGGATTGTTTATCGGCATCGGTGGAGGTTGATTGTATGGGTCATCCAAGTATTTTGGTTCCTTCTTTCGGCGGGGAGACGGACAGCAGCATGAACAGCATCCACAGCATTTACAACATTGGATGCCGCAACACAGGCAATTAATAATGCACGCCAGAATGGAGATAACAATGAGCGCACCGACAATGATCGCAACGATGACGGGCCATCTGCAGTGTCCGAGTCAGATATGTTATAAGATTACGAGAAGAAAATAATGAAACCACGTACTTGCAATACGATTTGGCCATGCAATTATCCCAACTCGACAATGTTTCCGGAGCGGACTTGAGGTCGCTCACAAAGTCCCGCGGCCATATCGGGAATGGCGTCGTATCCACCGGACTCATTTTGGCGGAATATGAATCCTGAGATTGGGTTATCCGACCCCACACGGTCAATAGTACGGGCTATATGCGATGGTTCTTTATCCAGATGTCACTCTGGTAGGGAACAAGTGCACGGTATGTGATACACACTTGAACGTGAAACATGTGCTGCTGCGCAACGAAGCGGATCCAGCGTCAGAATGCGAGGTTTAGATGGTCGCGATCGCAAGAACCACCGATCAGCGACGGCCCACGGGGCTCAGTCTTTGGTTTCTTTCGTTGGATACGATTCCCACTTGCATCAGCGATCAAGAGTAAATGAGTGGACCGGTTTGCGACGTCGGTGAAGTGTTGAAAGAATGCAGATTTTAATCTTGGTAACCCGGAATTCGAGATACGCGATACTAATTGTCTTAGGAGCAGAGAACGTCACAATACAACCAAAAAAGGAATGATTGGAAGGATCAATATTTTAAAGAAAGTGCCTGGTAATTCAGCGGTGATATCAATGCACCGCCTCCAGGGGGTCGCCACAAACAACAGAAGGGAGAGGGAGTGTGTGTGTGTGTGTGTGTGCGAGAGAGAGAGAGAGAGAGAGAGAGAGAGAGAGGTGACAGTATTTCGGAAAGATACACGGGCGGAGAAGGAAAGACGAAGTTCAGTCGGCCGCGAGAACAGGGTTGAAAGGGCGGGTGGAAGGAAGGGAAGGGAGGGGGAAGAAAAAGGTGAACAAGGGGAGACAGAAAGAAGAATGATTTTTTTTTTCCCACAGGGATCAGCGCATGGAAGAGAACCAAAACGCTCATCACAATTGCCTGGGATGGAGAAGAGGTTCGGTGGGGAGCCGATCCATTAAAGAGTAATCTCGGTGGTGTTCAGGTACGCGAAGTATTACACTGACTCGTACCGGTACTCCTCACATTGTAATCTGAAACTACTTCTCATCCCACAATTATTGGCAGTCGCAGTGTCCACTTGGATCGTCTGGATGGTACGCATCTATACGAATGAGTTACCGAGCACGGCATTCCGGACCTTTATCTGGAAACCTATACGGGATAGAGCAGACCGCCGTGGGTCAATGCGATCAGTCGTTAAATGTCGTTGAGGTTAAATTACTTTATTGGAGAAATGTTTGGGTGCCCCATACTTTTCTCATGCACCGTGAGCGAATTCGGCCCCAGGCCAAAAAAAAAAAAAAGCCAAAGAATTCCGCCCTCCTTCACGGGCCAATCGTTCTGCAGGAAATTACTAGTAGTTCCTCTTTTAGTGTCTGCTCGGTCAGTGCAAATTACGAGTTGCGCACACTATCAAGAGTTCCCCTTCCCAGCACAGGTAAATAGTAGGAGTAGCGAAACAATTATTCTCTGCATGTCTACGGAGAGCCATAGTAATGTACACCGCCGACGCCTCGCTGGCTTTTCAGAAAGCTGTGGAAGTTCGAAAACGAGCCAGATTCGCAAAGAACATGCCTGCACCTCGTATTGCAAGCCCTAAACTTTGGAGTAATTGGAATCGTAATTGCTCGGATGATCATTATAGTAATAATAATAAAAAAAAAGGAGATATCGAGGTATGATAACAAATACAAAGGAGCTCATAGACCCATCAAACATGCTCTCGGCTGCATCCTCCTTGCTGGGTATTGACAAAGAAGCAGGGGTACAGGAGATTCAAAAAGATGACACCAACGCCAGTGATAACAGAATCCGAATCATGCGATCATTTCAAGTTTTGGATTAAGATCTCGTTCAACGACTACCGGTCTCGAGAAACGTTTATACTTTGCTGGCATTCGGTGGGGGAGGGCCCGGTGGTGGCTGGTAGGCCCGCTCGGCTCCGTTGTGATACGCATGCGGCGGTGACTGCAACTCGATGCCCGTTTGCTGTCCTCCAAAGTAGCCGTAGGCTTGCGGTTGGGGTGTATACTGAGGCGGTGGCTGTTGCTGATAATGAGGGTCTGCATAGTAAGGATGTTGATGTTGTTGTCCGTAGGGAGGCGGGCCAGCAAGCCATGCCGTACCCGGATGAGGTTGAAGGCCGCGAGTGCGACGGCGGCGAGCGTTATGGCATCTAACAGGCCGTTAGCTTCATGCAACTGGCTCGAATTGAGGTCCTCTGCCAAGGGCTGGGGGGTGGAGGAACATACGCAAAAAGAAAGAATATGATGAAAGCACAACCAACAATGACGGCAAACGCTACCCAACGACCCCAATCATACCAGCTACTCGGCCTGCAGACCCATTCGCCCCAGGAATTATATCCACTACAAAGACACCGTTAGCCTCATTTCATTCCATTGACTCCATTACCGTTATGGATATTGGGCGATAACTCACCACTCTCGGCGGGCGTAGATGACACCCATCGTGGCTGAAAGGCCTCTTTATCCGAGGCCGACTGTAGGGCGGAGAATGACGTCGATCACAGAGAGGAGAGAGCTCCTAGTGCTGAGGAATCAGCAGAGTGAAAAGGGCAATAACGAGCTTAGCGATCTTCTTGGATGGTGAATACAAAATTCGAAGGAGCTCTTTCGATCCGAGCGAAAGAATTAAACCAGGACCAATGTAAGGGGAGGAAAGAAAGTGAAGTTCTTGTACGTCTGAAGGCAGCAACGAAACCGCAGCAGGAATGGCGCGGGTAAATTATGGAGACAATGAATGGACTTGGACCTTACGCGGAGTGTGGCTGGTGCTTGGCGGCCCTACGCCGACCGGTCTGTTTATTTCTTGGGTTACTTTTCCGGTGGGTAACCGTAGGATTTGGTAAGGATGCGCAATAGGGCTGGGAATCAAACAACAGGGGGGCAAATTAGATAATAATAATAATGATATTAGTAAACTACTACCTAGTTAACTATACGAAGAAAGGGGAGTCTTCAACACCTGGTCGAGTAATGTTCAAAATTCCTCGTAACGAGGGCATTTGATGGTTATTGCACACATTCGATATCTCCCCCTCTCAATTCCCTCGAATACTTCACCGCATCACTAGGGGCTATTCCGAGTGGCAAGCGAGGACGGCCGATATTATAGCTCGCCTCGGTTCTGGATGTATAATCATGGTCTAAGCCACCAAGCACCTGACTTGATTGTTTCCTCCCGCGCGAAACTTACGAAGTTCAATAGTTCGTGATTTGCTGTCTGGCTTTGCCCCCGGTTACTCGGATGAGTGATTACTAGTAGTTTCAGTTTTTGTTCCTGCACAACTTTCAGCATACTCGAGTCTCGTGAGCAACTGTGCACAGCCTTTGGTACTACTAGTCGTGGACTCCAGCTATTTCTAGAATTTTTGAATGCATGGTGAGCATGACATCTCTAACTTATTGGTCAGTATCGCGCAGGTTCGACATCGGTGTGGTCCCGGTGAAAGGTGCAATGCTTATCCGTCAGACTGTCCGATATCGACAGTGAAATACCCGTGATCCACTGAGTTGCTGGCAACCACCTACTAGCTCGAGAAGGGGATTGATAATCCCAGTGAAGGGCTTTCGAATTGTCGGCCACACCTGGTTATGTCTTATGATTTTCGACAACTCATAGTGTCACACCGGTATATGTAGGTATCCAATACTCCGGGTGGAAAACATGTGACATGTATATCAACCAAGTATTTCGATATCATCGGAAGGATAGAAAATGGACTGGAAACCAAGGCCGATTTTATATTCTAGCCTATGTAGGATTGCAACATGATGGTGATTCGCTGAAGGATCAAGAGCGCCCGCCAAGATATATTAAGAGGGCGATTCGCAACTCAAGCATTTCTGTGTACCACTAGGTCCAACTCAGGTTCTTTGCTCATCCTTAGTAATAGGAGTACTAGAACTAACTATGAGAAAAAGTGGATTGCTCGTTGGAACCAACATAAAATCTCCATGGATTGATCGCAAGGTGCTGCAGATGATACAAGAAAAGTACGTAACAAATAAGGTAAAACCGAAAAATGGAATGGACATGTAACCTGTCCTTGGTCGAGGTCACTCCATCGTAGTAAATGACTAACTCGATCACCAGGCCACCAAAGCAACCTTAGCCGATCGACAGGGATATGAAGCAGACCGTGATTTGCTCATGACTGGGGAATCTATGAATAGGATCCTAGAAGCCTTTGAACTTTGGCAGGTGTTGTTGGCGGGGTTGGATTTGCTGGTTCGCATGAGGGCTTGATTAGTTCCCGTCTTCGCATCTGCAATGCCAACGCATCAGTTGGTCTGTGTGCTCTGCTCCAACACAATCCTCATAAATAAGACAGGCGCCAGTATCTCTGTTGCCCCCCTCGCTCCCTCTTTCAAAGCTACTTGGCCCTGTCCTTTGGCTATGTAATTCAACTCGAAATGTGGATTTGCCCGAGGGTTTACAACGTTACTAGTATATATCTCTCGGACTAGCCCCGGACCAATGCTCATAGTGGTTCTCCTTTCCAACTCACGTGTCTCCCATCTCAGACGTCATATAATTCCAAAGCCAATCACTAGGAGATCGGGCACCAATGCCGTCATAATATAAACCCACTAAAAATTACATAGAAACATGGGTCATCATGCAACGAATGAAATTAACAAACAGTGAAGGAGAAGCTGAATGAGTGCACGGGCTGAAGCCCAGAGGCAACACAAAGCAAACAAGACAAAGAAAGAAAGAAAGAAAGAAAGAAAGAAATCAACATCAATGACGCTAAAGTTTAATGTGCCTGGTTCACATCGTCAACATCATTACATCGGAGGCTGCAATCCAAGAAGCTGAAAGAGTCTACAAAAGTTTAGGCCTGCGGCCTGGAAAAGAAGGATGAAGCAGGTACTATTTCCCACGACATTCATCGACTGGCTTTGGCGATTAACCAGTGCAGAACCGCATCAAGGTTAGTCTCTTCTTTGGCACTGATTCCATAGCAGCTCACTTCGCGATGGGTAATGGATTTCAGATCCATCGCGTCAATCAGTTCATCAACGGATAGCTTATTCGGGAGGTCGGACTTGTTCCCAAGAACCAACAGCGGAATACCTTCAAGAGTGGGTTTGTTCATCAACTCGTGCAGCTCATCGGTGGCGACCGGAAGTGCAGCGCGGTCCGCTGCATCAACGATGTACCTGGCCTGAATGTCAGAATAGTGACCACGGCAGTGGGTCCTGTTCCAGAGAGGACAAAAGAGGTGGACTTACACTATCGCATTTACACCGCGGCAATATCGCTCCCACATTGGTCGGAACCGCGGTTGGCCTCCCAGATCCCAGCTAGATGAGCGTTAGCACCACGATACAGGGACCATAGCGGACAAGCGCTGGTACACTGACCATTTCAAGGTCACATGGCCTTTCTGAACCCGTTTCGTGTTGAAGCCAATGGTGGGGATGGAACTGTGGGGAGGTTTAGCAAGAGAAATGACAACCCTTACGGCTAGGCTATGCCTACTCTCTGACTTACTCTACAGTAAACTCGCCTCCCTACAGGGTTCGTTAGGTCACGTTAGCGATGGTGGTCGAAAGACTAGATCGGTCGGTCCAGATGAACGGAGGCATACCGCAAGCACACGCAAAAGCGACGATTTCCCTGCATTCTGCAGCCCGATCATGGTGACATCCATCTCCGTCGCCCTGCAATTTCGAAATACAAAGTACCGCTCTTAGCAAGCCGAACCTTTTTTGTTTTTGCGGGGACGGGCCGGGGAACTATTTCCGGGAGAACCGCAAAAAGCGATGATTTATTGGAACAGCGGCCCACTTACCAAAACATCCTCAGGAGCCAGTCATAAATCGTCCGAAAGATACCCGCCATGTTTGCGATTAAGAAAAGAAAATGAAAAAACAAAGAGACCTCACTGTTCGTACAAGAGAAATCAACCAGATAGGAATGAAGGGAGAAGAAGGGACAGGATGGCCAAGAACGGTCGAGAGAAAGAGAAAACCAACAGAATGGTCGATTGTTCTGCCGCGAAGTGGCGATGGTGGGTGAAGATATTGAGACCTAGGATAAGAGTTTTGTAAGGTTAAGAGTGGGGATGGTGGGTTTGCTGAAAGGACTCGAATCCCGCGACACCGGCGGACCACGAGACAATGAATGTAATCAAATAAGACGTGAGGAAGAATAAGTAAGCCTAGTGGTAGTGAGAATGGGACTTTGGGGGACGCAGGGAACAAGACGGCGGAAAAGCGACGTGAGGTCTGGAAGAGGAACGACACCGAATCAAGTCGAGCTGAACTTGATTGAAGGGGGCGGCGGCAGAGAGACTCCCCAGACCAAAAACGTTGCGGAGAGAGCGGCTATCTTTTGCAGTTTCAGGCGCGCTTCCTTCTGATGAAGGCAATAGGGAATGATATTTCTGCTTTTTGCTCACTGCTTTGCGGTGAAACTGAAGTGCTCCGATCTATGTGCACGCATGACCGCTCGTTCTGCGCCGCTTTGGAGGGGAGCGCTTAGTGGCCCCTGTCACTCATTTCCGTCAGTCTGGACGAGGTCAAAGTCCCTACAGGAGTTAGTTCGAAAGCCAGTGGTTCTGTCGCACGGAGAATGATCTTGAAATTGCTCTGGGAAAAAAAAATAGTAATAGTGACCCAATCAGTGAAGACAGATCCTGTTTCGATTTGTAATTCCTATTCGAAAAGTGAATGCACTGTCTTATCTGGAGCCCGAAAGGGGAGCAAGAAAGCAATGAACTACTTCACCAAAACGTTCAACGCATCTATCAGCTTGTTTGCCTTGTTGCCTAAGGCGGCGTCCCGTCCCGCACATGGGTCCCGTGATGCAAGCCTTGCATAACGTGCTACTGCCTGCGGCCTCAGGCAGAAGCGGCACTGCTCATCTTCACCACGATCTATCAGCACGTGATGATATCTGTCCGCCGGTTCCACCTCGAAAAATTTCCCCGTCGCAGCGACAGGAAGGCTTCATTCAGACCAGCGCTCGTACTCCAATTGCGAGTCTCATTCCCTCTTGGTCACTCTTCTTCCCTCGCCTTTGATATCTGCGGCAGGAGGGGATGAGCTCTTGAGGCAAACCAGTCACACCGAATCACATCGACTGGAGCCTCGGCTTGTATAGACTGAAGTGTACAGTTGAAACTTTTTTTTTCACCTCCGATCCTCCGGGAAGAAAAACGTTTTCCTCGATCAAAGTCATTCCAAATTCACCATGGCTCCTGCTAAGACAGACACCAATTGGTCTGTCAATTATGATGTACTCAGACGGGAGCAGCTATTCAAGAACCCCCCCAAGGATCGTACAGCTTATCCTGCACTAGCAGCCTCTATCAAGCCGCACGTTGATTCTTTCAATGCGCTTTTCGAGGACAGCAAAGTTTTGGAGGCGGGATTGAAAGATATTGGCACCAAGACATTCCTCGATGGCGAAGCAGAAACTCCCGAGCAGAAGAAGACTAGACAGGCAGAGGGCCGAAAGGCACCGAAGCGGAACAAGCTCCATGTTCGCATCAAAGAAGTCTTCCTCGAGAAGCCTGCCATCCCCCCGACGAACAAGTTCACCACTCGTAACCGCAATATCTACCCATCCGAATGTAGAGAGAGACATGCGACATACCGTGGCAAGCTGCGCGCAAGGATTGAATATCGAGTGAACAATGGAGATTGGATGGAGGCTGTCAGAGAATTGGGCCAGGTTCCTATCATGCTGAGGGTGAGTAGCTGTAGTGGGCCTATATTGGAGGTTCTCTTATTTCTGGTCTGACTAACGTGAGTGTGGCATAGACCAATCGATGCCATCTGGAGAAGGCAACTCCCGCGGAACTTGTTGAGCACAAGGAAGAGTCTGAGGAGCTGGGCGGTTATTTCATCGTAAACGGAAACGAGAAGTTGATCCGAATGTTGATTGTCGGAAAGAGGAATTTCCCCATGGCCATTATTCGTGGCTCCTTCGTTAAGCGTGGCCACACATATACCAAATATGGTGTTCAGATCCGATCCGTTCGTCCTGATCAGACGTCCCAGACTAATGTCCTACATTATCTGAGTGATGGTAATGTTACTTTCCGTTTTTCATGGCGCAAGAATGAGTATCTCGTCCCGGTGATGATGATTCTTAAGGCGCTGGTGGAGACAAATGATCGCGAAATCTTCGAAGGACTGGTTGGCAGTGCCTCTTCTGAGGGAATTAACAATACATTCGTCACGGATCGTGTGGAACTTTTGCTGCGGACATACAAAGGATACAACCTGCATAGTCGCTCAGCCTGCCGGGCTTACCTGGGAGAGAAGTTCAAGCCCGTCCTCGGTGTTCCAACGGACATGTCCAATGAGGACGCTGGCACTGAGTTTCTTCGTAAGGTTGTATTGCCACACCTTGGTAATCAGAACGTTAGCGAGACTCAGGACTACGACAAGTTCAAGTTGATCATGTTCATGATCCGGAAACTTTACGCTCTTGTCGCTGGCGACTGTGCTCCTGACAACCCTGATGCCGTCTCTAACCAAGAAATCCTGCTTGGTGGTTTTCTCTACGGTATGATCCTGAAGGAGAGGCTGGAGGAGTGGGTCAGATCTTTTGGCCCTATCCTGAGAGATTGGAGCATGCGCAACCACGGCGCGAAGTTCACAGATCCTTCGTTCGAGAGAGACTTCTTGAGCAAGGTCGTGAAGCGGTCAAATGAGAACATTGGTGGTGCGCTGGAGTACTTCCTATCGACTGGTAACCTCGTCAGTCCTACGGGTCTCGATTTGCAGCAGACATCCGGTTACACTGTCATGGCTGAGAAAATTAACTTCTACCGGTTCATCAGTCATTTCCGAATGATTCACAGAGGTAGTTTCTTCGCACAATTGAAAACTACCACTGTTCGTAAGCTGCTTCCTGAAAGTTGGGGTTTCCTGTGCCCTGTTCACACACCTGATGGATCGCCTTGTGGTCTACTTAACCATCTTGCACACAAGTGTTTGATTTCCACCAGTGATATCGATGTTTCTCACCTCCCAAGACTCTTGGTCCAGCTCGGTGTGCGTTCGGAGTCTTCTGTCTCATTGGAGGAGAGCGTAACGGTTCAGTTGGATGGCAGAATTGTCGGTTTCTGCTCACCGAAGCAGGCTCGCATGGTCGCTGATACCCTGAGACACTGGAAGGTTGAGGGCAGCCACAATGTTCCTCGAGAGCTGGAGATCGGATATGTCCCTAACTCTAACGGTGGTCAGTATCCCGGTATTTACATGTTCTCGCAAGCAGCTAGGATGTACAGAGAGGTTAAGTACTTGCCCCTGGACAAGCTTGATTACGTGGGACCATTCGAGCAGCCCTTCATGGAAATCGCCTGTTTACCATCGGACCTTGTCGCGGGTGTTTCGACGCACATCGAGTTTACACCGACAAACATCCTCTCTATTGTGGCTAACATGACTCCTTTCTCCGATTACAACCAGTCGCCTCGTAACATGTATCAGTGTCAGATGAGCAAGCAGACAATGGGAACGCCCGGAACAGCCATCGATTATCGTACAGACAACAAGCTTTACCGACTGCAAACCGGACAGACACCGATTGTGCGCCCCCCTCTTTACAATGCTTATGGGTTGGATAACTTCCCGAACGGTACGAACGCGGTTGTTGCTATTATCTCGTATACGGGTTATGACATGGACGACGCTATGATTATCAACAAATCTTCACACGAACGTGGATTCGGTCACGGTACAATCTACAAGACAAAGGTCCACGCCCTCGATGAAAAGGAGTCGCGAAGGAACAAATCCAGACGTGAAATTACCAAGTTGTTCGGCTTTGCTCCAGGAGGTGAAATTAGGGCCGAGTGGCGTAACACCATCGATGAAGACGGTCTTCCTCACATTGGCGCTAGGGTTAAAGAGGGCAGTCTCGTCGCTGCATACCACAACGTGCGTTATGATGCAGCATCAGACTCCTATGTGAATGTCGATGGCATCACCCATTTCGTTAAGTACAAGGACGCCGAAGAAGGATATATCGACAGCATCCGTATCATGGGTGCCGAGACCGGTATCGAACCGTGCCAATCCCTCAGCGTCAAGTACCGTATCCCGAGAAAGCCCATTATTGGTGACAAGTTCTCCTCTCGTCACGGACAGAAAGGTGTCTGCTCCCAACTCTGGCCCGCAGTTGACATGCCCTTCTCTGAGAGTGGCATCCAACCTGACCTTATTATTAACCCTCACGCTTTCCCATCTCGTAAGTCTTTATCTTTTGATTATATCACCTAAAATCTTCCTTGACTGACCGATGGACAAAAGGTATGACAATCGCCCAGATGATCGAATCCATGGCGGGCAAAGCTGGTGCTCTTCACGGCCACCCCCAGGACTCGACGCCCTTCCAATTCTCCGAGGAGAACACCGCTGCCGATTACTTCGGCCACCAACTCCGCAAGGCAGGCTACAACTACTACGGCAACGAACCACTCTACAGTGGTATCACTGGCAAAGAATTCGCCGCCGATATCTTCATCGGTGTCGTCCACTACCAGCGTCTCCGTCACATGGTTAACGACAAATTCCAAGTCCGTACCACCGGTCCTGTGAACTCCCTGACCGGCCAACCCGTCAAGGGTCGTGCCAAGGGAGGTGGTATCCGTGTCGGTGAGATGGAACGTGACTCCCTCATTGCCCACGGTGCCGCCTTCATCCTCCAAGACCGTCTCATGAACTGCTCTGATACCCAGCGTGCCTGGCTCTGCCGCGACTGTGGCTCCTTCCTCTCGACACAGGTCGCTCTCGCCGGCGGTTCCGGAAAAGCCCGCAACCAGGGCGCCGCTGCCGCCGCGAAGGCTGCCTCTAGCCAGCTTACGCAGGCCAGCGGCTCCTCCGGCATCGTGCGCTGCAGACGCTGCGCCCGCGAAGCTGTCTTCGAGGACTCCCGTGCGATCACCTGGGAAGACGGTGATGGCCGTCGTTACGTTGGCGGTGACAACGTCACTGTCGTTGCTGTTCCGGGTGTGCTTCGGTACCTGGATGTTGAGCTTGCTGCCATGGGTATCAGGATGAAGTTCAAGGTGGATAACTAATCGCCCCGCTCAACGTGAGAGATGTCTATTATATCTTGCATCTCAAGAGCAAAGTAAGAAAGCAAAAAATGACATGAAAGCACCTGACAAGATTTTACGTTGGCTCGGGAATAAAAGCTTGTATAGATGGGGAGTATTTAGCAATATTTTGGTTCTTGGATGTGTACTTATCTATCTGGGATGAGAGTTTTGTTTAGTATATCATAGCATTATAGTATAGTTCTTTTCAACTTCATACTGATCTCTCTTTTTTAGTAGGATGTACCACGCTCTCTTTGAATTGATAGCAATGAGACTTGGATACCCCATTACTGCTTGCCAAACAGGCACAGACTCATAGAAGGAAGTTTCTTGTATGCCTAAGAAAAGAAAATTGATATATCATGTCTACCATGAGAAACCATCCAAGACACTGCACATTACAACTCCGACGTGACATTCGAGAATTCGCCCTTCTCCAACTTCGTCTTCCAGAAGATCGGGTTCATGTCGTCAAAGCCGTGGTGCACCCATCCCTCTTCCTTGACGTGGTACAGGTTGATGAAACCACCAGAGTAGGCGTCACGGTGCATAGCAGCCAGGATACTTCTCCGGCCGAGCTCAAGGGCCTCCTCCTCAGTCAAGTCGTAGCGGTAATTGGCATCCAGCACACCGTAGGCGAATGTCTGACCGGATCCAACACAGAACAGGTTGCCCGGGAGTCGGGTGCCGTCTGAGTCGATGTAATAGAGAGCTGGACCTTCTTGAGGGGTCATCTAATCACAGTGGAAATGCATTAGCTTCGATCGTTCTTGGGGTTATAATATGATGGAACGGGCCACATACTCCTGCTAGCATTGTTCCCATGCTCAGACCGTATCCCTTGTAGGCGTATGTCAGGTTGGCGAGAATCTTGGACGCGGCTGCAACAGTGATACGGCGCTTGTGGCGGATTTCTACCAATGGTTAGCATCAGACACATTCTAACAATATGGGGTATAAGATGATGAACTAAGCTTACCATGAAGTGTGCATTGCTGACTCAAATATCTCAACCAGTATTGGCAATCCTACATCCAGGCATTAGCACAATGGCCTAGAGGGCATCAAAAATATCCACAGGGCGCTATATTAATTCCCAGATATAATAGGGTACATACCGCAGCACCACCCGCCATAGTACCTAGAAGACCGGGAGTCGGGGCATTGTTCGCCTTATCCTCACCACGACTCAACCGCGAGACGGGAATAACCTTCTTCACTGTCTGACTGGCAATCCAATTTCCAGCGGTGGCTCGAGAGTCTGTCGCAACAATCTATGTACCGTTTGTCAGCGGAGAACGAAGGGGACCAGCTAATCGGACGGCGTACAATTCCGCCCTGGAATCGGAAGGCCAGTGTTGTCGTTCCGTGAGCAAGTTTGATGGGGCAGCTTGGGTTCGAGTGGTCATCAGTCATAGCACGGAGCCAAGATCTTGACTAGACGAAGGAGTCGGGTTAGCTAGTGTCTCCGCTTATTCGGCATATTATATGATCTGTTTGGTCTTCCGGCGTTGGGTAGGCAAGCGGTAGCATCGCTATCGCGCTCTTCCGCGTGCCGACGCCACGCACCAGATTCATTGGGCTGTGCTCACGTTGTCAACTGCAGGAAGGTTGAATTTCAGAGAGAGGGGAGGAAGGCTCTCTGTGAGGTCATGCTGTTCTTGTTCGGAGTAGAACTCATTCTGATGGGCCGGGCGGCTATATTGGGCGACCAACTTGTCCATGATGGGCGGCGATCTAAATCGGTATCGGAGGGAAGGGGGAACAACAAGGTGTAGTTGATATACAAGCGCAGATGGCGAGGAGGTGGGATGGAGGAGGTCGAGCTTCTGGGCGGGAAGAGAGCTTCCCAGATGATGCTGTAGCTCCGTCCGCGTCACGCCTGCCGCCTGGGTCACGTGGCCATATCGCTTACTTCAGGCCTTATCGCCTGGTCAGTCCCATGCATCTTCATACTTGGTACGGAGTACTACTAGTACTCATATATTTATCTCTCCTAGAATCTCCCCACTCAGTCGCAAGTAAAGAGATCGTCCTTCGGTGGGGGTTTCTTGCTTGGAGAATCTGCAATCAATGTTCATACTCGCATACTAATATACATAATAATACTCCCAAATTAACACGGGGAAGAAACCAAGGTAAGACACGACGGTTGACCAGTTTAATACGGGACAGCGACGGTTTGAGGAATGCCCCAAGCTGCCTGGGGCTGTTCCTGGAGCTTTTCCCGAATAGATCCGTTGGCATCATCCGTGGCCTCTGTCACTTTTGTTGCCTCCGTTCCTTCCGTCAGCTCAGTGGAGGGCTCGTCAAAGTGCTGAGTCGGATCTGTGACGGATTCATCGATGCTTCGACCGCTCACAGCATCTCCATTGACCCCCGCGGACACATCTGTAACGGACTCGTCCCAGCTTCTAGCTGCGCTGACGGACTCAACGTGTTCCTTTGTTCCTGGAATAGTGTCGTGAGCTCTAGGTGTATATCCAGTGATATCGGGAGTGGCTCCATATATACCCCTAGCTCCCTGCGTACTGGACTCTCCGTAACCCTCAGCCCCAGCGGCGGTATCAACACGCTGCTTAGTTCCCGGGATGTAAGTGATAGTATTACTAAGACGACTATACGTATCCCTAGTTGGCTCAACAGGCGCTGTTACAGGCTCTTGGAACTCCTGGGCTTCGGTCACAGGTGGAACACCCTCTTGAGTGCCAGACCCATACTCATGGACATATTCGTTGGGGCCTTCGGTTTCGGGAATACCTTGAGTCTCGGGGATATATTCCTCAGTGTAACGAACATCTGAAGCCGAGCCATTAATATCCCTAGTCGAAGCAGTCATCTCACGGCCATCTACTTCAGACGAGCCGACGGTGAGTGCTTGACTATCCCGAGCCACGCGAGCCGCCGGGGCTGGAAGGAGCGTGCTATCATGCAAGTGTCCAGCTGAGGTCGGGATAGGCACGGTAGTACTCTCCCAGGAGCGGAGACCTCTCTCCGCGTCTTGAATGAGCTGACTTGCCTCGTCACCACGATCATAGTCTTTCCGAGGCTCCCCTGGGATAACAGGCGAGTCATCGAGAATACCCAGCAGACGGCGGGCATGACGGGCGAGCAAAATCTGCTTCTCACCCCTCTCAATGACAGCCGCCAAGTGGATATCGAAAGCCTCCTTGAGTTTGGCCCTGGTCTGAGAAAAATTAGCATATGCCGCGATTACTCTAGGTAGCTAGAGTTGACACGAACCATGTTGGTCAACTGAGCTTCAGCAACCAAGCTCTGCGCTTCCGCTCTCACAAGCTCCTGTTCCAGTGTTTCCAGCCGGATACTCTCGGGATCCTTAATCTTCAGTCTCGCGATATCGTCCTGAATCTTGGCTCGATGATTCCGTGTCGGTTGAATCGAGTTCTCCGTTTCACGAATGTGCTTGAGGACCGTCCGATACTCTTCCAAGTATGATGCGAAAATCTCCTCTTGATCGCCCATTTCGGCGAGCAGCACGCCCAGTTTATCAGTGATGTCCGATACCGCCTCGTCCTCCGTGGCCTCCCCCCAGTCGGAGAGCTCTTTCGCGGTGGACACACGCTCACGACCGGCCTTCTCATAGGCACTGATCGCCGCATTCTCATTCTTGATCAGGCGGTTCATCCTCTTGCTCAGCTCGGGCTGCTGCGTACCGCGCAGCGTCGCGAAACTGAAACGGCTCCGCGAAGGAACCGAATTCCTCCTTCGGACCGACAGATTTCGATTCCTAGGTCATATTAGCCTGGCACCTAAGCTCTGCCATTGATCCTCGTACATGGTTGGGCTGCCACCAAACAAAATCACAAAGTAATTGACACCCAGTCGCGACAACTTTTTCAGAAGTGGCGAAATGGGATTGCCGAGCTACTGATAGAATATCCTAATAGAGAATTGCGCCTTCCTCGCAGGTCAGACAATACAGCTTAGTAAATGGTGCACACGAACGTTCGCCGGTTAGAACAGTACTAAACTAGATATATTTTCAAAAGTACGAACCCATGTTCTCCAGGCCATGTACTTTTACTTTATGATCGCATCGACCGTGCGAACGGTACTGACGTCATGCGGGAGAAGCGGAAGTTTTGAAGTCATATTGTCCAAATGCAGACAAAGCGAAGCACAGTTACCATGGATAGCAGCCCTCTTTGTCAGGCCGGGGGGCGAGTTTCGCCTAAGCTTATCTGACCCATGCTTGGTTCGGGATGAGATCATGGAGCAATATAGCCACGGAACACCAATGCACGTCTGAATACTGTGTATATCGTCGTAGTATCTAATCAATTACCAGAAAGAAAACCAGGAAAATGACACAGGAATAATCAGAAACCGAAGAAGAATACCAATCAAGAAACATTTGGACCAAACAATCCCAACCCCAAACAAAACACCCTGAACCCTAACTCCCAACTCCAAAGCGCCCATGAAGATGTCTTCCAACAATCCTACACCCGAATATACTCCACATCCTCCGTCCACATAGGCCTCCTCCTCTCCCTTTCCCTTATCCGCCTCCCTTCAGGCTCAATATACTCCACACATCTCCGCTCAGGCAAGAAATCCCGACTCCCAAGCCACCAGCCCTTCCATCTTGAAATCGGAAGCGATTCCTCTACTGTCCGGATCCGCCGTCTCGACACAGTCGTATATGACGACCGCGGGGACTCGTAGTGGCGTGGATGGGCGTGTCGGGGTGGGCAGACACTCGTCGAGTCATGGCTGTCAGTGCTACTGGAGCTGGAGCTGGAGCTGCTACTGCTGCTGCTGCTGCTGCTGTGTCTGCGCCGACGACGGTGGGAGGGAGACGGGACTGAGACACGCATAGGTGGGTTTCTGAATTCGACGACTCGGATACAGGGGCCTTTGCCTTCGTCGACTTCGAGGAAGCACATTTTCTTTCTTTGGCCGTGAGAGGTGGATGGTAGTGGTTTGGGTTTGGGTGGTGTAGGGCTGTTGAAGTACAGGGAAGAGAGTTGCTGTATATGCGTGTATACTGCTGGTGTGTATACTTGTATATTATCGGTGTATGTTTGGAGATACCTCGTGTTATATCTCTCTTTGGTCTTCTTATGTTCTGACGGGTAGACACCGAACCTGGATGCTGTATAGCGGAAACAAGCTTCCAAAGATATATATACTAGTAAATTAAGCTACCCGGGGGTTAATGCTTTATACATGCCCTCCAAATCCTGCGAAGTGAGTAATAATATAATAATATTTCTAGGTCAGATCATCTCCTCAAGAGTCCAGCCTGACAGTTGGAATCACTTGATCCGGGTCTGTCAAGTCACATGTGGGCGACCATATCCGATGACATCCTCATCTATCACCCTATATACGTATGTGTAAAGCAGAGATGTCTACGTAAATGCGACTGATAAAATGCTGCTGAGTATTTATCGGAATTATAGAAGGTCGCTTTGGCGTGTGACTCCTGTAACCTGTGTATGCTTTTGTTGTGGGTTCTTCTGTGCTATATATACATCCAACCTGCGGATGACTATATATATTGGTGGTAGGCTATGCGCTGCCCTTCCACGCTCGTCTTTGTTATCCTGCCATGTATATTCCTTATGTGCTTATGTGTATGCGGTAGAATTTGTATATTGGTTTATTGGTGTTCTTGGTCGGTATATCGGTAGTTGTTGGATTTGTGTGTCGATATGTCTGATCACTTGTTCACTTACTGATGAATGCATACATACATTTAGCTCGTACTTTGAAGGTCTGAAGAGAAACCTCTCCTGTCTACCACAAAGACTCAAACTTCTACGAGAATACAGTAGATCATGAAATTCAGAAAGTATTAACCGTATCCCCAACCCGACACTGGATAGGTTCAGGATTCAAGAAACATCCCATCGCATTCCCTAACACCGCCCTCTAAGCAGGCGAGTACTCCCCATATCTAGCTCCTACACAAGCCACAACGACAAGAACTATGCAAGATAATGCACGTCGGATGTCAAATCCAAGCTTGCCCAAGCTAAACCCACACTCCTGATTCCCACCACCCTATATACCCTCCTACATGTACCGAAGACAGTGGTAGAAGATGGTTGATCATTAGACCGGTTGCTACTAGTAGTACCCTACAACACGAGTCGACATGTCTGGGATAGATATAGTGTTGTTTCTGTCTGGATCGCAGCCCTAACTACTAGACAGTATATCTCATAGTTGTCTTATGACTTGGTTGTTCAGTTATGTACCGTGATCTGCGAAATCAACCTGCCTCCCAAGGTATACAAGGCTAGACTGGACTGTTCTGGATACTGTGGATTCCGGAATTGTGCCATTGACCAGGTATACCTGCATAGCCATTCTCGCAGACAGGATACAAACATAAGAGTCTAGCCCAAGAGCCAAGCCACCCACAGTGCTGCCTAGAGTCCCCAAACTGCCGAGCTCAACACCGAAGGTCTCCCCAAACCAACCCCAGCTCCTTAAATCCAGAATGTGCAATGGCAAATGCACAGCCGCAGGGGGGGGGGAGGGGGGGGGGCGCATTTCTTCCGCACCGACCCATGGTTGCCACTAAAGCGTAAGCCAGGTGCAGTTGTGGATCGACAGGGAAAGCATGTAGGGGTTTCTCAGGGATGGGGTTCGGGCCCCCACAAGTAAGCAACTTGCATTAGCGTGCCACTGAACGACTGTTTAATGTAAGCTTAATAGACGGGCCCGAAGGCTATCTCCTTCAGAGTCTATACTATGCAACAAGTCGAGCGGGTTATTTTCGTCAGGAATCTTGGCTGGTTGAGGTGGTTATTACCAATCAGCTCTCTTGGCATGATGACAGCTTCTTGTTCAAGGATGTTGGCAACGCGTGGCCTCGGTGTGGTATCCTGGGATGCTCTATTGGTGACATCAACTGCTGTTTGGACTATGAGGTGATGGCGGTGCAGAGTCTTGGTGTGTCCACCTTGTGGATATAAGATGGGCGACATGTCGTCTCGGACAGAAGCCATTCATCTCTACACTTTCATAGTTACCACTACCTCAGTGTGCAGGTATCACTAGCAGCATCAGCATCATGAAGATGATGGGAAGCGGCATCGCCGCTCTTGGTCTGACGACCATCGTTAACACCATGTCCGCAATGGCCCAGAACCTGTCGTACGGAGCCGACAACTTCTACCGCAGCGACAGCGTCACCGTCCAGCCGATCACCTTCGAGAACCAGTACCGGATGACCATCGCGGGCAACCTCTTCATCCGCAACAACTTCACACGCAACAACAACAACAACAACAACAACAACAACAACAACAACAACAACAACAACAACAACAACAACAACAACAACAACAACAACAACAACAACAACAACAACAACTTCACCGCGCCGGCCATCGTGGTCGGCACCCGATGGGCGCCGTGAAGGAGCAGAGCGCGAACCTGTACGCGACGAAGCTGGCGGAGCAGGGCTTCGTGACGGTGTCGCTGGACCTGTCGTTCTGGGGCGGCAGCTCGGGCGAGCCGCGCAATGCAGTGTCGCCGGATCTCTACGCGGAGGCGTTCAGCGCAGCGGTCGACTATCTCGGCACGCAGGACTACGTCGACCGCGAGCGCATCGGCGCCCTCGGCATCTGCGGCAGCGGTGGCTTCGTGATCAGCGCGGCGAAGATCGACCCGCGCATCCGGGCCATCGCGACGTCGAGCATGTACGACATGGGCGCCGCCAACCGCAACGGGCTGCAGAAGTCGCAGAGTGTCGACGAGCGCAAGGAGATCATCGCCGGGGCGGCGCAGCAGCGCTGGACCGAGATCGACGGCGGCGACGTCTAGTACACCAGCGGCACCCCGGATGAGCTCACGGAGGATACGCCTGCTGTCGGACGTGAGTTCTACGACTTCTACCGCACCGAGCGTGGCGAGTTCACGCCTGAGGGCACCACGCCGAACCTCACAACCCACCCCACGCTCTCCAGTAACGTGAAGTTCATGAACTTTTATCCCTTCAACGATATCGAGACCATCTCGCCGCGTCCCTTGCTCTTCATCTCGGGTGACCAGGCACATTCCCGCGAGTTCAGCGAGGACGCTTATGCGCGTGCGGCCGAACCGAAGGAGCTGTTCTGGGTGCCTAGAGCCGGTCACGTCGACCTCTACGATCGCGTCGATCTCATCCCCTTTGGCAAGCTCACTCGGTTCTTCCAGACGAATCTCAGCAAGAGGGGAGCCAGGGCGGTCCGTTTCTGATCTAATACTCTATATAGAGTCGGTGGTGTAAACCAGATTGGTTCAATTTAGAGTCATGTACCCTGTTAGCCGATATATAATTAGCAGCTTTACAACTAAGCTGATCTAGATACTAAAATCTCATAGACACAAATCTATATGATTGTGTGATTTGCTCCTCCCCGGTAGATTCTCCATATAGGCACTGAAGTTGATTACTCCTTTTCTCTTAAGATAATGCAAAGAACCTCATATCCAAATCCTCTCGAGCCATAACCTCATCTTCCATGATACCATGCACATAACACTCACCCACCAACATACACGCTGTCCGTCCATCACCACTGGGTCGACCTGAAAGATAGCATGCCGACACCTCCCGCCGCCAATACGCGAACGAAAACACACCCTCAACTACCTTGGCACGCAGCCGCAGCACATAAGGCACCGTCGCACCGTCAAAAACACAACCCAAAATCCCCAAGCAGGGCTCGTCTAGAGACCCAACCGAGTCGACCTTCCTCCGTAGAGCAGAAATGTTTGGCGGTGATACCAGCCCAATGCTCGCCTGTGAAAATCCTGACGCGGCACCAAGGACAGTCCCCTCAGATACCGAGCACCTTCATAACAGGGAAAAAGAACACCTGGGTAGAGAAACGCCGATCCCCATGGATGACCGTTGCCACCGGCACTTTCACAAACTCTTGCATGGTCCAGACACGTCGAGCCCAGGGATGTTGCAGGAGCGTCGCGACGGAATCCCAATCGAACTGCTGCAGGTCCGCCAGCTGCGTCTCATTAAAGCTCTACTAGCTGGAATGCCGTGTGCAGTCCGTCCAGATAGCGATCTGACCGTCACAGATAGGCGTCGACTTCGCCCAGCACTTTGAGGGCCCGAGTGGGCTTCCCAAGCCAGACGAGCACATTCCGGGTCCTTGCGTAGATGTCCCCCATAATCTGCACCTGCTTTCCTTTCCTTTCTCCATCTGACTAGGGGAGCGGATGTATCTGGACTGCCCTGGGGAATCTGTTCTTTTTGGCATGCTTTCTTGTAAGGGATCAATTGGTGGAGGGATAACCTTTGGGACATGGCTATGGTGTGTATAGAGTGAGTTGACGCCTGGCCTGGCCTGGTCTGCAGAATGACTGAGAATGAGACAGTGTAATGACAGGCTGGATCTGCTGAGGTCAAACTTGGCAGTGCGAAAGTGAGTGACACTGTCGTTATTCGTAGGCATTGCTGGAGACCTATATGCTAAGGCTTATATGCTAAGGCACTGGTGGGTGGTTGTGTTCTTAGAGCAGATCAAGGCTTGGTATCGTGAAATTCAATAGTCGTCATGATCCTATCGTCTATTATACAGTACAGTATATCCTGCCGAACGCCGACCCATGTAGAGTATGTAAATTACATAGTAGAAAGGAATAAGAAATCAAGAAAAAGGTTCATCCCTCGGGACCGGCGTCAGCATCTGCCATCTCGGTATCCTGAGGATCTTGGGTATCTCCGGTATCCTGCCGCTCACTTGTATCGTGTCCTTCTGCGCCATTCTGTGTGATCCCGTTTGGTAGAATCCCATTTGTTTCGGGCTCATTTGGTTCGGCTGCATTTGGTTCGGCGCCATTTGGCGGTCCATTCGGCTCAGTGCCGTTGGTCACTGGAGGAGACTCTTTTGCATCGGTCTTCATTTCGTCGTCGTCTTCTTCTTCGACCTCCTCGTACACCCGCACCGTCTGGTCGAGTCCACAACTCACCATCAACCGCTTGTCGCCCAGCGTGCAAGTGTCAACGCCCAGTACCACTCCTGTATGCCCTTCAATCCGTTGCAAGGTCTTCTTGCTCACTACATCCCAACATAGAACGGCTCCATCTTCGCTCCCGCTGACCGCAAAAGCATGGGGCGGTGCGCCACGCACTCCGTATGTGCCGAAACCGCCCGACAGACTGTATTTCCGGTTGACGTGCCCCTGGTAGGTCTTGATACAGCGTCCTTCCACGTAATTCCACAGCCGTACGCAGTCGTCCAGCGACCAGGCCAGGACAAACTTGCCATTGGGTGAGAACTTGACCGACGTGACCGGTGGGTTGTCCTCGTGGACCAACGTGCGCAGGCACTGGCCCGTTGCCGTGTCCCAAATTCGAATCAGCCCGTCGGTCGCGCAGGATGCGATGAGGGTTCCGTCCCAGACGACGTCGATCCCGCCGACGGGGTCGGAATGCGCGGGGAGGGAACGCATCACAGTCGCAGAGCGCACGTCCCAGAGGAATACCGCTTCGTCGTAAGAACCGCTGACCAGCATGTTGCCCTTTGGCGAGAAGGCAATCTGGTAGACGTAGTTATGGTGGCCAACGAAGGGGATCGAATGCGCTTTGCCCTATACGGCGGGGAACACTTTTAGTGGAGACGAGCTGTCAGCCGAAGGAAGGGGGGCATACCGTCAGCACATTCCAGAGGCGGATCGTCTTGTCATCCGACCCAGAAGCAATGATAGCCCCATCCGGGCTCCAGGAGATTGTCGATACTCCTGCCAGATGGCCCTCGAACGTATGCACAAGCTTTCCGGTCAACGTATCCCACACCTTGACAGCCCCGTCGGCACCTAGAAGCGAATCAGCAGCCGACCCGGAAACGTACAAGACAGTTTCAAAACCCACCGCCACTGGCAATCATAGAGGAATCAGGCGAGAACCGCACGGTGGAAACCCCCCGTAAGTGACCTCGTAATAAAAACTTTTGCTGGTAATTGATCTTGTCCGGTTTGGGCGGCGGCGGCGGCGGCGGCGGAGGGACAGGCGTGGGCGACCGATCTGAATATGCTTGCTCGGGCTCTGCATTCCCTTCCCCAGGGGATTCGTTGTCGTCCGCATCAGCGTCAGCTCCCTCCTCGTCTTGGTAGTGTTCTGATGACGGCCCCGCGGCGCTCACGTCGGAGGGCGACGAACTGCGGCCCCGGTTGCGGGAGCGCCAATACACATCAGCGTCTACTGCCAGCTCATCTGGGCTTTCCGAGCCGCTGAAACTGCGCAGACGGGTGTTTGGACGCTTTGGAGGTAATGCTTTCTGTAAGGACCAGCTTGCGCGACGCCGCTCGGCCTCGTCGTGATCGGAGCCCGCGGCAAGTTCGTCCGATGAAGACTCCACGGGGGACTGGATGTAGCCATTTTCGCGGCTTGGGGACCGATCCAGTCGACGGCGCTTGGAGCGGTGGTTATTCCCGTCCATCTGATCAAAAATCCAGAAGGAACCAAGGGGGCGCGAGAGATTGAAGGAGAAACAAGGGCGCAGGAGGAACAATCGGCCTGAATGAATCTATCGCGAAGATCCAGAAGAATAATAATCCCCGGCCAATGAGAGACGGCGGTGGCAGGGCGGTGAGGGTGGCTGATCGCGCTTGTCGGCGTCATCCAGCAAAAGTTACTATTCCATGTTCACGCGGATGCAGCCACGTCGATTAGATCGCATAGGCACCAAATATGACCCATCGCTAGCTGTCCAACTTACTTAATTCCTAATAATTCATATATATCATTTCTGCTTAATCCCGCGCGGCCACCATGTCCGCCCAATCCACCGTCTACCCCTCCGAAGCCCCCTCCCAGATCCGCATCTTCACCCTGAACTGCTGGGGCCTCAAATACCTCGCCAAATACCGCCACGAGCGTCTCTCAGAGATCGGTCGCCAGCTGGCCCTGGCCGACCCTGCCCCCGAGATTGTCGGACTCCAAGAATGCTGGACACAACAAGACTACGAGAGCATCCGTGAGCAGACCCGTCACCTCCTCCCTTATGGCAAGTTCTACTTCGGCGGCGTGATGGGTGCAGGGCTCGCCATTCTCTCGAAATGGCCCATTGAAGAGAGCTCCATGTACGGATATCCACTCAACGGACGTCCAACGGCGTTCTTCCGCGGCGACTGGTACGTCGGGAAGGGTGTCGCCTGTGCTCGTGTACGCTTCGGTCCCGGAGCCGGCGACGTCGCCGAAGTGTTCTGCACGCATCTCCACGCCCCCTACGAGAAGGAGCCGAATGATTCGTACATCTGCCATCGCACCGCGCAAGCCTGGGAGATCGCCAAGTTGATGCGCGGCGCCGCGGAACGAGGCCACCTTGCTATTGGACTGGGCGACTTCAACATGGTGCCGTCGTCGTTCGCTCACCAGCTTATTCGCGCCCATAGCCCCGTCCAGGACGTATGGCAGGCTATCTACCCGGACTCATCTGTGGCCGCCCCCATCGACCCCATCGAACAGAAACGAGGCAAACCGACCCCGTCAGCCGAGTTCAACCTCCATGTGAACGGCGCCACATGCGACGGCAAATTCAACACCTGGCGGTGGACCAAGGAGGAACGCAAACGGCTGGAGAAAGGGGAGGATATCGTCGTCGACAAGGATGCGCCTTGCTCGAGGGGGAAACGGCTGGATTATATCTTCGTCGGCGACGGCGGATATCCGCCCGCCTTCCCTGCACCCCAATGGTCTGTCGAGTCTGTCAATATTGGTATGACACAGCGGCATCCCACGCTCCGTTGTTCGCTGAGCGATCATTTCGCCGTCGAAGCCACCATCACCCGCTCTGCTTGTCCCTCTGATGCGGACGACTCGATGGACAATAAGCTTCGCCAGTCCGTAATTCCGAATACAGCCTTATCACCAGACACCTATGACCGTATTATCGACATGATTCACACCTATGTTCAACGTGAACGGTCTCAACGTCGTTGGAGGCTCGCCCACTTTATTACATCCGTGTTTGTGTCCATTGGCTGCTTTGTCGGCGTCTGGTGGACGGGGGATCTGTCGTATGTGGCGTTTATCTTGGTTTTGGTCAGCACCCTGAGCTTCGGGGCTGGGATTTTGGATGGATTGATTGGCGGGCTGTTCATGTCAAGCGAGCTGCGCGCACTGAAGGAGTTTGAGTGGGAGGTGCGGAATGCGAAAGAATTGGTCGAGAGAAGCGGTGGATCTGGGAAGAAGTCGGAATGAGTACATGCAGTATCATGACTGACAATGTCTTGTACCTTTGGTTGTATCATATTGTTTTTCTTGTGACACATAATTACTCTAGAATGTCCTGCCGCTACATACAGGACATGGCGATTTACATATGCATGTGGAATACGAGTTAACGAGTTCATTCAAATCTCAGAGCTATCACATAATCATCATTCCCCGGTCGTCAAAACCGTAACACAATCTGGACCACACACTCAAGCTAGACAAGTAGTGAGTCATTTACTCAGCACACTCGCGCTGACGCTCGTCGAACACCTTCAATGCCTCCTCGGCAGCCTTGACACCACTGAGAACCATGGCACCGAAGGTGGGGCCCATGCGGTTGAAGCCATCGATTTCAGACAGCTCCATACCGCCGATGATCAAGCCCTTGGTAACCTCACGGGTGTTCTTGACGATGGCATCCTCGGCCGAGTTCATGTCGAGACCACGCATGCCACCCAGCTTGTCAACACTGCCCATGGACACCAATCGCTTGGCACAGAAGGCGCCGAATGGGCCATCGTGACCAGTGGTACTAATGATGACAGGAGCGTTGATAGTGTTGGGGTCCATGCAGGAGTGATCGTCGTGGTGAAGGGTGACCAGCGTCCAGTTGACGACCACACCAGCAATCTGGGGGTTGCCGCCCGCGGTAGGACGGGTGATCAAGTCCTCAACGGCGGTAGCATTGAAGAGCTTGACATTGGGGAAGGAGAGAACCTTCGACATAAGAGTCGAGGTGAACAGGGAGGCGTGCTTGACAACAACGTAGTTGGGGTTTGCGTCCTCTTCATAAGGAACACCCAGCTCGTTCAAGAAGACTTCCGCGGGACGGCGCATGACCATAGCAGAAAAGAGTTGGCCACCCAACCAGGCACCACCACCTATTACAAGTTAGCTCTAAAGCTCAGCGGAAGGCCATTGATCATCGAGTACTAACCAGGAGAGACGCTGGCCTCGACGATAGCAATCTTCAGGTCCGGACGAGCATTGGCCAGGACGTACGCAGTGCTCAGACCGCAGGAACCAGCACCAACAATGACAACGTCACTCTCGGCGTACTTGTCCAGGTCCTCGAAGTAACGTCTGGTCATGGCACGAGAGACCTGGCTTTCGCGAATAGGGGCAAACTTGAACTCGTCCCACTTGCCACCGAACTGGTCGAGGAGCTTGGTCTGAGACGATCCCTCAACGGGGGCGGTCTCAGGAACCACGACCTTACCCTTGAGGCCGGTAGGGACCACAGTGGGTTCGTAGATGGCAGCTGGGGGAGACATGTTTCAAGTTATAATGACTGCAATTTGTTAGCCATTCCATCAACTGGGGGGACGAGGGAAAGCATGATCCTTTTCGCTGGTATTATCCAGATCAAGTTTTAGCCGTATAATCTCAGAACGAACCCAGTCCATCGACGCCATGTCCTTCCAGGCTAGGACTCTAGAGTCTAGGGTCCAGCTTTGGGAGGACATGTGAATGCATCGATGAATGGGAACGAACACCGGCCCACGCCAAAGACGTTACCTAAGATACCTTGATCATTGAGAGTCCAGCCAAAAGCATTCCATGACTTCCATCGTATGCCCTAAAAAAGGGCTAATCGAGGTGTATTTACATTGGGATGGGTTGGGAACTATAGATGGTCAGCAATTCCAATCACCCAAGGTTTATGGAGGGGAGGAAGACTTGTTCAGCTTTTGTCCGAGGACTGTTGAAATTGAAATCTGAGATAGGAATTGTGTGTGATGAGAAGAAAAGAGAGAAAGAGGATGGCGGGGTTGAGAAGGAGGGGTCAAGTTAAATAGCATGGGTTGAGTCAACGTGATAAGCGCACTATACCGTATAGATCCGCCCACCCGAATCTATCCGGTCCTTTTGCTCGTCTTTAGCTTTGGCCGGTGAGCCGGTCAAGAAACAAGTGAAATCATCCTGACATCGGCGGACGATCTCTAGCTTTTACATTTCGTTACCAATGCGATCCAGTCATCAATTGCCCGTCTGTCATATCGAGGAATGGTGGACTTCCCACTGGGCCGTGGGCCGTGAAGCGATCCACCACAACATACTTTATTAACATTGATCCAAACAGTAAATATCCACGACCGGAGTCTCCTCAATACTGAAACCCTTAGCAAATCGTTACCCCCACTCGCACTCCATAATCCTTTGGCCAGTTCTTTTTCTTTCCGGCTTTCTCGACTTTCTCCGCCTTTTCCTGCAAGCTGTCAAGCGAGAAGGCGGCAGCAGCAACAACACCATTATTGCATTTCACTTTGAGACGGAGCATATCGCACTCGTCTTTCTTCTTCACAATGGATTCCCATTCTGTTTCCAGTCGGATCCTCCAATGCGTGTCCGACACACGGCCGGATGGATGCACGTCTCCAATTAGGGTCGCTACCCGGCCCAAGTACTGACACCACCAAGCCTCCTGCTTAGAAACACACCGGCTCAGTTGCCGGTGAAATACTTCATCCGTGGGTGCCAGGTCGCCTGCCCAGCGCTCGCAGAGAATCAGGGCAATCAGGGCACGTTCGACGTGTGATAGAGTGTTCACCGATGCCAGGATGCCGGTCGTAGTACTATGCAACGCAACAGCCGAACGCGATTCGCGCGGCACCCGGGAATGAGCAAAAAGCAGGTTTGCGAGCGCCCCTAGTAATTGGGGGGAGAACGAAACTGGTGCATGGCGAGATTCTATGGGCGAAGACGTCGAAGGCAACGCGGCAGTCAGCAGTCCTCTAATGGCTGCATTGGATGGAGATGCATATGGCAAACTTGCCGCCAGAAGCGGATCTTGTGCGCGAACCTCCTGGGGCATCTGGTCGAAAAGAAAACCCTCCCGGACCCCTCCCTGGCAGAACTGGATGTGTGTAATGTCCGGCAAGGCGTCCATGATCACATTGACCAGGACAGCCACCGCGGGGATTTGCGAAGCCCGTCGCTTCGAGACCCCGAATATCTTCTCATCAGAGTCAGAGACCGAATCCAGAACCGACACGGTATCATGGAAGTCTTCTCTGCGCACTCGAAACCCATTAATGATGGGAATCGGATAAGGAGCCACCTTGTGCTGGTTCATGAGCACGTAGCCCCAACCCCTGAACCCGCCTCCACAGAGGTACAAATCAAACCTCCCCAGGGACTTCGCCGTCTCCAACAGAAACTCAGGGACCTCCAGAGCCCGATACGCCTCCTGAAAGTTGTTGATCATTTCCTGCTTCAACGCCTTCTCTGCCTTCTTCCCTTCAGCCTTCGCCTGCTCCAACCGCTTCGTCAACGCCGCCGCCCCGTAAGGGAAACTGAACGATCCCCGCGGACTGGTAGTCACAACCCCATCCTTCTCAACCACCCACGTAATCTGCGTGCTGCCACCCCCGAGATCCATCGCCAGCCCCGCGACAGAGGAAGCACTGCTCGCGATACCCAGCGCCCCAATCCTCCCCTCATCCTCCTTAGACAGCAGACGCACCTCCCACCCGGTGCGGTCCTTGATGCGCGCCCGGAACTCCTCCGAATTCGGCGCTGTCCGCGTCGCCTCCGTAGCAAGCACGTAAACATTCTGCGCAGGAACCCCAAAATCATCACACGTAATCTGGAACCGCACCAACCGATCCACGACCTGCTCTATAATGTCCTGCGGGATGGGGCCGCGCGAACTACCCGCGAACTGGGCATCGTAGAGCGAAATGCCAGCCCGGTCCTGGTAAACGGTGGGCATTGTCCGCGCTGTCGGGGGTGAGATGTCGGTGATGGAGAAGCGGATTCCATTGCTGGGGTGATGTTAATTCGTAGAACTCACTTCAGGTCTGTATATGTGGTATTTACCTTCCCATATCCACGATCCCATAAAGATGGGCATTGTTTCCTGATGCATAGGCCATGGTGGCTGTACTGTCTACTTCGGCAGTTAGTTGTGGGGTTCCCGGTGATCTTGGGGGGGAAGTACCATGTACATACCTACCTGTATCTGGGTGGGTTGTTCCTTGGTGCTAGTTATATAGAGGTTGCTTCTAAGCTATGTAAAACTTGTCTCAGGATCGCCCGATACGGTGTCTAGGGCTGGCTAGTTTGTGGAAAGAATTAAATTAGTCAATCGCCCGGAAAATCTAGAGGGGTAAGATAAGGCGTTAGCTTCAGCTGCTTGCTTATTTTGCGAAGTGGAACTGAGTTGGTGCCCCTCCACTTAAATATTTAACCACATTAGGACCGGGGAGGCATACACTGCATGTGCCCGACTAAGCGACGTTTCATGGCACGCGACTTTTATTCAACAAGGACGAGTCAAAATGGAAAAAGAAAGAGAGAGAAAGGTTTGTTCTTCAATCGCATTTTTGGATGAATATTATAGTACGTATACATAATCCAGATTTCACATCCAATCGTCACATCGTAGCGTTCGTTTCCAGCATCGTTACTTTTTTTTTTTTTTCGCGTTCTACAGAACTATAGCACGTACCGGAATCCAGCTCCGTAATTCTCTTCGGCGACGTTTTCTCCTTTACTCCACCCCCGTGCCTCCCTCTCGGCCTGTGTGCCATGTTGCTTGTCTAAGCGGCGGTTCTCCCAGACTAGAAGGGTTCGGAGAGTGAGCGCGAGAATCATGGTGAAGAACATGAAGGCGGCGCAAATGGACTGTCCGCGGATGTAGCGCGGTCCGTCGCTTTCTGGGAAGACGTTTGTGCCCAGGAAGGGTCCGCATTGGCCAATGACATTGAGGATGACAATACCCATGCCGCGGCGTGAATCCGAGCCTTGGTTATCTGGTGCATGTTCGTTAGCCTCCCATTATGGTGGGTTAGGAAAACATGCACTGGGAGAGCACTTACTCAGAACCCATGGGAGAATATTCGCGATACAAGGGAAAACACCGATAGCAGCGAGGAACACCCCAGCGTAACGCGCGCCCACAGATGTGCAGGTAGCAAGGAGAACGTAGCCAATAGCTCCGATCAGAGACAGGATGACCAGCATCAAGCCACGCTGTTGCAGCCGATCAGCGATCCAGGTGGTGGCAATTGTGACCAGGAACGAAGCAAAGTAGGGCGGAGCCGTAAGCCCTTGGGCGTTGATCGAAGTGAACCCCATATCCTTCAGGATGGTGGGAAGGAACACCGGAAGCGAAGAAAAGCTCACGTTGCAGCTGAAGTACATCAACTAATCCACACTGGCCATCAGCTATCATGCGCCACCAGCACAAGTAAACATTATGAACTCAGCATCAACATACCGCGGTTAGCCATGCTTTAGCATCCATTAGTGTTTCAGCCAACTCTCTCCAATTGATCTTGGTCGACCGTTCGCGTTCGCCACTCTGCTGAAGACTTCTTGCTCGCGCGACCTCCTTCTCTTCTTCGGTCAAAAACCGGGCTTTGGACGGGCTGTCGGGTAGAAATCGCCAGGCTAGGATAGCAGCCAGCAATGACGGGCTGCCCTCCACCAGAAATAGCAACCGCCAGTTCGCTAACTTGGAATGACCCGAAGTAATTCCATACGCAAGGGCACCGGCAAATGTGTTCGCCAGAGGGGCGGCTGACACGAATAATCCACAACGGAAGCCAAGCTCATGACGGCGATAGAAGAAAGACAGTAAATATGGCGTTCCGGGGCCAAAGGCAGCCTCTGACATGCCGAGCAGGAAGCGCAAAGCCATGAGTCCCTCCCAGTTCTGGACCGCGGCCTGACATGTCGCCACAATACCCCTTCCGGTGGATTAGAGAGGTTCGAGAGGCATAGTGGTTGGGGGTGTCTTTGACATACCAGGACAGGACAGTAATGGCTGCCCATCGATGGGGCGGCATGATCTTCCACATGAATGCCCCAAACTCGAATATGACATAGGAGATGTAGAAGATCGTTAGGAGCCAGGCATAGCGATTTCCGGAGAGGTCCAAATCATCCTTCATCCCTGCGATCTTCGCATTTCTTCGTTACTGGTCAGTTTGATATTATCGTCATCATGGAGCTATGCTAACAAACCCAATATTGCTTCGATCAAGAAGAGAAAGGAGGTCTGTCGACAAGTTAGACACGCGTTGAAGAGTGACGCCGGTGAAGAGTGCGCGAACGCGGAGACATACATAAAAATCCCATGAGAGTGGGCACTCTTAGATCGAGTTTCTTTAAGATGCGCGCTTCAACAGCAGGGTCAATGTGTACCACCGCCTGGGGAATTTGAGGAAGAGCGGTCTGCACGTCATCGTGGTGGACCGGCTGCTGCTTCTCCGGGTCGCTCAGTATTGGAACCTCTTTGATCTCGTCACCAGACGGATCTTTCTTTCCAAAGAAACCCATAATTGATTTGGGGAGAGGGGGGGGGGGGACACAAGGGCGAGAGAGGCTCGCGGTGAAGCACCAACAACAGCTAAGGAAGCGAAAATAAAAAAAAAACCTTGAAAGAGCGACGGGGGATCTTTTATAGGCGTGTCATGTCGGAGAAATTTGTTTAGCGAACAGGGCCATTATTGAGTCTATTGGAAGATCAGCAAAAGTTAACCGGAAATGGTACAAGTGCCAGCGTCCCACATGGGGAGGAGTGACGCCATGCAAGGGAGAGAGTTGAATACTTGTCCTGAATACTGGTGACGGCAAGACCATTGGGTGGTCGTGGTGGGGGGGGGAGGCCATTGAATTCGGGTACCATGCTTTGCCGACTTCAAGTTGGATGTAGACTGGGGTATCGTGAGTCACGATTGGAAACTGGACGATGCAGCAAGCACGGGGAGGATGAATGAACTACTGGGTATAAGCCAATTGCGGAGAAAGCTTCCGATTCGGGTTTGGTGGCAGCGAGACCGCACCAAAGCTTGCGCAAGGCTTGTTTGGGGGCGGGGGAAGGGCTATTCGATCCGACAGTACGGAGTACTACGAGTACTCACTAGTACTAGTAAGTATCTTTTCGCCGTCCCACACCAAGTACACGCACGGTCTCGGACGGTCTCCCTGATCGCTACTCGGTAGACATGTTTGTTTTATTTGATTATATTTGGACAGTCGCCTTATGGACTTATGTACAGATCTATGGACTGACTCCAAATGGACTATTCGACCGACCGAGGAGGCTGGCAATCCGATATGCAAGGTACATGACATCGGCATCCGACTTCAAACACTTCGCAAGTACGGGGGTGGTTGCATGTGCATACATACCGACTTGGACATGAAGCAGCTTATGTGTCAGAATTCAGTACTCGTACTACTATGGAACAGCCCGGACTTTAGCCATGAAGGGGTTCTCTAACAAGGGCGTTGAGAAGAAAAATACTATGAAAAAAAATACAGCAAGTTTAAATAGAACGGAAAGGATTCCGACGTGAAACTCGGCCCAGAGGTTGGAGGCTGGCCTGCAAGTGTATTCTCCAGTTAGGGTTTGGTGAATAGTATTCAATAGTACAGCAGGGACAGAGGTAATTCGCGAATGATGAAGCCTTGCACCAAGGTATTACTTCGTGCGAAAGTTGAACGACTCATATCGATGGAGGAATGACCAAAGACTGATACTCCATAGGATTGTTCATGTCCAGAACTTCCGCCGGAGTCACGATCCAAACATCCGCGCGCTGCTCCACCGACGGCGGACTAAATCGAAGTTCTGGACTATGTAAAATATGAGCCGAAATCTTGGCGTTTTATATAAAGCCACGACGACCACACACTTCTAGATCTACGTATCCACCAGCTCCTAAAAGTAGTGTTGTACTATCTCTAAATATTGCTACTACTCCCGGAGCACTACTGCCTAGTACTATACTAGGGCCCGGGGGGATCTAAAGATCTAGTAGCTTCTAAAGACAGGGTGCTGGTTGCCTCTACAATCAGGGTACTACTAGTAGTGCCCCCTAAAAACAGGATACTACCAGTAGTCGATAATCCAGAGCCTTATCTTACATAGAAAGAATATAACTGGCTCAGCAGTATACTAGTGGGTCCCTACACATAGACTTAATTGGTCAACAAGATTGGTCATATTTTAACTTCGATTGAGTCCGCCGTATCCACCTTACCAACCTTAATTATCCAACCAGGTTAGGTAACCAGAAATGTGGATGTAGAAAACTATAATCACAGTAATAGCATTTAAACTTAGAAAATTAATGGAAATACACTTAATGTTTGAATCGAGTAAATAATTAGAATACAGAAGCCTACCAAAGTGGCTAGCTACTGAATAATCGCTATTACTACGTAAGGTTTGTTCTCTCCAACACTACGAGTTCTAGGCGGAGGTCCTAGGGTTGAAGACACGGTGCAGGATGTATACTTGATGTGATCATAGTGGAGGTACAGGAAGCTAAAACTGGATAATAGAGCCACGGTGTCAAGATGCTTAGTTTTATAAATTTTGTTGGTTCCACCACTGGTACACTATTTCATTACTCTTAAAAATATGTATCGTGAAAAGTAATCATCGAGCCATGGTAGAGATACAGTAGATTTTGAAATTTACTGTCGCAATATAATACATATTTAATAATATTAAAAGTGTGTATCCCGCATTATCGATTCTTTAGAGACGAAAAGAAAAGTTGACATGCCTAAAACACGGTGAAAACACTGTAGATCCACGGTGTTTGCAACCCTAGGACCCCCGGAGTAGTATAGAACCAGGTCTCAACTGTGGGCAAGCATGTTAGCATACCGCTCGCAGACTTGGTGGGTAGTATTATGCGGACTGAGGGTCCAGCTCTCTGCATATGTGTTTGTGGCTTTACTGGCCCTGGTGCGTGAATCATTGATACGGCCCCTTTTGGGTGTACCGCCCTTCTCCGTTATTCGCCTTTCTCTTTCGGGACAGACCATTCAAAGGGGTGTTTATGATACCGGGTCTCGATGATTGTGCTCGAAAATAGAGGTCTCGTGGTCTCTGTAAACCATTCACTATAGTTTCGTCAAGCGTACAAACACGTCCACTGCCTAGCGCGGAGATGCCTCGCCAAAAACTTGCCCTGGAGCGCCATGCCACTTCTTATTTTCCAACAGTCCAAGTTGTTCCGGGGAGACTCCCCCATTCAGCAGGCACTGCTTCAAAAATAAGGGCTTGTAAAGGCCTTTGGTAGAACTGGCTGGTAGCCTCCGTTGGCGAATGAGACGGTCCACATACATACTCTTTGTAGGTACTTTGCGTTTAACCTTCCTCCCGTCTATTTCCTCCGCTGCTCTCCTCCCTAGATCTCGTAGCTCAAACTCTATTAAAAAAAAATGGTATGTCTATAGGAAGGAATATTAATCCCGGGTCCCCAGACCGGTCGCATTCTGTGTGGCAGGTTGGGCACAACGCTATCCCATTGTCGGCTGACACCCAACGAGAAGTTGATCAAAGACATCTCAAACCATAGGGGAATCTGTCTGACTGTTAGATTGATCATATCATTGCAAAAGTGTACAGGAAGAATATCACTAGTACTTATCTGGCCATCCTCTTGTGCTATAACATGGGCGATTTGCGGGCTTGACGTTCCGCAAGCCCAACAGAGGTTGCCCGATAATCTTTTCACTTCTAACTTGGTTGCGCTCAAAAAGGCATCAGATCTGGTCCAAGAGCTAGATGTGTCCGACGTAGCTTGTGATCGACTTTATTCCTGGAAAACGTTCTTGTTCATCCATCATCGTTAATCTTGTCGGCGTGACGTAATCGGTAAGTGAGCCGGTGTTCTGCCGGGTATTAGGTGCTCCGCTTTCCGTACCGCCTGGGGCGGTTCTTCCGTCCTTCAGTTTACATAAGCCCACCATAAGTCGCCTCATATATCAGGTGTCCAATCTGCGCTTGAGGTCGGTATCCCCTCCCCAACCGTCCACGACTCTCAGCTTCTCGGGGAAAGGAACCTCAAATTTCCGCGTCGCGTTCGCAAAGGCAGTTGCTCGTTGCGTCCATTCATTCTCATTGTCTCTTGCCGACCGGTTGACTTTCCGTCTCGGATGCATTTCCTGTTACCTATTATCTAGGGTTTTGATTTTGTCGCGAAAGCACTAGTACTTTTCTCCCTGATTGCGACGGCGTCTATTCACAATGGACGACCCAGCGACCCGTGTCCCCGGGCAGTTGGTAGGCCAATCTACTGATCCAAGTCGCAATGCAATGTTACGGGCCAAATGTCTAACCTGCATTTCGATTCCCACAGTTGCCGCATATGCACCTGGTGTCGCGACACCGGTTCCCGTTGATGCATATGATGCCCACCGACACCGTGGTCGAATACCTCCTCGGCGCACCGAAGATTGTACGGGAGGCGCAGCCGATGCATTGGACCTTCCTGGATGGACCTCAAGATGGGACTGTCATGCTCGCCTGGCAGCCCTTGAATCATTTGGGAACGAACTTCGCCAGCGATGGTTACGTGTGGGCCGATGTTGAACAGGCGTTTACCTTCGAAGCCCGCGGTTACGTAGGTAGACCCGATCTCTAATGACTTGCTGCCCCGGTGGCCAGGATAATGACTGACATGAGAGCGCATCAGTTGGTCGAGATGTGGCTGCACCGCAGTGGCTACCATCCGCCAAACGAGACAATGGCGATCCATTGTCGCAGACGCTACCGGTTGCTACCTTCGAAGAACCCGAACCCAAACATGCCCCCGCCCGACCCGTCATTATGGATCGTTCACTACTCACGAGCACCTCCTACCGAGCATATTCCGGCCAACAGAATCCATGTGCTCCCTCAAGTCCAGAGCATGCTCGGCCAACGTCGCTTCTTGCAAAGCCAAGGCCAGTTGGCCCGCAAAGACTTTATGCTGCACGACCGCAATAACTGGCCGACGATCAATTTCCCCCCACAGGTTGCCCCGCAGGGTTTCGCACAAGTTCCACCAGCATATCCGAGTGCCATGGTCGGGCGTCAACCGTTCTATCCTCAGCCTGGTTCAGGTGTGCCCGCTCCGGCAGGAGGAGCCCCGGCCAAGGCGCCCCGTGGACATCGCGCTTCGTCGGCTGCAGTGAATGCCGCCACTGCCGACTTCGCTCTCGAGGACGAGGATGTTTCCACAGGCGATATGATGGATCTTCTTACCCCACGGGAAGTGAGTAAGATGAGATATCAACAACACCATGAATGGATGGAAGAGATCTTTGCTTCACCGTACGCCATCAGCCAGATTACCCCCGTCTCTCTTGGGTTGGGTCGCAAAGGGGAGTTGGAGTCGTTGACGGCGGGCTTCTTCGATGCGCCTTCCGGACCTACTAGTGGAGAATCTAAAGATGCGGCCGATCCGGCCCAGGCTACCAAGATGGAGCCTGCCAAGGCCGAGGAGTTTGCCGACCGTGTTGCGAAGAAGGTGGCAGATATGACTGCCGAGATTGAGAAGCTGAAGAAGCGGCATGCGCGCCGGATGGAGAAGTTTAACCGTACCTCATTGCTTAAAGATGCGGAACTCCGACTCCGGGAAGCGGCGGCTGATCCGAACGCCACAGGGACTGAACTCTGGAGACTGGAAGGCCGCATTGAGATCCCCGCTGAAGGCGACGAGACTCAAACACCGCCTGCTTCCGACCCTAAGGCTAAGTACAAGGTGGATGACGTGGTTAGGGAGCTCGAAACCTCGTGGAACAAGCAGATTGTGCCCGAGCCTAAGGTTTCTTGTGTCCAAAAAGGCGGCTTGTTAGAAAAGATTGAACCCGAACAGAAGCTAGAAGCCCCCGCAGATGACGATATCGACATGGAGCACGCAGATAGCCTTCTTCTCAACCAGTTTGGTTCTCCACCTCCCTCCGGCCCCGTTCAAGGAGGTGCACCTACCGCTCCAGAAATAGCCGCCACGGCAAGTGTACCAGGTGTCTCCGGAGTCCCTGGTGTCAATGCTGCTGCACCGCTGCAGACAACAGCTGCCGTTGCCCAACAGAGTGTGACGATGCCCGGTATGGATGTTGAGATGGACCTGGGCAATGCTCCGTCCGCGAATACCGCCGCAGGTGAAACTGGGGATTGGGTAATGGTCAACGATGAGAAGAAGGACCACGGCGACAAGCCTGCCGTTGGCGATGCCCCTCTCCATGGAATTGAAACGCCAGGCAGTGGATTACAGGGGCTGACGCCTGGAAACACAGGGGGGGACAATGGTCTAGACGGGGCCAACTTTGACTTTACTAATATGGACAGTGCGGGCGATGCACTGGCGGCCTATACGGAGCAGAACGAAGTCCTCGATCTCCCGGACCTGGAAAACTCGGCGTTCGGGGACGCATTCCACGCGTCCGATAATGAAAACACCCACCATCATGATGCAGATGACATGGCTTAGAGCATAGTGTGGGTCTCGTGTGATTTGGTTATGCAGGGATACTACTGTGGTGTTGTGGTTTACGATTTACTCGGCGCTGGCTCTGTTTTGCTTAATATCCAAAAAGGATGAGAGAGATGTAAAATAAGACTTGGAATTGCATCATCTACGATGGTTATTCAATTGCTCCCTAATTTAGACCAGATATCTGGCCACTGCAGTCAACAATTCACCCGGATTGAAGTTGACGAACTGTACCTAAGCCGCAACAGGGGTACTAATACAAAAGCACTAAGAACGACGGGAGACGGGCTATCCTAGTACTAAGAGGATGATCTATTAAACTAGGAAAGAAGAAGCTATGGAAGACGCCTTTGAATACAGATATCCTGGTTCTGCCAACACAGCATCTCCCCTTTTGAACTATTTCTGGTATATAACCAGGACTCGGTTATACAATTGAGCGGGTCAATGTCATTCTTTGTATATACACCGACTGGATACTGGAGCGAGTTCTCCGATATGCACCTCTATATAAGGACTTTACACTCGTCGTCAGACTCGTGCCCTCCATATGGGCTAGTGCTGCTCCTATTCTGAGAGGGCATGTCCAGGTCTACGTACATTTTCTTGAGTATGTCGATCTGTTCTTATTTATCGACCAACGCTTTGCGTGTCTTTTCCAACGACTTAGAAATCGGGAAGATAGTTGTTACGTCAAAGGGTCGACCGACACGGTCACCAAATGCCTGGAATTGTTGGTCTAAATCCGCCGGCTCCTTGTTTCCATCGGGCAGAGTAGTAGGCGCGCCTCGAAGACCTGATCACCGTTGTGTATTAGATGCGTCGATAAGTTGTAGGGTTTTACACGTCACTGGATTCCAGTTTGGTGAGGAGTCCAGTTGTCAGGCAAGTGAAATCCTTCCATCTCGTCCCCCCAAAACGTGTCGCAGTCAGGCATTCCGAATACTGTCGACAAGTTGTTGCGTGTGTCCAGAGACCCAGTTTTGCCCATATCTTGCGTCTTGAGCACACCCAGTAGTAGTATGTTGTACTGTCTAAGAGCACCAGAGGCCTGTGTGGCATGAAGGTTATATTGGATTGCTTCATGATCTAAATGATTGCTGTAACGTAGTGGAATAGACTGCGGTACACAGACCGATAGAGACCGAGGCCATCTATAAATAACTGGCATGGTAGAGATAGGGCATTTTGGGTGCAAGTTGCCATAAGCTCTTGGAGCCCATATTTCCGTAGCTGTAGTTTGCCACAGAGGGGCGATGTATTACCGCCAGCGGCTTACTGCTTCAAACTCACTATCTAGAGGACCAAGATGATCGAGAATCAGACAGATCATGCATCCTTTGCCAGAGCATGGTCCGCAGGGTTGCTTAATTCCACTGCCTCCGTTTGTCTCAAAACGATTAATGATTGTATAGTACCCAAATACAGTCTCTCTTAGGGCTTTTCCCTAGGCGCCGGCAGCGTGGTGGCATGCTATTTGGATTCGTGGTTGGAATCCGTGGCTGGACTTGTGAAACTTAATGGCACAGAGCGTATCTTTCCAACGCACCTGATACCCGATTGACGTGCACTCAGATCACCTGTACCATATAGGAATTACGGTTGTCAGCTGTCTCCAGTGCACGCAGCACCTGTAGATACCCAGCTGGGTATGATGTTTTTGCGAAATCTCTTTGAGATGTATACTGCTAACTACCGGTATTTTTTGGTAGCCAGTATACCGGAAGAAAGAAAGGTATCAGGGCCTATGATTCTCAGATGGAATTGGCCATATTTCCACTGAGGTCCAGTGCGCAGACCCGGGTGAATACAAAAATATGCTGTGTTGCCAATATAGGTACCTTCTACCAGGGTATGATGTAGCTCTCTTCCTTCACGGATATCAATTCCAATTTTTCTGATAGACAAGATCAGGGTCCCCCGGGTATCCTTAGAGTCAGGATCACTGCCCTCCCTGCAAGCACAGGGAGGATAATGACACTATACTTTTTGAAAACGCGGCCTCTTTTTACTTCTAACTTTGTTGTGAGATGTGCTTCGACATGGACCTCAGCCCAGACCTTTTCACCGTTGGCCGTCACTGCGAAGAAAAGCTCAAGCAGTACAAACTCCGTGCTCACAAATCCTTCGGAGATACTTTGGATTGGTACCGGCGCATGGTAAGGACAACAGTGTACCATCCATTGGAGGCGTCTTTGGATATGTCATGGTTTCTTGTGAGCCGTCCATTGATGTGTATACGATCAGGTAGAGCTCTTCATTTGGCTGTCTATGGTACGAATTGGGTGCTTGCAGAATATGTTAGTATATCCCTACACCGAGGACAAACCACCGGCTTTGGCGAATGCCTTCCTGACTGAACACTCATTGCCTCTGCCACGCGCAATCCAATTTGCACAGGCCCCGCTGTAGAGCGCTGTGCCATTGAAGGAAGGGGGCATATTACCGATGATTTATCCTATGACGCATAGCATATGGATAGATATGTGTGCCTTTCGTCTTTAACGGACTGCTAGGATCTACTCCCAGACTCAGTGAGTATGCGTATGTAGCTCGAAGGTTGATGCATATTCGCTTAGTAACCTCCATATCTTGCACTACTCTCCCTGGATTCTCTTGACATTGCAGTGAACTAAAAGTATCACTGCGGATTGTCATCTTCAGGAGTTCGCGGTGTACGTGCTTCCTCCACGGCAATCAGCACAAGATATCAGACAACCGCGCTGGCCAGTCAGCTGAGTTCTAGATTCCTGGGTGGTTTTCTCGCATCTATAGTCATACTTGGGTCTTGCTCAGGCTCAGCCATTGGCCCTGAGTCAACGGGCCGTTTCGCTGGGCTAGAGCCTGGAATGAAGTGACGAATAATACCAGGGCAAGCTTCACGCTTGAGCATTTCCGAATTATGCTCAGGGTGTATAAGAATAGGTGTAGTAGCTGTAGGACGTCCCTTCGCGGCAGTTCAATATCGAACCTCTCCACTCCGGCGCAAACATGATGTGGCTGAATCCTTCGTGCTAGTTTCTGACAAACGATCATAGCGTAATGAACTCGATATATTCGCGGAACCTTCGTTCACCCAGTATTCCTCTAGGTTGACAACATAGGTATCCTTCAACAGGACCTCGCATAGGTTCGGGCCATTCAGCGAACACACGCTCATCGTTGAGAAATGTGTTTACCTCAGGTAAACCGAAAACCGTCGATAGAACTATGTTGCATCCAGAGGCCTCCCTTCGCCCAGTTCTTATGTCTGGTGCAGACACAATAACAGTACGTCGAACGGTCTAACGGGACCAGAGGACTGTTTGTGTCTGGCGCTGGCTGAATCCCCTATCTGGGGCTTTTTTGCCAATCCTTGGGTCGCCGGTTGCCTTGTGATCAGCAACTCGTATATCAAACACATCCAAGGCGCATATCGTGCCCACTGCTTATCCAATGTTTTGCGGCACGCGCCCCTATTCCCGCGGCTCGTCGCCCACTACAATTACAAGCCTCATCTTGCCGCTTGTTCTCTTAGGCAGATCCCTGCTGTCTATCTAGAGGGTAGTATCCAACCCTCCTATCCTCTCAAGTTCCAAAAGCGGGATATACATAGTCGAGTGTTTTGTCCAGGACGTTTTCAGAACATAGTTTTCCAATGTAAAGAAACCCAGCCGAGAGTGTAGATGGATTCCATGGAGCTGGAGAATGACAGACGAGTTGGATCAGTGATTATCATTTGCGTAAGCATCCTGTTGACCAGAGTGCCTTGCAGAAGCAGATTCCGGTGCCTGCCCCGGAAAAACTCATAGACCTTCTCGACTACACTGCGTGATCCTCAAGGGCCTACAAAATTCCATTCCCCGCTGCTCCTGGCATCATATGGGTAGAAGTCGATATCGAAGTGAGTGTCGTGGCCGATTGCAAGATCCAGGAGACTCTGCTGGTATTGGTTGGGGATTTCGAATAACCCTCAGGTTACCGTTGACATCCCCTGCAAGTGCTTTATTTCGGCACTGTCGTCAGTCATAAGAGCCAGATTGTATAAGTCGTGGCCCGCATGGATACTTGTGTGAGTTTACAGGTATATACCCTGATAACCAACCACTGGGTTCCTTGTGAAGTAGCGAACTCGCTGAAGCCCGAGCAGCCGAGGGCGGATTGTATGAGATAAAAGAAATTGTTTTCGGGTAGTCTGCCAGCCTGGCTGTAGGTCCTGGCAACCTCGTAGGGCCCAGTTTGGCACTCCAGCGTGGGCTGCTGCACGTTGCCAGCCCTGGTGGTGTCTTGGAAGTTCGTCTCAGTTCGCTGACCTGCTCTCTTGTACTTCTGCAACTTTGGACGAAGTACTGACCGTAAACAGGTACGGATGTTATGTGTGGAGCAGCCGCTGCATAAAGCCAACCTATACACCCGCTCTGCCTCTTCTCTGGTTTTACCCCTTTGATTTGTTAATAAAACTTTCTGGTGATAGCAAAATATGACCTGTACATACATCAACAGTTTGCGAATGGGGTAGGTCTCAGCACAACAGGGGCATGGTGGCCTGTTTCCCTTGGATGGCCTTGGGATTCATCAATGCGGGAAGACCGAAGACCAATGCACCACGTTGCAATGCCCGTCCCATTGTGCAACGTCCTATCTTGATGATCCTGGACGATATCAATCCGCTTGGTCGTCTTGTCGACAGCAACCACCAATTGGCCGTGCGGCGTGCCCTTCAATTGAGGTTGCAGCTGCACGATAGGGTCGATCGTCAGGGTATAATACGGTTCTGGCACGGGTTATGATAGAGTAACGAGTTCAATAAGCCGTAAGACTTACGACGCGGTGGCTTATTAGCTATACACGTAGAGCAAGGCTTGATTTATCACGAGCTTCTTTTTCTTATCGTTTTGGCTTGTTGGATTGAAGCCATCTGTTCATGTAAAGGAAGATATTGGAGAACATGTTAAGGTTTGTTTTAACCAGGGTTCCCTTGAAGAGGTAGGGTTTCCAAGATGTCAGTGATTGAATCAAGCCTATGAAAGAAGCATAGAAGCGCAGGCAACTACTAGTATTATAGGTGAGTATAGACACGTGACGATAGATAAAGGGCTTGACTGGTGCATGATTGTCGCCATCGTTACTTTGTTCGACCACGAATAGCGACGCACGGAGCCTGTACGCCAGGCGAATATCCAGTTTGGATCTAACTTCGGACAGGCGTTCTTCGAATGCGAGTTTAGCCAGGTAGCGATATTGTCAATATCGATCGTGGTGCCCACGAGAGCTGTTAGTGGCTCAAGTTCTAGGAACAAGCGGAGGAGGGATCAAAGTCAAGACGGCAGACATCTGCGAGCACACACATATATGTCAGTCAACAGAATTGACGCAACCCTTGGCCAGTCCACGCGTATCTGTCCTTGTAAAACTCATTTGGGTCTCTTGGGATGCGCTCCATCGTCGTAAACCAGAGGCTACACCAGCCCTCCCGCTCTGTATAATCGAAGCCGTATTCATCTGCGGCCAGTGATACGCCCAAGATTGTCACAGTGTGATGTGCATTGACATCGCTGATTCTTGGACTGGCATGCTATCTTTAGCCAGTTTACAGACCTTGAGAGCACCACTGACATGGTAGCTGTCGTTGTGAGTAGATTTGTATCGTGCTTTGGCTCTCTCAAAGTCTCCGACCACCCGCTTTCAACCGCCCGGTTTATGTTTACAGGGTTTGATGAAATCCCTTGTCTTCGGCAGGTTTGCCCACGTACTATATGCAGGAGGCCAGATCCATGTGGACCAGCTGTCGGTCTATAGTAGTACTGTGGTACATGCTGCGCAGCCAGCCCGAGTTGGATCCTTTCCGGAGCATGTTGACGATGGCCATATAGATCAGCCACTCGTTGAGTCCCTTCTTGGCAGGGATAGTTCACGGTTTGTGAATCTGCCACCAATTCATTAGACTCAAGCGGGAATAGAGCTCCAGCTTGTAGCACCCCAAGAATGATACCTTCATTGGACGAGAGCCGTACACGATACACGTTTCTTGACTGGCTAGGTGTATAAGAGATGCTTCCCGGAATGCAGTGATGGACTCCCCTTCGTCTCATCTAGGCCTGTGGGCTTTTATGTGTAACTTTTCCGGTATATGTATTCCGTTTATTGGTTATGGTATACGAAAGCCAATGGTGTCTTGGATGGAGGGCGCAGAAGACTTCTTGCAGGATGGCAGAGGTATACAAGCAAATATGGGGTGAAAGATTGACAGTGTGTTGATGAGATTTTACGTGGACGAAGCCACTGATCAACGACGAGATCGCGTTTGCAGCTCGAGAGGTTAGTAGAAGCTAGATGGGAGAAAGATAGGAGACGAAATATACCCCTTCTTATACCCATCCAAAAGTAAGAAGTCACAATATCATTCAAGCCAATTTCGCAATAGAGTGACAGCACACGGCCGATAGAGAATGCATCCACATATTCCATTCCCTACCAACATTCACGGCGGGAATATATGACATACTAAGCATTCCCATTATCTAGACAAAGTTAACGTATAGATCAAAGTCAACATAAGATTCCCGTCATATCGAACATTCCATTCCCCCGATCGAGGAATGTGATCTGGTCTACTAGTTAGTAGGTACAAACTATCCGACGTTTGAACCCTAATCACCACGTCGATTTGTGCTCTTCATCCTGCATCTTTATCGACTCTGTGTAATCACAAGCCCAGGGAATATTTACTCGGGGTAAATAATCCATACTGAGGTCTAATTACCTCGACAAGATGAGTGTAGTCCCTATCCTCATTCTCATCGGCACTTGATTAACCGGGACACCCGACCATCTTGGCGTCTATCTCTCAATGACCATCTATAACTGTCCTTGTGAGTGAGAATATATTTTTGTAAGTGTATACAATGTCTCAATTTACTACCCCTAATAGATATTTATATATTTATACATTTATTAACCCGAGGATCCCCGAAACAGACCGAGTGAAGAGCAATGAATGATATAAAGTTTCACCACCTTACATCCTCAACCCTAACCCCAATTTCAAAAACACAACAAACTAAAAACAAATCTATTAATAACTCCAACCAACAGAAAGCAAAGCAAGAAAGAGAAAAGAGAACCCCTCTTCATCGACGGCCCCCCTTTCCTATTGCGTCTTTTGTTTGTTACAGATCTCAACGAATTCCCTGGTTTCAGGAGTGTGCGTGGACCAATCTGCTTGCATCGGGGACGAAGCAACCATGGTTCGCAGTGGAGGGTTGGCGGCAGGACACTGGCGGATGTTGTTTGGGGGATTGGAGTGATTACTAGTAATTACATTTCTTTTAGAATTGGAAATTAGAAATTGGGATTGGCGTTGTGGCTTTGGATTTTCATTACTTTTTTTTTTTTTTTTTTTGCTTATTTCTGTTTGTATCCTGGGTGATTGATTCCCGGTGGGCTTGAGGGAACTGGAACTAGTGACTACAAGTCTGAGACACAAGGTTCTAGATTTAATTGAAAAAAAAGTGTGGTTTTGAATAGTTTCTTTCCGTTGATCCACTTCATCCTTCGAACTGAGGAACTGGAACTGTGAACTCCTACTTACACCGGGATTCCATGGAATAAGTTGACTGACCCAAGTGAACCAACTGAATAACCCTGGCTCAAAAAATGTAACACCGATCCCTTTTCCTTGCCGATTCCTCTAAAAGTATTTTTTTTGGTTGTGTTTTATGGTGAAATATTTACCAAAGAGAAAATTGCCCATCAGGATTGGTAGGTGTAGGCCTTTCCACTGGCGCTCAGGTCGCTGCCCTCCAGCAGGAAGCCATCGGCACACATGTAGTAGGCATAGCGACCGATGCCGCTCTGCGAGTCGAGCCAGGGGACCACCTCGTTCAGGAAGTCGGTGGATTCCTGGGTGCCCGCGCCGGCCGTCATGGCGCTGTTGAGTGCGAACTCCGTGACCCAGGTTTCCTCGAGGTTGTACTGGGAGGCGAGCTCCTGGGCCTCCTGGACGAAGATCTTGAATTCGTCGGCCGAGGCGCCGTACCAGTGCACGGCGAGCACGCTCATGCCGCAGTCGCTGCAGGCGTCGAGGAACTGGCGCATCCAGCCGAGACCCATGTCGTTGCCGCCGCCGTTGGTCACGGCAGGCGTCACCAGCTTGGCCTTGCCGCTGTAGGGCGTGATGTATTTGGCGTAGGACTCGGCGGCCTCGGAGGGGGTCATGGCGGCCTGGGAGCTCTGGTCGGGCTCGTTGAAGCCCATGATGTAGTTGCAGCCGCTGCCGAGCAGAGTCTGGATGGTCGTGAACCACTCGCCGAACATCTTGCTGCCCCAGAGCATGGGGACGAACTCAACGTTCGAAGGCAGCGTGCCCGAGGCGACCATGTTCCAGTCGTAGGCCCAGGAGATGGCGCCGTTGTTGCTCAGGGTCTCGACGGTCGAGGCGTCGTTGTAGGCGGCACCGCGCTTGCTGGAGGAGCGCTTCGTGACGTGCACATGGGAGTGCTTGTGGGCGTGGGGGGCGGCCACGGCACTGGAGACGAGGAGGCCGGCGGCGATGAGCTTGGTGAAGGAGACCATGATGATGGGGCTTTTTGTTCTGTATTTTTCTCTCAACTGCGTAATGCGGGTGCAACCAGAGAAGACCGGTTCTCTAGATAAAGAAGGTCGGGTGAAGCAAAGACAGTGGCGCTTGATTGGGAATCAAGCGGGACTTCTCAAAGGAATGACAGATTGACCGTGCACGGCACAGGGCAATACCAGATAAGGAGTGTGGGAGAGAGAGAGAGAGAGAGAGAAGTGAGAGAATGAGAGACGGAGGAAGGAGAGGAGAAGGAAGAGAAAGCAGGAGGTGAGGGGGAGGAAGTAAAAAGGGTTATTATATACTAGGGCATCCCTCCTGCCCTAGTTTGGTGGTCGAGTGGAAAAAGTATCCCTCGTGGATGTTTGGATTTGGAACTATACTCTTTTATGTCTAGCTGGGTTCATGGCAGTCTTGGAGAATTATTATAATTATTATTATTATCATCATCATAATAATAATAATAATAATTCTGTTCCTGTGCCTGAGTGGCAGCTCCTCCCGGAACCACGGATGCCTCGCCAGCGGCACCGAATGAGCTTTAGGGCAGCCCTCCGAATCACCATGATAATTCCTTTTCAATTACCTGCGTGAGATCAACAGGACTGCGCAGTACCAGGGACTGGTCACATTGGCATATCTGTCCTGGGAAATTAAAATCTCCTATCGTCGCTCCTCTCTTCTTCCCCTAGATCAAGGACGTCCGTCGCACAGTCGGAATGTCGACAGCCAGTCAAGAGGTCCCGCAAATCCGATCCGAGATGCAGGTACCAACACACTCTCCCACTTGTCGGTGTGGAAGAGAAAGTGATGGAGTGTACTGAAATGTACATGGACCATGCAGGACACTAAAGAGGCGCTACACTAGTTCAAGCCCACTCCACCGGGGATCCATTGGCAGTCCAGACCTGGTCCACCGGGTAATCGTCATGACGGCTGTTCCGATCCCTCGTATTGTTGACACATCAGATTCTCCGGAAGATGTATCGAATATTGAAAAACCCATGCAGCAGACGGAGGACAAAGGAATGATCCAAGTCCGGGGGTGTTCCCTCTCTGTCACCAAAGGAATCGAGATGGATCGGCCCTGCCAGAAAATCTGGCGAGCGTCCAGATCGGCCACCGGGAACGAGTTAAGCATCAGCCGGGGTCAAGACTAACGGGACTTAAAGTCCAATCAGCCGTTTTCTAGCGCCCGTCGGCCACCACATCTGAAACGAAGGCGAACGAACTCCCTCGTCACAGGTGACGTGTGCCACAAGCCATCGCAATAGATTGATCGCGCTGCCGGTCCTATTTTTGGGCTCGTCGACGGATGGACGCCAAATACGGTCTATATAGCCCCTATGTTTAGGCACCGATGTTGTCCCTCTGCTTGTTCCTTCTCGTTCTTTCTTCTCCTCGGGTGCCATGGATCAAACGCCCCCCTGAGGGTCTTCCCTCGTCCGGTATTAGCGGCTGTCAACCATAACCTAGGCCCCAGCCTATCAATCCAGTGGCCCACGTCTCAACTTGGCCGCCCAAAGTCAATCTATGCCAATGACAACCGCCCCAACCCACCATGGCGCTCTGCAGTCATCCACATATGGAGACGCACATGCTCTGGCCAGTGGCGAGAACATTCAGAGATTTCTTGTCGAACGGACTTTCCAATGGAACCAGTGCGTGGTGAAGCAGACGAGGAATGTTCGCCGAGGCGTCTCTTACCCATTTGGTGAGGCACCGTTGCGTCATCCATCCTTGCGTGGACTGACTTGGGCCTCCCACGTCAACCGTCGACATGGTCCTGCCCGTGCGGAGATTAATTCTCGGTTGCAGACGGTTTTCCCCGTCGGCGTTCTAATCACTGACAGAATCTCATGCATGGATCAGTTCATTATTGGGACTAGTATTGCAACCGACCCTGGGCTGAGTAAACCCTCGGCCCTCAGGCTGCGATGCGATACTTGACAATTGAATCATGACCCCCTCCCTGCAAGGTACACGAGGGCTTCCCTCATCTAGCCAATCATGGTTCACTCCGGATACACTCCGCCGACAGAATGTCCCAAGAACATTCGGGAATTTAGCGAGGGAGAGCGTTGCTGCATCCTCTCTTTGCTGGGCGGAAGGTAGCCGAGCATGGATGTGGTGGCGGCCATACCATCCATCCGTATATCGGATTGAACACATGACCGACCATCTACAAATATCAGTATGCCCTAGAACCAGCATGGACACAAGTAATACACGTCACAGAAAAGAGCAATCGTAGAAAGAAAAGAAGGAAATGGAAAATATATACGCATAGATCCAGAAACACAGTGGTATCACAACTCATGAAATGCATAGAATACAACATCGCGCTCTCAATCTTTCTTCCTTCCCTCCAGCACACGCATCACGTCGGATACGCTGTCCTTATCTCCCTTCTTCTTCTTCGGCCCACGCTTTCTCTTCTTGCCCCCACGCTCCTCCAGTATCACCTCTTCGTCTTCGTCGTCCTCGACGCGACTGCTTCCGAATCCAAGATCCATATCCATGGCATCCAGCTGTTCGCGACGGCGGGCTTCTTCGAGGAATTTCTTCCTCCGAAGGAGAGTCTCTGAGTCGACATCTTCTTCCCCATCGCCAGCGTCATCGTCTGCCGAAGACTCGGCTCGTCGCAAGGCAGCAGCCCGTTTGAGGGCCGCAAGCAGGGTGGGATCTTTGGTGAGAGGGTTCGAACGATCTTCTTCAGTAGTCTCCGTCGTCGAAGTCGAGAAGTAGTTGCGCGGTTTGGCGGGTGCTTCACCCGAAGGCTTGAGTGTCTCCTTCGGTGTCTCCTTCGGCGCTGCCTCCGTGGTGCGAGCTGGCTTCTCTCCAACCTCACCATCGGAGTCCGAGTCCGACGACTCATCACTCCCGATATCAGCCAGAGGGTTGTAATCGTCACCCACGCCCGCAAAGATATCGTCATCTTCATCCTCCGACGGAGCAGACGCCTTGGCTGCCACCTCGGCCGGTACCTCCATACCCAACGGCTTCGCATCCTTATCCGGGACCAAGAGACCGCCAGCATTGGTCTCACCCGGCTTATCCAACCACCTGACCTTCCTCTTCGTCTTGCCCTCCGCATCTGTAATCTGTAGGATCTCCTTGCGCCGCCCGTTCTCATCCTGCTCCACCCACCTCTTCTTCTCCACCTTCGAATCCCCAATTCTCTTAAACTTCGACCCCAAGGCCGGCTCAGCCGCCTGTTCCTCAGCAGCCGCCGCCGCCGCCGCCGCCCGACTAGCCCTCAACTGTTTCAAAATCTCATCCCTCGACTTCTTCCCTGGCGGCGGCGCCATATTCCCCTTCTTCTTCTCCTTCTCCCTCGGCGCAGAAGGCAACGCCTCCCCCGTCCCCTCCTCCAACTTCTCCAACTCCTCATCCACATCCCCTACTGTCTCCCCCACAACCTCCTTCTCCTCCTTCTTCTCCACATCCTCCCCAGCCCTCACCCTCCTCAACAACTCCCAATCCAGCCCCTTCACCATATGCGTACTGTTCAAATCGCCGCCCACGCCCAACTCCGTGCACAACTTCTCAAACGTCTCCCGATCAATCTGTCCCAGCTTCACCATCTCCTCCAACGCCTTAATCCTTTTCTCCAGATCATCCCCGACCGCTTCCTCCTCCCCGGTCTCCCGTAAGCGCGCCGCCCGATCCTGGTACCCCGACGGTAACTTGGTGCCCTTCGGCGCCGCAGACGAGCGGAATCGTTTCGGGGCTGGTTGTCCGTCGCGTCGGTATTCGGCTAGTTGGCGCGCGAAGTCGACGCCTGTGACTGAGCGACTGGTGTGGGATGATATCATTAGTTCTTTTCTCTTTTCTGTTTTAGGTAGGATAGTATAGAAAAAGACAAATAAATACGTACGGGGTCATAGGAATGCTCGAGCGCATCCGCGACCCGAGCAGGGCAGGCGTTGCGCCTCCTCCGCGAGAGGCATTCTGGGATGGAGATGTACTCGACTGGGATTGTTTTTGGGCCGAGTTGTTATCGTTGTTGTTGACGAGAAGACGGCGGAATTGTTCGTTGTTCATCTTTTCTTAGGATTCTTGTTCTTTGCTCCGGTCGGTGTTATCGAGGGGAGATAAGAGGTAGAAGTTACCGTGCAAGTAACTTGGCTACCTGAGAGTAAGATTGAAAAAAAAAATGGGGAAATGTAACTGAAAGAGAGGAATTGGGATTAGGATATCCTCGTTTATTGTCTGGTCATTCTTAGAGTGTACTGAGATATGCGTTGTGGTAAGTTGGAAAAATGGAAGAGGTTAGTTAATGAGGGAAGCTTGACTTAAAGAAAAAGCAGACGGTAACGTCCAACATTCTTGGCACCGGTCATTTGGATATTTATGTCCTAACTCTGCCTTTATATACCTTTTTTTGTGGATTTTCTTTTGCTTTCTTCTCCCCCTTTTTTCTTTCTTTTTTTCTATCAGATTGTCCAATGGTAGGGTATATTCATTGGATTGTACTATTTTGCTATACGTGTCTTGCATCCTTACATTGACTAGTTTAGAGCATATATATATACATTAGTGGTTGTCCTCTTCTCTGTGTACTTCTCTTTCCCTTACAATACCCTGTCGGCGTCTTCACCTCGGATGATCCCAATCCAACGAGATGTTGTATGGTCCCGATGGGGTTCAATCAGACGCGGAGTGTATTAGAAAATGCTCTCAAGAAGGATGTCGTTGGAGAAGTTCATACCGATCAAAGGCACGCAACGAAGGCAGCTCCGGGTGCCTCAGTCAAGCCTAGTGACATGCTTTATGTTCATGAACAAATCAAGGAATGGGTCTATGATCAGCTACAGGACCAAGGAACCCCACAGATACTGAATTGGAGAACACACACGCTGATGACAAAGGAGCTGTATAGACGTGTGCTGAGAGATGATCGACAATATACCTTTGTTTACAGGACCGGATACCAAACAAGCAAACTGAAACGCCGAGAAGAAACATTGCTGACGAGAGAGAATCCCTCGAGGGCAAGGAAGCAGAGCAAGTTCTGCTGCCGGCACCCACTAACAAAAGGATTTCGAGGGTAGTCTTCATCATCCAAGACCCCAACGAACTACAGAAACTGTTCGAGAACACCACGCCAGAAAATGTGGCGACACACAACGGGATACGCAAACTGCGTCTCAGGATCCTGCGTCCCATTTTCGGGTGTGCCGTTGACTGCGGAAGAAGAGCACGGCTGTATTGAAGGGCCGCACATGTCGGTACTCGTCCAGAGGTGGAGAACGGGCTGTCGGGCGATTCTGAAGAAGCGCGGGATTGAGGAAATTATTTTCGATATGTCCTGTGGTCAGGAAATCGAAACCAGGCAAAACGTTCGCTTGCTGCAACACATCAGCACGACGGTGAGTCTCAAGGCGAGAGAGGGACTTTCCATTGTCAGGTTCAGGGCTGTGATGGCGAGAGGATAGAATGGTTGAAACAGAGTCTTGTTGGGGGTTGAGCTTTTTCTAACCATGAGGTGGGCACCGATTCCCAGGTCTTCAATGGTTGATTTGATATATATATACTATAATATCCCGTTCATGGCTGTTCTGGCTTTCCTGGTGTCATGAAGATCTGGGAGTCTCAATCTATAAGGGTAGGTACTCCGAAGGGTTGCCAAGCATAAGTTTAGAATTATATTAAAGCGAGTCATGCATTTGATCAACTGGAATGTGTATCTGAGAATGGGGTAATTAAGAAACACTAATGCAAAATGCCGGTCGTAATGACTTTTTAATCAAGACATGGGAATAGTAATGCAAAGTCAGTCTCAACTGCACATGAGACATCAAAAACTGGTACATGAAATGCTAAGTCCGTTCCGCATAAGTCCACACACCCCCTCCCCCCTAGATAGTTTCCCAGCCTCCATTGTTGATATCGGCTTCTAATTTCCGGCTGATCGTCGCGGGAATGCCGTGCGACAACCAGACGTCGCGGAGGAGCCGATCGTATCGTTTCTGGTTTAGGATCAGTTGGCGATTGCGCCGGAGGCCTGGGTCCACCTCCCCATGGCGGTCCAGGTAAGGTGCGTAGTGCCAGGAGCCATGGTGGTTGTGGAGATACAGCACCGTGCATTTGCGGATGTTGATGAATAGCCCGATATTCTTGCCGCATCTGGGGAGAGATCGTTAGTAACCATGCGTGACAGCAGTACACCAAGGATAAACATACTTTTGAACGTGCTGATTGCAACCACCCATCTTATTCTCCATGCAGCACACAGCCTGCGAGCAGAAGATGTCTCCACAGAAGAGACAGATACTGGGATCGCTTAGCTCCTTTTTCGAATTCGGGCAACGTCGCCGGTTGGCCTCCTCAATCAAACTGTCGTAATACTTGGGAAGCCCAACGAGCTCGAAGATGGCCGGGTGAGAAAGACTGGGCCATAACTTATGATCCCCAATGCGGATGCCAGAACGCGAGGCGTTCCAGTGGAAGATCCAGCCTGATATCACAGCATCGAAAGGACTGCCACTCTTCCTCGCCGTGCTGATAGACGCCAGAATATCATCGACCGAAGGAAGGTGCAGAGCCTTGGTGAGACGGTCCAACTCGGACACACCCAAGTCGTGGAACCCTGTGTTGGGGAACTCAACCCCGTGCTGCACATGGAGTAGGATGACAGCCTTGCGCAGGAACGTCAATGCGTAGCTTGAAACCAGACGTCTCAACGCAATGACCACGCCGGGCGTTGCAGAATCCTCCCCATCCTTGACGTAGCCACTCTCGGCAGGGAATGATGATCCTTCTGCCCGTCCAACAGAGTTCGACTTGAGTTCTGCAACGATAGAGATGAAGAATTGCCGGGCGGACTTGTATCGCTCGTCCGACAGCTCCATATCCAACAGATAATGGGCATCACCATTTTGGGCCAGTTCTTCCTTCAGTCCGAGGGGCCAAAGGATGTAGGTCACAGCGACTTTCACAATCTCGGCCACATAGCACATTTGGATGAGATGGCGAATGTCAATATTGAGAATCGGCAGCAGGGATAAAGAGCATTCAGCTAGGAACACGAATATGTCTTTGCCCAATAGTGGCTCGATTTCGCGGACATCATCCAGCAGCGCCGTTCCGCTCAAGCAAGGATGACCCACAAATAATTGGCAAATCTTCTGGCGGTGCATCTCCTGGATCTCGTCCGCGGAACGGGCGTGAGGTCCGTTGCTGTCATGCAAGCACCCAACCGCAGCGTATGTCAAAGCCGACTCAGCCAGAACGCGGAGGTGGGTCAGGGTTAATTGGGGAATCTTTTCCAGTAGAGTCGATCCTGGCTCCGATTCCACCCCGCGCTGCTGAATTTCAGCCGCAGCGATGCTAAAGCCGAAGGTCTGGAAGAGCGAATCAGTGTGGACGAGGTCATCTGTCTTTATGGTGTCTGGGTGATGGCTGAACGTCGAGTAGATGTGATTCAACCGAAGTGTCTGCTTGAGCCGCTTGTAGATCTGCAAAAGTTCAGACATTGGGCTGTCTCCTGGGCTGGAAACCTGCTGGAGCGGACTGGCAGCGGGAAGCTCATCTTGTGATGGGAAGAGGCCAGGCACCGGCATCCTCGCTTGCTGAATATAATGGGCGGTCGATGGCAGTGGGGATGCCATTAATTGCTCTGTTTTGGAGGCGAGTGGGGGAACCAAGGTCTTGTTGAGATAGTCAAGGAAAAGGTCCTGATAAGACTGCTGCTGCTGGATTTTGTTATGTTCCATGAGCAGCGCATAATTCCGTGGATGAGACAGGGCAGACTTGACCTCTCCAGCCATGAAATCCTCGAAAGACACAGCTGTGTTTAGTACACCAGGATAAGATTCTTCCTTGCCCTTCCATGTGATGGGGAGGAATGCATTGCCCAGAGCCTTACAAAGAGGGCAAACGAACTCGTTGAAAGTCAGACGCTCAGGATGGTTTCGAGCTATTTGCTGGCTCTGGCGTCGCTGAGTAGCCGTGTAATAGACTTCAAAGCAGGAATAGTGCATGATGTGCCCACAGCCCGTTGTGACAGGCCCGCGCAGGGTGTTCTTCGCATTGAAGCCTTTACTCAACCCAACTTTCTCACTGATAACCTCCCCGCCAGTTGAATCAAGCCGCCTCACGGTAGTGCGGTTCTCGCCTGCGACTCCAAAAGGCCGCACGCCTTCGGCAGACTTGTCCAAACTCAGGGGTGTCTTCAACACCTCCCGGATCCAGTCGGGGTCTCGTATATCTGTCTGCCTCATGATACCACTATCTTGAACCAAAGCGAACGTTCCATACAGTCTAGAGTCACTTGTCTCCTCCTGGCAGAGAATACAAGTGCCACTCGGATACTTCCAGAGCTTAGTTTCAGGGGCAGCTTCAGGCTCGGAATCCATGTCGCTGAAATCTTCTTCGCCCCAATCGATCGCGCCTTGGCTGTTCAAGAAGTTTTGCTGTTGCTGCTGGAATTGAGCCATCACCCTGGCCTGTCTTTCAAGAGCTTGCTTCTTCTTGATCTCTTTCTCATTATCGGTGTCGATGGCGGGAGAATTCGTATCGACCCTGTCAAACGGGAATCTGAGCGTAGCTGTTGCAGAAGCATATGCACGGGGGTGCTTTTGCCAAAGCTTCTTAAGAATATGACGGATTTTAGGACCACAAGCAGAGAATTCACTCATGATGGAAATCTTCTCTAGGAGGCCTACGATGGTCAGGTACCCTACCTGGGTGGCTCTGTCTTTATTCAGCGCGTGAGACACGAATGACTCCATCGGCTCTTCCGTCATCTCATCTTCCACGGTGCTGTCTTCCAGGGCAGCAGCAAGGATCAAGTGCAAAACAACTTGCAAGAATGTTTCGACACGGGTTGGTGGGATGTTCGGTGTGCAATCTTTCGAGGAGACCACGTAGTCAAGGCACTGGTGAACAATCTGGGCAAATAGCAAGGTCCTCGTGAAGCGTGGAAGGCCGATAAACGCCCCAGAAGTGATAGGCCGGAGTTTAGGTTCGAACACCACATCAGACGCCTTCTTGCCGGTTTTCTTCGCCACCCATTCCTTATAGATATTCTCCGCTTCGTCTCGTTGGTTCTTGGTGTAGTGGGCGCTGTACGGGTCGATGAGATCGATGTATTGGGACTTTAGTTCAAAAGTGCCGGTGTCATTCAGCCCTTCAGGGGGGCGGAAACTTGCTACCTCTTCCAGTACGTCTTGGAACACGTCCGACTCGAGCAGCTTGTCACTGAGGCGAGTCGATAGGTCTGAGAATGACAGAGGCTTGAAGCACAAGACGTGTGCAATGTCACGACGAATGTTTTCGCACATCGCGGTATCGCCGTCATCAATGGCCGTGAGCGAGTTCCGATCCGTCAAGAGGATGACAAGCAAATGCACAAACTCCTCGGCGACATCAATGATCTGGTTATCTTCGTATCCAGCACGTGGCATGTAGTTTCTCGTCATCCAGTCCACCATTCCGAACCTATCCGCAATAGAGGCAAGGACACGGCTTGGGTTACATGTGACAAAAGCCGTCTGAAGCAGGAAGATATCGCGGTAGTATGCAAAATCGCGAGACGATACACCACGGTATTGTGACATTTGATGCCGGAGACTGAGCCCGTTGCGGACCCACATGCCCGCCTTCATCTGGGCCAGCCAGGCACAAACTCTGAGAGGGTAGTCGAACATTGAGAGAAGTAAATCTTCTGGGGCAAGGCTGCTATCATGAATGAAACTGTCGTTCGCAATCTGTGCTGCCTCAAGCAGGGCATCGCGCATCAAAGAGCTGCTCATGTTACGGCCACATTCAAGTAGCCAGGACAGAGTGTAGTGCAAGGCATGATGGAAACTGATGGAGCCTCGTTCAACGACGAAGTCTACGACACGGTGGCGCGAGACCTGGCCTGGTTGGTCGTCGCCCTCGAAGTCAAAGAATGGCAAGGATTTGAACCGAACGTACTCTTTGATCTCCGCCTGGTCAAAACGCTTGCGCTCGATTCCGGTGGAGTGGGCAACGGCGGAAACAGTAGCCACTTTGAGCGCTCGTAGCAAATTCTCGCCGCCGTCGACTTCGGGTTTACGGAATGCTTCGCAGATTGACGGCACAGCCTATTGATCTCCCGCATGAGTATAGATGCGCTAATCCAAGCGTCCGTCTCGTACTCGACGTGCTCTCCTACGGCACGGACGTTGGGGCAGATGCCCTGCGAGAGCTTGACCAAATCCAAGAACTGGTAGAGATACTGTTCCTCGGTTCGCACGCGGTTCTGTACATACTCAGACAGCAGAAGATACCGTAGATCCAAGAAGAAGTGGTAAAGGCGCCTGTTTGTTACGGAACCAGCGTCGAACGCCAGCGTTGCATTGGGGTTTACCTCGTATGGCTCACCAACCTGCCTCGTAGTTAAAAACGTATACAAAATGGATATGACCTTAGTCAAGAAGTTCCCTCGAAGAACTATCTCCTCCGTGATTGAAGGTGTGGTAAGAAGCTGTAAGGAGAGGTTGACAATGGAATGATCTGGCTCTCTATCGGCAATCAGGTAAAGTTGTGCAAGCGCAGTGTAAAGAGCAGATAAGCGCAAGCCCATGATCCGCTTGAACTGAGGGACATTCACGACGGTGCCAATGTAAAGATCGCGAAGATCGGTACGTGTCTTCTTCCAAAGCCTAAGGTCGAAAAGAATCATCCAGTCGAGCCGAGTGCGTTGCCATAAATCCTCATATGGAGGGACATTTTCCCCTCTCTTCGGTACGGACGATCTGACCTGCCAATAACTCGGAGTCTTCGCCGGGGAAGGCTTGACTACACCAGAGGGTGTTTTGGGGATGGGGACGTAAGACGCCGAGGTATCATCGTGTGTCTCACTGGAGACTGAATCGTTCGGGGCAGTCTGCGCCTCGGTTTCAATCGCTTCTGCCTGTGGTTGCTCGTCATCGTCGTCTTCTTCTTCCTCCTGTTGCTGCTGTTCATTGTCAGGGTTCTGTCGCTGGCGAGCGAACCCTAAGAGAGCTTGGATGGTGTCCAGAGCGTCATCCGCATTTCCCATCACCATATCCTCATCCTCATCTTCAACTTCCTGGCGCAGCCTGTTCAAATCCATCTCCATCTCTTCGTCGTCATCGTCGTCATCATCATCATGACCCTCAACGAAATCTTCATCGTCCTCAACTTCTTCGTTTACACCCTGCTCATCGCCATTTTCGATATCCTCATCGTCATCATCATCATCATCATCATCCGCAGCCAATACTACTTGGCCCTGAGGCGATACGGTGAGCATCACTGTGCGATACGGTGTATTATCCGACTTCTGCTGGTCGTCGAGACCTTTCATACCAATATCGGCATTGAAGGCTCCGCTGCCGCGGCGCCATGGACTCAGCAGTTCCTCACAGACGGTATGCCGTAAAATCTCGTTGTCCTCAAGAACACTGCACCCGGAAATATCTGCAAGCCACTCAACGATGGTCCCGCACATTTGCTCGCGGAAGGTATCCCGGGCGGACCGGATCGTAACGGTGACCTTGATCTGTTCGATGATCCTTGACACGGCCAGTAACCTTTGCAAATCTTTCGAATACTTGACCACACTCCGTCCGTAATCATTGGTCTCCTGGGCCCTATCGTTTCCAAAGGAATCTCGCTCTCGACAAGCCCGGCTCACTTGATGAGCAACATCGCGAATGGTATGCTTCTCGTCGTTCCACAACGCGAGCGCAAACTCCGGCTCTTCCTCGGCCAGATCCCCCTCACCATACCACCCCGGGCGTAGCCGTGATGCCTCTTCATCCTGCCTGATACCCTCTTCCGTCTTGGGCAATCGCAGCTGTTCCGGCGAGCAAGAGAGCACATCACAGAAGTAGTCGAGCACTCGAGCGACCGTCAGGCGGATGTTATCCACCCATTCCCGCGGGAGCTGCGCCTGCTCCCGCTCCTTGCCCTTTTTATCGCCGCTATCCGTATGGATCGCACAGAACAGCGGCAGTCGCCAGGCCTCCTCGTCACCACAGTCGCAGCATCCGCAATTCCCCGAGGAGATAGAAATCGTATACTGATGGCCGGTGTGGTCGGAGGAGTCGAAGCAGCGGCTGCACAGCACGCAGGTATCATCCGCCGCGCAGGTGTTGCATCGATACGTCGCCTCCCCAGCTCGGAAGATATGACCACACCGCTTGCCCCGCGCAGCTTCTGTATATTCCGCCCCTTCCTTGGCGCCCTGAGCTTCTGCTAGCTTCCACGGCCCGGTTGGCAGCCCATCTGAGAATAGCTGTCGCAGGCGTTCTTCGTTGTGACCGGCAAGCGAACGGAAGAGGAGCTCGAGCAGATCTTTCTCGGCTTGGGGACCGTAGCGGTAGTTATGATTGGCAGGAAGCCGTTGAAGGCCTTCACCCAGGATCCTCTCACATTCTTTAAGCATCATTTATCGTCTCTAGTCGGAGAAGAGGAGACGCATTCGTATTTGCACGAGTATCGAGTGAGGAGGGTGACGGCGAGCTAACAGCTCCCTTGTGGCGGGACGGAACTGTAGTCCGGTTTGTTCCACCGCGATAAGGAATGAACAAAATCGCTCGAGAGCGTTTGAAAGACTCCTCAGACGCAAAGTTTGGTGGTATGTGCAGAGCGGGGGTTGATTAGATTAGGGTGAGGCTAGTCAAAAAGGAAAAGACGAGAAGAAAAACCTATCAGTGAACGCTTAGTGATCCGACATTCGAAAGCGATCGATGTCACTGTGGGGGGGGGGGGGGGGAAGGAGGAAAGATTTGGTGGGATTCAAGGCGAGAACAACCTAACGGGCAACCCACCCATTAAGTCTCTCAGATCATTAGTAGCCGTCGTCCGAAACTCGTCGGCTCTTTCAAGGATAGTGAAGGGAGATCGCCGTCAATCGACAAGGTATCGAGTTAACAAAGCAACGGCATTTGTCGTAAAGAGCGATTGGAACTATCCGATGGTGGTTGTGGTGGTTGGGTTCAATTTATCCTCTAAGTATGACATCGAACGAGCGGCTCTTGGCGCCACTACCATCTGGCAGCTGCTGTTCTCCCCACCACCGGAAGCATAAATTTATAGACCACAGATGATTGCAGGAGCACAGTGATTGGTTAGGGAAAATGGAGCAAGTGAATTCCAAGGTGAATACAGTGTTAAAGATTCTATTTCATACAAGGCACACGCAGCATATACCAATGTCTCTCCAGTGCTCGGCTGTATTATAACATGGGACCGACAACTTTCCCCAGGATGGATCCATCAATTACTGCTTTTTCTTTACTCGTCATCCTCCTCCTCCTGGACCATGTACTGGTGCTTGATGTCCTTCCATTGGCGCTGTAGAATCCGTCAGTGCTATAGTCCTTGATAACCCCCAATTCGTCAGGGTCGACAGGTAGAAACATACGCCGCGGTTCATGGCGTCCCAGATACGGTTGGAGGCCGAGTCATAGGCACTGTTTGTGAAAAGCTGGTCAGCCGTCTGTGATCACAGACCATCGTCAAGTCGACACGCACATCTCGAAAGCGAAGGCACTGGAGAAGATGGCCGTGAGGTAAACGGCGTTCCTGCGGATCAGGCCCCTAGAAACCGTTGAAAGACCACAGGTTAGCGAGTCCGAAGAGATGGTCAACGAGACCGTCGGTGGGTGATCCGGGGAGGGGGGACATGCTGGTAGATAGCGGAAGCGATCTGGAGCGGTAACCACTGTGGTTAGCCATTGAACATCATTAGTCAATTCCAAACAAGAATCACTTACAGCGCCGGCCATTGTGACGGGTTTGAATTAGGGATTGAGGGCGGAGAAAGAAAGAGAGGCAGCAAGGAGACGGGGACTATGTCACAATGGAGGAATGCGAGGTTGAAGTTTCGAGCCAAGTTGGCCGGCGCGAAAAGCACCAGCGGGAATCACCGGGACGCTGATTGGACGGCCGGAACCAAGTCTGTGCAGAGCCTCCGAATGGCCGCCTCAGGAAACCACCTCAACTCACGCACTCGACCCTACGAAATTATTGTGACCCAATTCCTCTCGCCTCCTACCTCGTCACCGTTGGGTCTTCCCCGGGATCTCTAATAACTACAGCATATTCCTTATACTACTTCTTTTCGACTCGGCCGGAGGAAATACAAGTAAACTCTAGTGGAATACCAGATTATCCCCCCACAGCTATGGCTTCCACGAATTCGGGAATCACCACGGACGAAGCCACCGGGGAACGCTACATCCCCTCATCGGTCCGTGCCGATGGCTCAAAACGCCGCGAAATTCGTGTTCGACCCGGTTATCGCCCCCCTGAGGATGTGGAGCTGTATAAGAACCGTGCTGCACAAGCCTGGAAGAACCGTGGTAACTCCGGAGTGCCTGGTGCAGAAAGCGTGAAACCCGAGAATGAAAGCCCTGCTAAACCAGGCACGGCTGCAAGTAACAAAAATGCAAAGCGAAGGGAAGCGAAGAAGAAAGCAAAGGCAGCTCAGGAAGGAACAGCCTCCACCGAGGGCAAAAATGTAAACGACATCGACAATTGGCGTGCCCCGGATAAGAAGCAATCTAATGGATCGGATAAGGCCGCGGGAGGGGCCGAAGAAACGATCGATCCAGAAGCCGAGAATGAAAAGAAGGCGCGCAATTTAAAGAAGAAACTCCGGCAGGCACGCGACCTACGGGACAAGAAGAACCAAGGAGAGGCCCTGCTTCCCGAGCAACTGGAGAAGGTGATCAAGATCCAGGAACTGATCCGCCAGCTTGACACACTCGGATTTGATTCGAACGGTGACAAGAAAGACGGATCTGCGGAGAAGGAGGAGAAAGTCTGAACCCAATACGACATAGGATCGATCACGTATGTTCTATCAATCCAGTTGCTCTTCCTGCAGCCGTCCTATGGTCGACAGTCTACCGAATAGGTTTCGATGCGGTTCATATTGATAGCCGGGAAGGCTTTTTACTGTCAAAGCTTTTTCGAGCAGACTAGTGCCTCTGTGGTACCACACAACTACTCTTGTCAAGTGAGACGAAGCTTGGCCACATCGCGGTTGGAATTTTAATCTGAACTGCATATATGCAGCTACCGGCGTACTAGTACCGCCTGTCAGCTACTCGAGAAACTCTGATATGGAAAATCCCAGTGGACTCCTTGTCACTCATACAGGAGCACTGTCCTATGAATTAGAGTAATAAAAGTCTCTGGCTACCCATCTCATATTCTATGTGGCACGTGCTTGTTCTACTTCCCTTCGACTTGAATGTATCTATCAGTCAGTACGGACTTATTCTGGGCAACTCGTTACGCACTATGTTCTATAAGAGAAGTCTGCAATACTGCGAGCGTTTTCATATGCTAGCGAGATTAGCCCGAGTCAATATACTACAGGTTATAGAGTTCCGTAGAAGAATTTCTATCTTAAAAATGTTTGCGTTCGCTCCTGTACACTTCCGCCCATCGTACAGGAGATGTGACGATGCCGCCCTCCAACTCCCATTTTTCATAGTTGAACCTCCTCCAGGGGCGGTCGCCATCACCGGGGCCCAGCTTTCGCGCACCAACGCCGTACGACGCCGCTAAATACCCCTGTCGGATACAATCCGTCACACCAACGCCATTATACCAGCTTCCTGCAAGAGTAAGTCTGTTGTTCAGTTCGTGCCGTGTGGACCGGGACAGTTCGCGCATGCGAGACAGGTGTCCAACAGTGTATTGAGGGATGGCATTCCGCTGCAGCCGGCTGCTCGTTAGAGTGGGTGCGTCCGTAATACCCAGATGCCGGTGAAGCAACGCACGAGACATTGCAACGGCTGTGTCATGATCGGGATAATCGGATTCCTTCCAACCATCCCACCAATGGCCACCCATCATCACCGTGAGCTTAGTGCCGGGTGCAGTATCTTGACCGACGCTAGAATCCGATCCGAAGATAACCCCTAATGCCCTCTCAGGATTTTGCTCATACGGGATCGACCGCGGTATAAGATATCCAAAACCGTTGACCGGGAGGAGGTCTGGATTAGGGAAATACAAGTTGACAACCATGACTGTTACAGCATAATTGTGCTCTTGAAGATTCCGAATGGTACTTTGAGGGACTTTTTGGTCTTCCATGGTCGTTGTCGCGAGCTTGTTGGCAAGTTCGGGAGCTGGAATTGTAGCAATTACACGGTTGTGGCTTCGAGACCTGCCCTTTCCAGATCCAACCTACAAGGTGTACATGTTAGTAGACCGGCCAGTAACAATGAGTAGAAGGCTTTCCCGGTGGCTTACACTCAGGTCGTGAGTCGTCGGATTTTGAGTAATGGACTTAACGTCCGTATTCGTCAAAACGTCAACCTTTGTAGATTTGCTCAGAGCGTCGACCAGGGCGTCCGAGAGCTGGCTCAGACCGTCTTTCAACGTCAGAACGCTGGTCTTGTTGACAAGCGTCCGTAAGCTTTTCCAGTACATCCCAGGTTTCTCGTGTGCGACAGATTCCAGGGCTAACAGATCATCCATGGACATAATTTTGAGATCAGACATCAGAGAATTAATGTAGCCGCCAATAACTCGGCGGTCATCATTCTCAAGGTCCCGGAAGGTACCTAGCAGTGTCTGCGCGCTTAACCGACTTATGTCACCCGCATAGATACCATGGAATAAAGCTGAAACGAGGTTGTCTGCTACCTCTGGGCACAATCGGCGCGACACGAAGTCCGCAACGGATTCGTCCGAGTTGAATGACTTGTGGTCCGGAGGGGCCCGGACTGGCTCCAAGAGAGCGCTTGCAAGGAGGCCTTCGAAGACCGGCTCGCGTAGCATAGCATATAGTGGATTTGTAATGTTTTCGATCGGTCCGGCTTTGGGGTCCGGCGCGGGCATACGGACGAGGTGATCGGGATAGTAGATATAACGATTGCGCGCGGCAGGCGACGAGCTGCTTGTTACGAGGACGTCATCATATAGGCCGAGCTCGACGAGCTGTTATAGAGGGCAGAGCGGGTTAGCTCTTAATGTTCGTAGGATAGGACAATGCCTGGGCTACTACTGTACCAGATCGAGAAGGGGTAGACACGAGGGGACTGCGGTCCGCAAGGTCCGCGGGCCATACTCAAATACAACGTTTCCACCTTCGACCGGAATCTTTTCGGACCGTAGCCAACCCCCTACACGAGGAGCCTTCTCGTATAGGGTGATCTTGGAGCAATTGGGGTCCTGCGATAGCCGATACGCTGCTGTGAGACCGGTGATGCCACCGCCAATGACGGCGGCATCGTACGTTGAGGAGTATCTCTGGCCGATGCGGGCGAACGCCAATGGCGTGCGCACCCCCCTGAGTGCACGGCTAGGGACACATGGTAGTCTCATCTCCGCAATTAGAGAGAATGAAACGGCGAGTGAAGATCGAAGAGGAGCATGGTTGGAAAAACCAAAGGTAGGAAAAGGTGCTGCGTTACTCCATCAGGTGAGCTGCTCCAACAGGCGGCCGACGGCCGGCGGTGTAATGGGTTGGAAATTACATAAATTTCCCAGCCCTATTCCTACGTCCCGACCAGTATGGATGGTATGAATGGTTGACAGTCGTGGGAAACGAAGACAGCGCCATGCAATGGCGTCGAAGATTTCATAATTTGATATCCAGATCTATTTACAAAGCCAGTTTGATATTCTTTCTGCCAGTCCTATAGAAGATAAAATTCGAACAAACGCCCTTGCCACCAGTCACCCATCGTCCGCACGGAAAATAATACATGATATGATATTAAACCACATGGGGAATTTTAACTGAGAGATCATCAAAAGGAATCATAGAGATCGCTGCTCGAGTTATGTCGCAATCTCTTGGTTGGTTTGGGAAGGCTCTTCGGCGCCACCGGGCTTAATCAGTTCCTCTGCACCGTCCTCATCGGAAATGAATTTCCTCTCGCTCACATGCGGCTTCTCTTGTCCATCAGCAGTCCACACCTTGTCCGCGAACGCTCCTTTCTGGCCCTCGGCGTGTTTGTATGGGCACGAGGGGTTGAGACAAGGATTGAACTTGCAAGGCGTCTGGACGTGCGTGAATTTGCACCCTTCAGTCGAGCAATCTGCGCCATTCCGGCATAAGGGCATCGAAGGATGCTTGAAGTGGCAGTGGGGGTTCGCACAATGAGGGAAGAACTTGCACAGCTCCTCAGCTTGATGCGCTGACTTAACGGCGGGTGACGGATGGCGACCGGTACACTTCCTGTTCTTACAAGCGGCTCCATAAGAACATGGGTCAGACACATCGACGGGAGTGCCCTCGGGGGCAGCTGGTGACTGATGCGCAAACGGGCAATCTCTCCGGGTACACCGGAGGTTGAAGCGACATATCGAGTCCGTATTGCTTTCATCCTGCTCACCACCCTGGTCGGGCTTTGTGTCCATATCGGTATCGGCATTCTTGTCGTCTCGTTTGTTGAAGTGGCGGCGTCCCTGCTGGCGTTCCACGCGGTCAAACAAGGAGCGGCCCTGTTGCGGTCCGTTCTGTTGGAAAGCCGGGTTGATTGCGGGAGATACAAAGCCGGGCATAAACTGGGCCATCATCCTTGCCTGCTCTTCAAGTAGAGACATGAGATGCATCTGATCATGCGGGGTCATGTTCATCATATTGCCTGGGCCACCCGGCATTTGATTGGGTCCCATGCCCATACCACCCATCTGACGGCCGCCCGACATCCTTCCTCCGCCATGCTGATTGAAGCGACCCTTTGTATGGTCACGGCCATGAGAATTGATACGTCCACTACCGGGCTGGCCGCGGACGCGGTGTAACGCAGAATCGTTGCGGTCTAGTTGCCGGTTGATCTGGTTCAGCATCCTACCCCTCCCGCCTGGTCTGTTGTTGCGCATTGCTTTCGGTCCTGTGGGTCTATTGTTTTCTGTGTCAGCCCAAGTCACCGCCGCAGAGTCGAAGGGAGAAACCCACATCGTATCGTTTGCAGCTCCGGTGTCGCCCATGCTCATATCAGCATCCATAGTGCCATCTCCAGTCATCATCGCTTGGTTATTGGCGGAGTCTTGGTCGTTAAAGGATGGAATGGCCTGCGCAGGGTCGATTTCAATTGATGGTTGAATACCTCCGCCGTTGAGCTGTTGGTTGAGGAATTCGACCTGTTCGAAGAGCCATCGCGAAAAGTCCAGGGCCTGTGTATCACCTTCGCCGAGTCCGAGGAGATCATTGGAGAGTTCACCAGCAATCTGTTCTTGTGTCTTGCCGTTGACAAGCATGAGAATCACGTATTCGGTCAACGCTGAATCATCGCCGCCGTCGGAGCTCCATCCCATCTCTACCAGCTTCGGCTGGATGACATTACTCAAGGCCTCCGCAAGGGGAGTACCAACAGCAACTACCGTAGTCATGGCGTAGAATTTGCGCAGTCGAAGTCCGGCCCGAGGGAAAAGATAAGGAAGGGGAGTTGAAGAAGGCTGCCCGATCACTGGCACTCGCGCGTTGGAAAACCTGTTTAGAAAGACCTCCCTTGTCTTGCGTGGCAAACAGTCGGACGAAGACGAAGTAGTACGGCGTTGTTCCAAAAGGGGGAGATAACGAGGGTATAACAATGAGTTGGTTGTTTTTTTTTCACTTCATGACAACTTTGATGATGATGAAAGGTGCCAAGAGTCTCCAGCCACATCGTCACGTGTGACAGATGCGGGTGGCGGTCTTTTGTGCAAACAGCACAAACATCAGTATATCTGGATAGTACTACGGTTAGGACCTCGATACATTAGCATGAATCTCTCTACGAGATACGGTTTATTTTCTTCTAAATACATTCATGATGGTTTGTTCATTCTGTGCATCTTTTTACTCTATTGTGAATGTGTAAAGGCTATTCTTGGTGGTATTACAAGCTAAACTTGCAGCGTAGCTAAGGGTTCTGCCAGTCAACGGATCCACCAATTCCTGTCAATCAATTCACCTCACTGCTGGCTGTAGCAACACCGTAGAAGCTGTACTATATCAAATAAGTACCCGTGCTGCTTATTGAAAGTAGCAGAGTCGGGGGGGGTTACCACAATCCTCTTGGATAAATATCCTCCCTATTCTACTACAAAAGGTCTACTAGCCGTAAGATATATATTTCCCACAGAGAATGCAAATCGACACCATCCGGGGGCTATCACGCCATCAAACGGCCTTATTACACCGTCTTACCAGTGACTCATCCTGTAAAAGCGCAGATAAAATGTACTGATAATTATACTAGCGGTATTTATCCACAGACCCACACTCGAACGAGGTATGTAACTATACCTACACCATATCTCATGAGTCATCAAGAGATACAAACAACCACCCAGATCACGACCCAGAAGAAGCCCTAACATGTCACCATTGGCAACCATGTCCCAAAAAAGCCAAGATCAAGATCTAGCCACCATTCGAACATCAATATCCTCGAAAACATGGTTCGGGTTCGACCTCGACGACACGCTGCACGAGTTCCGCAAGGCATCTGCCCAAGCATCGTCAGCGGTCTTCACAGCGATCCATGAAGAACACCCGCATGTCAATATCGACGAGCTGAAGTCATCCTACCGGGACATACTTATCTCAACGACGGCGGGTGCATTCGCGGACGGGAGGACATCAACCGAATATCGCAGAGAACGGTTCTCGCTTCTTCTCCAGGCCCATGCATTGGAGGCGCAGACGGAGAGACTCGACCGTCTTCTGGAAGTCTACCAGAGTAGTCTACGGGCAGCTCTGACGCTGAAACCGGGGGCACTGCAGCTACTCCAACGGATTAAGCGTCTCGGGAAGAAGGTCATTGTGGTGACGGAGGGGCCGCAGGATGCGCAGCAGTGGACTGTGGAAGAACTTGGGCTGGCACGTTACGTTGATGTGCTTGTCACGACTAATGAGATCGGGCAGTCGAAGGTCGACGGGCTGTTTCCCGCGGTCTTGGACAGGCACGGCATTGTTGCGTCGGATATCGTGTATGTCGGGGATAATGAGAACCGGGATGTTGTCCCGGCCCGGGCTGCGGGTATTTTGGCTGTGCTGTATGATGAGAAGGGTGGTTTTCGCTTGGATGATTGTGCTGCACTTCAGGTTGACTCTCTAGGAAAGCTAGAGCATCTGTTGAGCTAGTGGGTTTTCAAATGAAGAGGGCTGAAAACGGGGTGTGTTGGTAGCCTGGCAGAGTCCTGGGGTACAAATCCAGTCACCTGCATTGGGTCATACGATGTAGTATATGAGAATGGAGTCTATAGAAGCGTCATGACCCGTCATTCAACCCGCGATGCAGGCGACTGAGCTATCATATCGACAGATCGTGGCATGCCAGTTAGACACCATTACGTACCAAAGTGCTTAATCCTCAAGAATTGTGGATCCCGGAAGGGTGGGGATGATCTCTTCCCAATGCGATGGAAGGTATGTGCTATGTGGGAATCCAGACTCGTCATATGTTGTGTGGACTCTGTGGAGTGACAAGGGTTCAAGCACGTTAAGTCAAGAAGTATTAGACATTTATTCAATAAGTATCCCTTGCTTGCCCCAGGTAGAATAGTATACACAACTAGTGCTTCTGTACAGCGTACACCTGCACAGAGAGAAAAAGAAAACAATTATCTCGACTCTGCACTTTGATCAATCCCCAGCCCCTTGCATGCTCAGATAGGGTTCTTCTCCGGAAACGGAGGACTACCCGGGATCCTCACATACCACTTCAGTTGCGGTCCACACCGAACGTTGCCGCAGCCCCTATGGGGTCACACCTTCATGCTCAGGTGGGAGGTAAAATGGCTAACGTTTGAGATACCGCACATTTGAGCGCTTCCAAATCAACGCGACAGACAGCAACTGAGCCACGGAGAATCCTCCCGCAAGTCTCACCTGGGCACTATAGGCAGCCGAGTAAGCCTCCCGGACCTGAAGTTGAATAGAGGGGGAAAACATTCCAATAGTATCACTAGAGGCGAGCAGGAGGTCGAGTTGGTCAGGATTGAGGGTCCCCGACAGTCGATTCTTGAGATAGTCGTGTAGAATGGTAGTAGCTGCTGAAACGCCCAGGACACCACCCAGCATTCGAAGCTGGAGCCCGGTGCTCAAAGCGATTGATTGATCTTTGCCGTCGACCACAAGGGGCGCCATCATGTAGAATGCCGCTACAGTGGTACCTGTCCCGAGTCCAGCGAGGACAAGATATCCGTACTGTGCAGCTGAGGTCTCCGTCGAGAAAGGAGTTTCGGAAAATAAGAAGAGACCAACCACCTGGAGGACTACACCGCCGAGTGCAATGTAGCAGAATGGTATCCTAAGGCGCCCGGCTAGAACAGAGCAGGACATTATCCCAACTGGGGTGGTTAACGCGTAGGATAGAAACCGGACTCCGGCGGCGATCGGGGAACAACCATCGACGATCTGAAATCGCTGAGGGATCATGATGATACTGACAGTCAGTGGGAGGCCAGTTGTAAAGAATCCCCTGTTATTCTGATAAGTATACGTCTGAGGAAGAGTCATTTGCATGGACGAAGGATCGCTTACAGGGCAGTGCCCAGGAAGATCCGGTTGCTCGCCAGTCTCCAGGGAAACATTGCGTAAATGTTCAGGCCCTTCTTACCGATAAACCACTCCCACAAGAGGAATATGATCCAGAAGACTCCTGAGATCACTAGGAAACTGATTACAAGGCCAGACGACCATGGGTACTCAAAGTTACCTTCTTGCAGAGCTGCGATAGCAAATGAGGACGCAGCCAACAGGGAAAGAGCGCCGAGGATGTCTGCCCGTTGCAAGAAAGTCTTTATCTTCAGCCCAACTTTCTTGTATGTAGGTGAAGCTGCTTCAGCAGACGAAGCATTGGGGAAATTGGCTGGAAGCACGACAAGCAATAGTACCCAGGAAAAGGCCCCGGCTGGAACACTGTGGCTGTCATCAGAACCAGTGAATGATGGTAGAAATGAGGCGACCGTACTTGCACAAGAAAGCCCAGCGCCAATTGCCCTTGTCGGCAACAGCGCCTCCAATCAAAGGGCCAAGGACAAGCCCAAGGGACAAGATACCGCCGGCGACAGAGCTTATGGTGTCATACTGTCGGTAGGGGACTATACGGACAAAGGAATACAGCGTGAGAGAGTATACACCGGCGCCGCCTACCCCTTGAAGTGCCCGGCAAATGATTCTTGCATATATACGATCAGCTTATCTTCATCTCGGCCCAGAGTAGAAAAGGAAGCATATCGAACGCACAGCTGACTGAGACTTTGTGCTCCACCGCAGCCGCCGGAGAATGCCGTGAACATGAAGAGAGCAGTGAGCAGACTTGTTTTCATCCGCCAGATATCGCCGGCTTTCGACCAGATCATAAGGAATCCTAAAGCGAAGAAGGTTAGTCAAAGAGCATTCTCTGAATGGTTGACCGCGTCGAGTTACCACTATAGGTAAGCAAGTAGGACGTGATGACCCAGCTGCTTCGACCAAAATCGTCGAAATCATTGGTGATGGTAACCAAGGATGTGCTCACAATAGTCACTTCGATGCCAGTAAGGAAGAGAGCCAGGCCAAGCCTGCGATGAATCAACACATAAGGATATTAGCAAATATACAGCTCTTTCGCACAGATTTTCTCATACCCAAAGGCCCCGAGGTATAAGGAGAATCCATGTAAAGCTCCTTCCCATTCGATAGGGTCGTCGCTGATGGTCCCATGGGCAGCCTCGAGAGTCTGTTTTTCAGACATGACTATCTGGGTAGATAGTACGCGTAAGATGCTACAGGATGCTTGTTTTTATTCAGGCTCCGCTACCTGTGTACGGTGTAGGGCACCTAAACACGGGGCTGCAAGGCTGACACATAGGGCCTCCAAAGCATGCAGAATGCAATAGAAGGAGCTATTAGGCTGGCCGGTCGCCTTACAGGGGAGTGAGACAGTACTTTGGTTCTGTAACTACGCGTTCATACCGTTTCATTGGTTTATAGTTTGCTAAATAGGTGTCACACAGCCACTTTCCTGCAAGGGGACTTCAACGATCTCGCGTTCATTTGCCCTCAACTTGACAGATGGCCCGATTGATCACCTTCGCTATGGATACTGTGTTCTCCACGGAATCAGGAATTTCGTGGCCGTTTGCATGCACGAAAACGGATCTTTTTTGGGGATCACAAAATTCCACAGCTCGCCTTGCGTCCGCAGCGTGTGGGTCCGCCGATCCCCAGATATGGGCAGTAGGCATGTCAAGCACTCTGCTCATTTGGGCGGGATTCAAATATGCGATATGGTCACGAGCCAATGCATCGAGATCGTATGGCTGGCTGGCACTCGAGAAAAAGACGGCCACTTTGAACGGCGCACCATGGGATCTAACTCCCTGCTTAGTCTGATCCCAGTTCACCAACCACGACAGTGCTATGGTCGCTCCCAAGCTGAACCCAATGATCCCGTCGAAAGGGCCCTCCTCCTTGATGTACCTATCAAGGTCGCGAGCAGCCTGTTGGCATGATTGCGGCTCTTTAGGGTCACAAAAAGTGAATGTTGCTTCGTCTGTTTCGGTGGCTTGTGGAATGGCTGCTCTACTGTCAGAATGGACTACATGAGGTAGAAAAGGTCACCTTACATGACTCCCAGGGCACTCCTCCTTCGACAAAATCATAAGTATGTTGGTTGCCAAGCTCGTATCGAATTGCCGCTGGACATGCAGTCAGCCTATCAGATTTGGGATTTATGCAACTAATGGTATTTATTTCATTACCTGTTTGCTGTTCAAAGGTCTAAGACGGACCATGGTATTAGTAAGTCTTCTCAAAGCCCAGGGGAGTTCAAAATAACGGTGCTTGCCTGGGAATTGCTTCCAATGCCATGTAGACTAGAGAGGGTTAGCCCATCCAACCGTGAGTGAACAGGTTGATGAAATGTACCAGAGAAACCTCATTTCGACGGGATTTCAATCGGAAAAGGTCGGAATATAGTTCTAACGAGCATGAAATGTGGAAAATGTAAACTTGAGCACTCTGTCGAACGGGGGTTCCAAGGGATTTCATCTCGGGGCTGGCGGAAATTAAATAAACCACATCTTTTTTGATTTGTTTTTACAACCAGATACGAGCACACCCATGCGTGAGATTTATTCTGGAACATACATTGGAGGGTACAGGGGATGTTACCACGGGATCAAGTGCATCTGTGATTTTATGATGGTTTACCAGAAACCGTGCAGCCCTAGCGCGTGGCGGGACGTCCATATCTTTTGCAAGGTTTCCTCATAGGAGATGCCAGGGGGAGGCCCTAAGTGAGAGGTCCTGGATCAGCCAATGATTCAATGCCAAGTAGGCGTTGTGATGAGGAAAGAGCGGTGCGAGATTCTCAAAAGATACTGCTTGACGATCTCCAGTGGAGCTGCATTGATGCTTGCCTCCTTGAAGAAACTGTATGCTACGTACAGGTCATCAGCGTGACGAGTGCTATGCAGCTTGCATAAACAAGCTGCAGAATGTTTGTCGCTCTATCTTGTAGCGAAAGCCACGAATCCCCAGTATCGAGGTTGGGAAACATTCAGGCCTTCCACGACGCAGGAGCCCTAGGAGTAGCCCAATGACAAGGTCCGGATGTTCTCGCTGTATGTGACTTATCGAAATGTCCCAGCAAGTGACGTGGCGAGGCATTATTGGGTCCCTGAGCTTAAATGCCAAAATTTGCAACTATGGTGAGAGTCAGGCAATTGGATGTAATTCCCTCGAAAGCACAGGGTTATAAGGTTGTATATTATCCACGGAGTGTAGACATTGACAGAGGAAGCCTGATATTCACCCAACATCTGCTTATACCCAGATTCACTGCTTGCGTATCGACTTGTCTTGTATGTCAATGATGTCGACAAGTTCAGAGCAGGGTTTGCCGCCACTGGCAATTGTGGGCATATCACTCAAGTTTCCCGGAGACGCTGTGACACCAGATGACTTTTGGAAGATGCTTCTGGAGGGGAGAGCCACCGCGAGCGAGTTCCCCCCAGACCGGCTGAATATCAATGCTCACTATCATCCGGACCGTGACCGTCTGGACCGTCTCTCTCTACGGGGAGGAAATTTTATGAAAGGAGACCTGGGTGCTTTCGATGCTGGATTCTTTACAATAAACGCCACCGAGGCTGAAGCAATGGATCCGCAACAGCGGCTGATTCTCGAGGCATCTTACCGCGCGCTTGAGAATGCTGGAATTACCATGGCTGAAGCGTCTGGGTCTAAGACCTGTGTTTTTACAGGAAGCTTTTCCCATGATTACCACACGCTGCAAGTAAAAGACCCTATGAGATTACCGAAATGGCATGCTACTGGGACGTCTATGAATATGTTGTCAAATCGTGTCAGTTGGTTCTTCAACCTGCAAGGCCCAGGTGCTACTGTGGACACTGCGTGTTCCAGTAGTTTGATGGCGATTGACTTGGCCTGTCAATCTATCTGGAGCGGTCATTCATCGATGGTAAGAATGGTTGAATGATCCTGGCGTGATAAAGTGTCCGCTAACCTATGGAAAGGGATTGGCCATTGGCAGTAATACCATCTTGGCAGTGGAAATGAGTCTCTGCCTTGATAATCTAGGGTTGCTCTCGAAGGACAGTCGTTCATATAGCTTTGATCAACGGGGGAACGGCTATGCACGAGGTGAAGGTGTTGGCGTGCTAGTGATCCGACCGCTGGAGGAGGCCATCCGTAACGGAGACACTATAAGAGCTGTTATCCGATCCTCTGCCTCGAACCAGGATGGGCGTACGCCCGGGATTATGCAGCCTAGTGGGACTATGCAAGAGAAACTGATCCGCGATACCTATGAGAGGGGAGGGCTTAGCTTGGCAACAACCCGATACTTTGAGGCCCACGGAACTGGTAAGCGGCATTAGTGTAACTAACCACTGTGGGTGCATAGGAGGAGGTTGACTTTACATTCATTCTAGGAACGGTGGTGGGAGATCCAATTGAAGCCCGTGCAATTGGAGGAATCTTCCGTCAGTATCGCTCAGCTGATGACCCGCTGTACATGTAAGCACTGCACTTGGAACTCAATCTCGGGACTCGATGCTGAGTCAAATCACAGCGGATCCGTCAAGTCCTCTGTTGGCCATCTGGAGGGTGCCAGCGGCGTGGCTGGGGTGATCAAGGTCGTTCTTGCCTTAGAAAAGGGAATTATCCCACCCAATGCAGGCCTCGAGACGCTGAACCACCGAATTGACGATGAATTTCTACATATAAAGGTCTGTTTCTGGCACCTCTCATGGCTGGTTATTCCTAGGTTAACGACCGTAGGCCCCTCAAGAACCGGTGTCCTGGCCGGTCGATGGCCTGCGAAGGGCGTCGGTAAGCTCCTTTGGCTTTGGTGGTTCAAATACCCACATTGTGCTCGATGATGCCTTGAACTATCTCCAGATGAACGGCCTACAGGGCAACCACAATACCACCGCTCCATTGAGAACCATGTGCGTAGAGTCTGATCACACAGATGGGACTCCAGACGACACACTTGACGAAGCAAAATTGCTTGTCTGGTCAGCTGCCGATGAGAATGGAATTTCCCGCATCCAGGACAAGTGGCGATCGTTCTTCTCCTCGCTTCAGGTTTCAAACAAGGAAAAGAAAGCCTACTTGAATAACTTGGCATACACGCTGGCCCATAGGAGAAGTCACCATCTATGGCGGACCTTTGCAACTGTGAGATGCTCCGATGACTGGTCAGCTATCGTGGATAAGTTTGCTCGCCCGTGTCGGTCAATTTCTACGCCCAATATGGGGTTTGTATTCACTGGGGTAAGCTAGTTTACAACAGTCTCATGCACAATAGCTGACACCCTGCGCAGCAAGGAGCACAATGGTACGCTATGGGTCGCGAGCTGATAAGCGGATATTCCGTTTTCCGCGAGAGTGTCCAAGCTGCCAATCGGTATCTACAGACCTTGGGCTGCCAATGGGATCTTTTAGGTACGTACTGCACCACGCGGTGTTACTGATAATGAGAGTGGGGGGTGTATCTTGAACTGATTCAGTTCCTAGAGGAGCTTCAAAAGCCGGAGGAATCATCGAATGTGAACAAGACAGAATACAGCCAGCCGCTTTGTACTGCGCTTCAAGTTGGCTTGGTTGACCTTCTCGCTCACTTCAAGATCTTCCCCAAGGTTGTAATCGGCCACTCGGCTGGGGAGATTGCAGCTGCGTATGTCCTTCAATTGACTCTTGATAGTTCATCCTCATGATCTAACTGTATACAGATACTGTGCTTCTGCTATAGATAGGCATTCTGCTTGGAAGATCGCCTTTTATCGTGGAAAATGGAGCAGCCAGCTGGAAAAGTCCAGCTATGTCAAAGGGTCAATGCTAGCGGTGGCCTTATCCCCAAAGGATGTTGAGCCATACTTGAAGAAAGTAGCTGGCGAATGCGAGATCTTGAGATTAACTGTGGCCTGTATCAACAGTCCTACAAGTGTGACGATCTCCGGCGAAGAGGGGCAAATCGATATGCTCAAGTCAACACTCAGTGTAGAGAATATCTTCTGTCGAAAGTTGAAGGTCAAGGTCGCCTATCACTCCTTCCAAATGCATGAAATCGCTGCACAATATCAGAGCGCCATGGGACAGTTGGAGAAGGGTCCCGAGCACCAGGCTCCCATTGAAATGGTGTCCTCTGTCACGGGTGCATGGGTCAAACCGGAAGACCTAAGGGAGCCGAGTTACTGGGTACAAAATATGGTCTCCCCGGTGAAGTTCTCTGATGCTTTGCTCATTCTCTGCTCTAAGACGGAGACACCTAAACGGAAGCTTGATCTAAGTCACCGGCGGGCGTTGCCAATCCATCACTTGGTTGAGCTGGGCCCCCATTCCGCACTGCAAGCACCTATCAAGGAGAATTTGAACAGCGCAAGTCGGCAGTCAGTGGGGTATTATTCCCTTCTGGTGAGGGGGGTACCAGCTATTGACACTGTCATGGCCGTCGCTGGTTATTTGCATGCAGCTGGCTACTCAATCGACCTGGGCGCTGTGAACAATCTCGACAATATCGAAGAAAAGGGCCTGCTCAAATCATTGCCAGATCTCCCAGAGTATCCGTTCAACCATAACAAGATTTACTGGCACGAGAGCCAAATGAGCAAAAATCACAGACTAGCCAAGATTGCCAGAAATGACCTCCTGGGCTCGCCGGATCTCAACTGGAACCCCCTTGAGCCGCGATGGAGAAACATTATCAAGCTGTCCGAGATGCCCTGGGTTCGAGACCACCAAGTGAGTTTTCCTTGGTGTTCGATACTCCCCCATCCCTAAGCAGTATAGAATAGATATGCTGACAAGGTTCTTTTGATTTGGTAGGTCAATGGTACGATACTCTACCCGGCAGCGGGAATGGTCGTCATGGCCGTTGAGGCAGCCAAGCAGTTAGCCATTGCTGGTCGACAGATCTCAAGTTTCAATATCAAAGACGTGACTCTTCATGCCGCGATCCCAATCCAGGAGCAGAACGATGTGGAAACAGCCTTCCATATGCGTCCGATTAAGGAGCTAATGTCTGCAGCATCCCATTGGTATGAGTTTGCGCTCTACATGAATACAGATTCATCCTGGGTGTCAAACTGTACGGGCACTATTCAGGTTGCATATTATCCGGAAAAGCCAGACCCCGTAGACGGTGGCCATCTCGAGCGGGATCTAGCCAGCCAACAGATTAACGCGTATCTGAAAGCTAGCCAAGAATGTACCTCCCCCGCTGAAGTACAAGCCCTATATTCTCACCTGAAAGCCTGTGGTTATGAGTATGGTGCAGCTTTCCAACGGATTGCTGCCTTGAGTGCCAACCCAATGGACTGCACCTGCGTTACTGGTGAGGTGAGCAACAGGCCATCCACCTCAGATGAGACAATCCACCCCACAGTGTTAGATGCGCTATTCCAAACGTCACTTTGGCCGATGACGGGGTGTGGTGCCGAGGTCATCTCGACGGCCGTGCCAACACGCATTAAGAACATAGCAGTGTCCGTCGATGGCCTCAACACTATAAACCCGGATAATTTCAAAGTCCATACAAGGGTAGAAGCACCCGGCCACTCAGACATATCCGCGGCCATCACTGCTTTTGACAATCAACTAGGGAAAGCGGTGGTCGTCGTGGACGGGCTCAGATGCACTGCGGTTAGTGAGCTTGCTACAGCAGAAACACACAGCTCTACAGATGACCAGCTCTGCCATCGGGTGGAATGGAAACCAGACATCAGGCTGCTGCAAAACGATGACATTGGCCAGATCTGTCGACAAACCAGCGTGAACACTTCAACACTTGAAGATTTCTACATCGAAGTGGACTTCCTCTTGCTTGCCCGTCTTTTGGAAGCTCTCGAAGTTCTGGCTGAAAGGAATCTAACACCTAGCAAGCCACACTTTAAGAAGTACCTCGAATGGGCAGCTACCCAGAAGAGACTGTTCAGCGATGGCCAACTCTTGTTCTCCTTAGAACCATGGAAAAGCCGTTTCCACGATATAGAATATATTCAGGCCCTAGATACACGGCTTTATGAGAGTAACCCGCAGGGGAAATTTCTCGTGAGCTTCTCTAGAAACTTTACAAAGCTTCTGTGTGAGGAGCTAGACCCGCTAGAATTTATTTTTACCGGTGGTCTCATTGACGATCATTACTTTGATTCAGTAAGTCCGGCCCTTTGCATCTGCCGAATTCGAGATTAACATGAGAGATCCCAGATCGACCGGTCAAATAGCTCCAGTCGAATCACAGCTTATCTCGAGCTATTAGTGCACGCGAATCCGCAAATGAGAATCCTTGAGATTGGAGCTGGAACGGGGTCTGCTACGCGAATTTTCTTACGCACGTTGGGACGTGGACAGGATGATTCGAAACCCTCTAGATATGCTCACTGGGTATACACTGACATCTCGCGCTCGTTCTTCGGCGATGCAGCGGTCCAATTTGCTGCGGAGGGCGATCGAATGAGCTTCACGACTCTTGATATCGAGCATGATCCTGAGCAACAGGGCTTCGAGTGCGGCACGTATGACATGGTTGTCGCTTCATTGGTATGCCCCATTATGACGCTTTGAAGTTGCTCGATCTGAGTACACCCACTAACATACGGATTACAGGTGATTCATGCCACCTCAGACTTAACCAAGACTTTGACCCATGTGCGAAAGCTTCTCAAACCGTAAGTGAACAGGAAAGCGGCTCCCCATCGAAAAGCATACAGTTTACCAATGACCCGAAACAGCGGCGGAAAACTGATTATGAACGAAATGACCAACCCGGAGCGTTCTGCATATGTATTTGGGCTTCTTGAGGGCTGGTGGTTGGGTAAGCATCGTACCTTGTCTGATAGCAAGGAACGTTGGTAGAGACGCTGACAGGCAAAGGTTGCGAATCCTATCGTTCGCTGGGCCCTTGTATAGATGAACGACACTGGCATAAGCTTCTATTGCAGACCGGATTCTCAGGTTGTGACCTTGTCTTTCCTGACGTCGAGAAATCCACTTGCCAAGAGAATGCTTTTATCATTGCCACTGCTACTCAAAGCGCTCGAGAGACTGCCCGAGGCCCTCGGATTCAAATTGTCCATGACCCGATTGATAGCGTTCAGGCTAAACTTGCACGGCTACTTGAAGAGGGATGTCGAGACCTGACAGGTTCAACAGTCGAATGTGTCGCATTTGAGGAAACGGGGTCCTCCAATGATCTATTAAGAGTCTTCTTGCTTGAATATAGCAAGCCAGTACTGTATGATATGAAGCAGGAAGTGTACACAAGACTCCAGACTCTTCTCCTCTCTACCGAAACCACTCTCTGGGTCACTGGAGGAGGAGGAAAGGACTTGACAAGACCAGATCTGCACCTCATTGACGGTCTATTCAGAGTGCTGTCTGAAGAGGATGGAGGCCGAAATCGTTACATTCTTTCTCTTGAACAGCAACAAACGGAAGGACACCCTCACCACCAACTAGTGCTCGATCTGATATCGCACATTCTTTCCCCAGTCTCTCCAGTTATTGACTCTGAGTATACTGAGCATCAAGGCGTATTGCAAGTTAGGCGCATGGTTAGCCATCTGCCCCTGAACAGCGCTGTCTCAATCCAGACAAATCCACAACAAGCCATCATGAGACCATTGGGCTGTGGGACAGAATTGCGCCTTGATGCTTCATCCTCCAGCATGGCGAACGGTTTTCGGTTCATCGAAGCCGGATGGAGTGGTCGGTCTCTTGCTGCCAACGAAGTGGAGCTCGAGGTCAGCTACGTGGGCGTCAACTTCCGCGATATTCTTATTGCCTTGGGTCAGCTTAATGTCGGGGGCATCGGCCTCGAGTGTAGCGGCACCATTACGCGCGTAGGTACATCCTGTCATAAGTTCAAAACTGGAGATACTGTCGTTGGTTTTCTGCGCGACTGTTACTCGACACATATCCGGTTTCTCGAGACGGATCCTGTTGTCCATGTCCCCCAGGGGATTTCCCTGACTGCTGCGGCTTCTATCCCAGCCAACTTCATTACGGCATATATGGGACTGAAGGAGCTCGCGCGAATTCAGCCTGGTGAATCCGTCCTAGTCCATTCTGGAGCTGGCGGTACGGGCCAAGCAGCGATCCAGATCGCGAAACACTTCGGAGCCCATGTCTATACTACCGTAGGCTCTGAAAGCAAAAAGGCATTTCTAATGGAAAGATATGGAATCCCCGAGTCCCATATTTACTCGAGCAGATCCACGCTTTTCTCGAAGGCGATTCTCCAACAAACCGCAGGGAAGGGGATTGATATCATCTTGAACTCCCTCTCGGGTGAAAGCCTCATCAAGTCATGGGAGTGCATTGCCCCGTACGGTAGATTCATTGAAATTGGCAAGAGGGACATTCTCTCGAACACCAAGCTTCCAATGATCCAATTTGCAAAGAATACAACATTTATCTCTCTCGATCTAGGGTCTTTAGCAAAGGACCGCCCAGCCGCGTGTGTGTCTGCGCTATCAGAGATCTTGGCTTTGGTCGTGGAGGGAAAGCTACAACCCCCAAGTCCAATCGCTACATACGGTGTTGGTGAGATGGAGAAAGCGTTTCGACAAATGCAGGGTGGGAAGCATCACGGTAAGTTGGTTATTGAGATGCGCCGAGATGACCCAGTCATGGTAAGCCACGAAGCTATCCAGTTCCTCCATCCTTTTCACCAAGCTCGTGTCTGCTAACCTGGAAAACAGACCATGCTAAAGCCCAAACCAAACGCTTTCTTTGACCCCAATGCCACATACGTTATTTCCGGTGGACTAGGTGGCCTTGGTCAGAATGCTGTTCACTGGCTTGTTTCTCGTGGGGCGCGAAACCTTCTCCTACTGTCGCGATCCGGTGCAGACAGCAACCCCGAGGGACGTAAGCTACTTGATCAGTTACACGGCCACGGCGTGAAAGCCCTGGCTCCGGCATGCGATGTGAGCGATGCACAGTCGCTCCGCAAAGCGCTGGACGCCTGTCAATTACAGATGATGCCCCCGATCAAAGGCTGTATCCAGGGTGCAATGGTGCTGCATGTAAGTGTAGCCTGCGCTCCAAGAAGGTCTTCTGTATCCTAACCTTGCCATAGGATGTTTTATACGAAGACATGCCATACACCGGCTGGCAAACCGCAGTCAATCCCAAGGTACAGGGGTCATGGAATCTCCACGAGCTCCTGCCCCAGGGGATGGACTTCTTCATTTTGCTGTCGTCAATCAACGGGCTGATCGGCTCCAGAGGACAGGCCAACTATGGCGCCGGCAACACCTTCCAAGACGCACTTGCCCACTACCGGGTCAGTATCGGCGAGCGCGCCACGTCCCTCGATCTGGGCCTCTTCACCTTTGCTGGGGCGGTTGCCAAGGATCCCAAACTGAGGGAGATGATGCAGAACAACTCGGTCTTAGAGCCAGTCACCGAGGCGCAGTTCCACGCTTTGCTCGACTCGTATTGCAATCCTGCCGTTGCCCGGGATCTCGGGCTGAGTTGCCAGACAGCGATCGGTATCCACCCGGTCGTGATGGAGAGGGGTGCCGCACGGGCGTACTGGCTTGAGAAACCGGCATTCGGGCTCTTACAGCTTGACCAAACATCGCAGGGCGACCAACAGGGCCAGGCGCGCGGAGTGGATATCGCTGCTGCATTGCAGAGTGCCGCATCGTTGGCGGAGGCAACCACATTGACTGCGGAGGCCCTCACCCTGAAGCTTTGTCGGGTGCTCTCGCTTTCCGAAAGTGATCTCGATGGGAACAAACCTTTGCATGAATATGGTGTGGATTCGCTCGTTGCAGTGGAACTTCGAAGCTGGTTCTCGAAAGAGATGCAGGCCGATGTTGCTGTGTTCGATATCATGGGGCGCGCCACGGTCTATTCTCTCGCGCAGCTGGCAGCCGGTCGAAGCAAGCTGGAAAAGGGATGGACTGCGTGAGGTGAGGGAAACTATCTAGAAATTTATCCTGCAATGGTAGTCCTGGTTGAGTCTACGTAGTTTCTTTTCCATTTCGACACTCGAGGGATTCTGCGCGAACTAAGTCCACTTAAGTCATTATGTATTGGATAGTCGGGGCGATATAGTGGGTATTAACTACTTTGATTTGATACATAGTACAATCGATTTATGTCAGAAACATAACCAGGTTTGCTGCCCGACCCTGTGCAGCCTCAAAGGAGCGTGATATGCCTCCATCCTCGTTCTAACATAGAAAGATCCCCGACAACCTAATGACCATCTCTAGAAAAGCCCATCATATCCAACAATAGGTACAGAGTAATACACAGCATTTTTCTCACTCGTCTGTACAATGTACATACATACATACATACATACATACAGCAAATCAACCCGCCAGCAGACCCTTAATGCACGGTGATGTCATCCCCAAGATCGACATGAACAAGTGAGGCTTGGGCTCCAGTCTTAGTCACCGTGGAGAAAACCAGGAAACAGGGACATTTCTCTAGGCAAACCTGACGTGGCCGCTACTTGTACCAATCAATTGGAGTGATTGCGTGCTGTCTATGTCGTTGCCTCTTATCTGGTGTCTACTACACAGTATGTCCACTGTCCACTGTCCAACTTTGGGGGGATTTGCTGGCGGGGTTTTCTAGGCAACCAATGTTGGGGCGAAAAACAAAAAGGAAAATGGATTCAGTAGGTATCGTGGTATACTGGGGATTTAGGGGCCAAGTTAGTATGGTATACTATGGATGTTGGGAGTCATTATCGTGGTAGAGGAAGGAAGTTGGGAGTCAATGTCGGCCTGATATTGGGGGGGGGGGGGGATTCGGTTAGGGCTTGAGTCTGGACCACGCCCGACAGGAGGGGCAGACTGCAGTTGATCGTTCCACCGGTTCACATACTGTGTGTGCTGTTATCTTCATAGTTTGAAATTCTTTTTTATTTCATATTTTGACAGTCGTAGTTAGTTAGTTATCTGGAATATATATATATATATTATGTAAACAAACAGGGAAACAGAAACAGAAATCCGCCCAAAACAAATGCCAAGTAAGAATAGTAACAATTAAATCTATCATAGCCCACCCAAGTTTGAACACATACCAGGAGTCCAGGATCCCAACTACATCATCACACATCCACCTCGGCGGTTTTTCTCTCGCGCCATTTGTGTTTCCAGCTCCAATAACCGTGCTTCATACTCGTCTCTGGCGCGCAGGACTCGGAGATCGGCGTCTCGCTGGTGCAGGGCTTCCTTGTGCGCCATTTCCTTCTCGTACATTTCCTCGCGCTCGGCGTCGCGTTGTCTGCGCAGCTCGTCGATGGCTTCTCTGTGCGCCATGTCCTGTTGGTGCATTGCGTCGCGCTCCCTCTGCAGCTCGTCGATGTCCATGCGTAATATGCTTTGCTGTTGCTTACTGCTCTTCAACTCCTCCTCGAGCTCGGCCCGCACGGCCTCGATCTCCTTCTTATGATTCAGATCCTGTCTCCGCTCGGCCTCGCGCATCTCCTTGCGCAGCTCATTAAGCTGCCTCTCATATCTGGCCCGTAACCGCTCCACCTCCGCCTGAACCTCCTTCCCAGCGGCCGTCTCGCCGAGTGACTTCCCACTGGCCATCTCCTCCTGAATGCGCAGCGTCACATTCTGCGGCCGGCTCAGGATATACCGAATGATCTCCGTGGCAGACGCCACCCCATCATCCTGCCGGAAGACCCGGCTCCCGTGCCCGATCATCTCGCCCCAAAACTTGCGCTCCGATTGCAGCTGGCTCTCCCGCCTGACCTCCTTCTCGGACGGCGGGCTGCTCCACATCGTCGTGGCCAGCACGACCCCGTTGAGACACTTCTCGCCGCAGAGCTTCTTGAACATCATGAGGTTGCGGATGGATGCGCCGCCCATGCGGACGTCCTTGATGCGGTGGAGGTAGATGATCCCGGCGAGCTTGATGTTCTCGTTGTAGGAGAAGCGCAGCCAGTCGGCAATCTCGACCAGCACGTCCGTGTCGGACCGCGTGGTGTCGTCGAAGCCCGGCGTGTCGATCAGGAAGATTCGTTGGTTGTCTATTTGCGCTTTGTGGATGCCGACTTCTGTTGTGCCTTTGGGTGTGGGTTTGGTCAGTGGGACTTTCCTTACTTCCTTTTTCTTTTTTTCTTTTTTTTTCTCTCTTCCTAAAGGAAAGTAAACGTGGGGAATGGGGTAAAGCCTACAGGACATCAGGCTATCGCCTACAAGGGCGTCTTCGTTAAAATGTGAGATGAAGGTACTTTTCCCGACGCCTGTTATGCCCATGACGGCAATGACGCGGTCTTCTGGTCTGTTCCGTCGCAACGTAGACAAACAGTGAGTAAAACCGGTGAGTGGATCCTGCAGGGAATAAGAAGATACGTACGTGATATCCGGCAGCTGTGCATCATGATGATGATGATGGTCCTTTTTAAACATGGGGGTGATGGGCTCGTCCAGCGAGACCTGGGACTCATAGCCGGATTCGGACTCGGAGTGCATCTTGACGATTTATATAAATAACCCCAGCACACAACAATAATAGTTAATTGGACAAGAAGACAATACTTTTGAGTCTTCCGTAACCAGGGGTATGTGGGACAAGGGACTTTGGAACGCAAGAAAGAGAGAGAGAGAGAGAGAGAGGTTTGAATGAGATTAAATCATGAATTCCCCGGCAGAGTGAAAATAGGTGCATTTAAGCCCGGTAGGAAAGAAAACGGGGCTTTACTCTCTGCCTCCCGTATCATGGACACGCATTCCACTCCTTGACGTGTCAGGTAACATGTCTCTTTTTTTTTTTTTTTTTTTTATGTTTTGCTGCCTTATAGCGCTGGGTTAGTAGCCGCTGCAACACTTGCGTAATGAGAGGAGCAAGAGAGAGGGAAACGGAAAACGAACAACAAAACACACACACTATACCCACTTTTGCTTCCCAGGTCGAGCCGTTGGCGTATGGTGACACGCAGCAAGCAGGCGTTTTGGATCTGCTTTACTGGGGCGTTGCCAACTCAGTCTTGGGTCTGAACAGACGGGGCCAGACTGCCAGACAAGTCACAGCCCTTTGCGGAATCACTGCAATCTATGCCTGGCCATGTGCTGTTGGGCCTTGACTTTGGCCTTGTGTGCTGCCTCATTCCTTCTTTTTTGTGTTGTTCTTGTTTGCTGGTAGATATCTCGGTTTTGTCGTTTTCTTTTTATCTATCTGTTTGTATGCATGTCTTGTTGCCCTGTTTTCTTCCTCGTTTCTATATCTTCATCTTTACCTCTTGTAAATCACCCTACCTTCAACGGTTAGCCCTAACCACCTACCTCTCTCTCCTCGACAAACTAAACAACCCCAACTGAACACACCTACCAACCCTCAACTACACAAAAAAAAACTCCCCACAATGACTACAAAAGGCTACTTCGCAGGCATCCGCCGCAGCTCCACAGAGCCGATCTCAAAGCCACCCCGACGAATATCAGTGGCATCCGGTGCAAATGCAATACCAGAAGCGTCCTCCCCGCGACGCAACAGCCACAACGTGCACTTCCGCGAGAAGGACACAACAACAACCCAAGAGTACGAGAGAGCTCTGTCACGGAGTCTCATCCACATCCACATTCACATAGTCTCGTAACTTATAAAATGCTAACATACCAACCGCACCTAGGGATGACACGGTCGTGATCGCAGTCATGGGCGTCACGGGCTCCGGGAAGAGTTCCTTGATATCTCTTCTCGCGGATCAGCCGGTGGGCATTGGGCATAACCTGCAGTCTCGTGAGTTCTGTTCTTTCCTCCTCCTCCTCCTCCTCCTTCTTTTCTTGCAAAAAAAAAAAAGAAAGAAAGAAAGGTTTCAATGGTGGATGGGATGTGATACTAACAAGACATCGACGTAGATACAACCCACATAGACATGTTCAGCTTCTCCCACCCCGACACCAACCGCACCGTCATCCTCCTCGACACCCCCGGCTTCGACGACACCGAGCGCTCCGACACGGACATCCTCAAGGAGATCTCGTGCTTCCTGGCCATGATCCACGAGAAGCGGTGGCGGCTCGTCGGCATCGTGTATCTGCACCGCATCACGGATCCCCGACTGGGCGGCTCGGCGATGAAGAACCTGCACATGTTCGAGAAGCTGTGCGGCAGCGGCAGCTTTCCGGGCGTCGTATTGGTGACCAACATGTGGGGGGATCTGGAGCCGACAGAAGCTGGCAGGGCGCTCGGGGAGCGGCGACAGGCGCAACTGAAGGGCCAGTTCTGGAAGACGATAATCGCGCAGGGGGGCAATGTGATGCAGCATGATGGGTCGAGGGAGAGTGCGGCGGCGATTGTGTCGTCGCTGGTGAGGCGCAATGAGGAGGTGGTGTTGCATATCGTGCGGGAGCTGGTCGAGGAGCGGAAGACGCTGGATGAGACGGATGCCGGGCAGTATGTCCAGGCCGAGCTCTTGAAGATCAAGAAGAAGTATGATCGCGAGATCGCCGATCTTCAGGAGAGTATGGAGGAGGCCATGGAGGCCAGGGACGAGGAAACGGCCCGCGCCATCAAGAGGGAGAGGGAGGCGGCCAAGGCGAAGGTGGCGCAGAAAGCGCGCGAGTCGAAGGGCCTCCGCATCTCCATGCAGCAGCTCGTGCAGGAGAAGATGGCCGAGTATGATGCTCGTGCCACGGAGCCGGATAACCAGGAAGCGGTCCAGGGCCGTATCGCGGAGCTGTTCGAGGAGTTCAAGTCTGAAATGCGCGAGGAGATGCGCGAAGAGTTGGAGTCGGAGATGCGGGACATCAAGGAAAGACTGGCGAGGATCGAAACCGGCCCGACTGAGAAAGCTGAGCAGCGCGTGGAACAGCGAGAGGAAGAACAGCCAAAGGAAGAGAACAAGGCGGGCGGACTCATGGGATGGTTCTCCCGACCTCTCACTGGGTTCAGCCGAGCCTGAGCGAGTGGGCACGCATCATGATCAATGCTGGAGGGAGGGATCCTGCACTTTCTTTCTGTTAGGGGTATAATAATCTACGAGTTATGTATTTACACAGCTATCCACTGAGCGGACAATAATGCACTTTCACAAATGCACATGCTTCCATCCTCCGGTCGCGTCGATCAGCATTAGCCTTGCATCAACCGCCGTGTACACGCCCGCAAGGTAGCATAAGGGCATGGACGTCACGGGCCAATCACGTGGGGAGATATTAGCGGAGAAAATCATATGAAAGCGTACCTAGGCAGGAGCTCGCAACAGCCCCTCGAGTCTCGAGATGCTCGAGCTGATGTGGGGCTCGCAAGCTCTGCTCGAAGAGGAAACGTGCAACCGTGCAGAACACATTAGCGCATGCGGGGAAGACACTTGACTGGTGGGGAAAATCCTGGCTCATTTCTGCAGATCAACTGGCGCAAGGGTATACCTGACCTGCCTGGAGGATCCTCGACTCTTATAAGAATAACCAAGGCTCCTGACCCAACGCGCATGGCTTCCAGAGTTTTACTTTCGAACCAGATTCGCCACTATCCTTGCCATGATTGAAGACTTGCTCCACCAGATGACGCCCGGGAAGGCATCCCTTTGCCTCCTAGGCGTCTTCATTCTCGCCTGTATAGTGCGAAAAGTACAGGTATCATTGCACATCAAACGGCTGGGGGGTAGGGCCCCTCTGATACAGTTTCGCCTTCCATACGGCAAGTACTTCCCAGATCCTCCAAGCACGACTTCACTAACATGACCATACAGCCATGGACTTTATCTACAACTCCCTTGCTGCGAACAGAGCCCACAAGGACCTGGAGTTCTTCGGCAACGCAATCAAGACAGCCAAGGGAGCATCGCAGATTGACAGTCCCAAAACCGCGGAGGTCAGCGCAGGCGTCTCGGCTCGAATCATCTTCACCCGAGACCCCGAAAACATCAAGGCCATCCTCGCGGGACAGTTCGCAGACTATGGAAAGGGCGAGCCCTTCCATAACGACTGGAAGGAGTTCCTGGGCGACAGCATCTTTGTCACAGACGGTGAGCTGTGGTCGCGCTCAAGACATCTGATCCGGCCGATGTTTGTGCGCGAGCGGATTGTGGACACCGAGGTGTTCGAAAAGCATGTCCAGCACCTCATTCCCTTCCTGTCAGGACAGGATTCACCGACCAATAGCAAAATCGTCGATGTTGGCCCGTTGTTCTTCCGCTACACGCTGGACGCAGCTACCGACTACCTGCTGGGTCAAGGCACGGACAGTCTGCAGAACCCGACGACGCTGTTCAGCGAAGCATTCGGCTATGTGCAGCATCGCCAGGCCGATCTAACACGACTCGGGTACGTACAATCTTGCAGGGTCAGTGAGGGTCCACAGCCGATCAATTAACCATGCCACACACACATAGTGTCTTCAAGTTCGTGCTCTCGCTGAAGGAGTTCCGCCGCAACCTCAAAATCATGGACAACTTCATCCAGCCCTACATCAGCCGCGTCCTATCTCTATCCACCGCCGAGCTAGACCAGAAACTGTCCAAACAAGACACATTCCTGGACTCCCTAGCCCGCTTTACCCGAGAGCCAAGAGTCCTACGAGACCAACTGGTGGCAATCCTCCTCGCAGGCCGCGACACAACAGCCGGCACGCTCTCCTTCTGTCTCTTCGAACTCGCCCGGAACCCCGACGTCGTCGCGAAACTGCGCCAGGAGATCGAGTCGCGACTCGGCGTCGGATCCAAGGGCCAAAAGCCCAGCTACATCGATCTCAAGGAGATGAAGTACCTCAACGCCGTGCTGAATGAAACCATGCGTCTTTACCCGGTCGTTCCGTTTAATGTTCGTCTCGCGCTCCATGACACCACCCTGCCCCGTGGCGGCGGTCCAGATGGACTTTCGCCCATCGGTGTTCGTGCTGATACCCGCGTGATATATTCGACTATGCTGATGCAGCGCAACCCGGAGAATTACGATGCGCCTGGCTCGGCTCATTACATCGACCCGGAGAAGTTTCATCCCGAGCGCTGGTTGTCTGGCTGGCAGCCTAAGCCGTGGCGGTTTATCCCCTTTAATGGGGGGCCCAGGATCTGTCTGGGTCAGCAGTTTGCTACAATCGAGATGGGATATACGGTTGTTCGGATTCTCCAGGCGTTCCGGGAGATTCAGGCATACCCGGTCACTGGGAAGACTGTCGTGGAGGATCCTGTTCTTCGGTTTGAAGTCACCTTGAGTCCGGGGTCGGAGTTGAATTGTCTCTTTGTGCCAGAGGAAGAAGCGGGCCCTGTTCAATGAGCGAGTTTGTTTGACTTCCTGATCTTACGACTGATGAAAGGTGGAGGGATTTACCACCCCGTACAGTATAATGGGTGGCCATGGGTTGTTAATTGGGTATATTAATTGCTGGACAGTGTGGTGTATATAGCTTCTGTTTCGTAACTTCATTACATGCTGTGTGAATTGACATCGTGAAGCCCCAAGAGTCTGCCTCCCAAAATATGAAGTGTACATTTTGGTACAGTAGGAATGTGCTCGTAACAGCGAACACCAGTTATGGCTCTCAAGTTGACAGCAGGGCTACCTTGAGCTTGGTGAGCTTCTTCAGTCTCTGAAGGATCTCGACTCGCCGAAGTTCCAGATATAGATAGTCCTCATCGGCATCGTCCAGATCACTGGAGATACTGAGCAACGGCCTCTTCGCCGGAAGAATGCTGCCGTTGACCTTGGCTGGGACCATCTGGGTATTCTCGCTGTGCTGCACAGCAACGGGAGCATCTTTCTTGGTCTCCGGGGCGGCGGGTGGCACCTTGTTCCCAACCCACCCCCTGCTCATGTTTACTGCCTTTTCCCAGAGGGCAAATGACTCCGCACTTTCCTGGCGGCTAACCCGAGGCTCAAAGACCGCTCCCCCAGAGCGGTTGATATCGCGCAATTCGGCAAAGTTTCGCCAAAGCCCAACTGCCAGGCCGGCAGCAATGGCTGCACCTAGCGCGGTCGTCTCTCGCATCTTCGGGCGATAGACCGGAATGGAGATCAGGTCGGCTTGAGTCTGGGTGTGAGACGTAAGTTAGCAAGAAACACAATAGCCCAACAACGGTATCGACAGTGGGAATTGAAACTTAGGCCGCAGTGATTCCCGTACCTGCATTGCAAGATCAGAGTTGCTCATGCCGCCGTCAACCGCCAGCTCCGACAGCGCGTGGCCACTGTCCTTCTCCATCGCGTCCAGAATTGCCTTCGTTTGGAAGCAGGTCGCTTCAAGCGTGGCCCTGGCGATATGGCCTTTCTTCGTGTACTGTGTAATTCCGACTAAATGCTATCAGGAGCTGGTCTGAAATAGATGAGGGGGTTGTTTCTCACAGATGGTTCCTTTGGCGTCGTCAATCCAATAAGGGGCAAAAAGCCCGCTGAACGCAGTCACAAAAACACAGCCTCCGTTATCCTCCACCGTGAGGGCCAGATCGTTAATTTCTTGGGACTCTTTGAAGAACTCCAGATTGTTCTGCAGGAACTTGACTCCCGAGCCACCAACAGCGATGCTCCCCTCGAGAGCGTACACTGGCTTTCCATCAAAATGATAGGCTACTGTAGCCAGTAAGCCGTGTTTGGAAATAACAGGCTTTTCGCCGACATTGTACAGGAGAAAACACCCTGTGCCGTATGTGTTCTTTGCCATTCCTGGTGAGAACCCCTTCTGACCGACAAGAGCCGAGGACTGATCGCCGAGCAACCCATGATAGGGACGCCAGCGAGGATTCCATCTGAGATAACTCCATAGGCTTTTGTATCCGAGGATGGAACAATCTTCGGCAGATGAACTCTTCCTCGAATGTCAAAGAAGTCTAAAAGCGAGTTGTCGTACTCTAGAGTTTCCAAGTTCATGAACATCGTCCGTGACGCATTGGTAGGGTCCGAAACAAACACATTTGCTTGGCGACCCCCGTTCAAACAATACACGAGCCATGTGTCGATTGTACCAAATGCTAGCGTACCGCGCTCATAGGCATCCTTGACCCTGGGGACATTCGCGAGCATCCATAGCAGCTTAGACGAGGATGAATAGGTTGACAGCGGGAGGCCACAGACTTGCTGCAATCGTGACGCCCCTGGCTTCTCCTTCAACTCATTAACAATCGCCTGCGATCGAGTATCTGTCCATACGATGGCATTGCACAGTGGTTCGCCGGTTTCATAGTCCCAAACCACCGTGGTTTCTCTCTGATTGGTAATCCCCACCGCCTTGATATCATTGCGAGAAAAACCAGTGGATTCAAACTGTTTGACTGCTTTCTCAACACATGTTTCCACCGAAGACACCAAGTCAAGTGGGTTGTGCTCATGCCATCTGAGTCACTCATTAGCGGCAAGCAGTTGAACGCATGAAAGTCCAGACCCAAAAAAAAAAAAAAGAAAAGAAAGGAAGAGAAGAACAAAGACGAGGACAATCGAAAGAGCTCACCCGGATTTTGGATAGATCTGGGGGAATTCGACCTGATGCGACGCCACTGGCTCCCCTTCGCGATTGAAGATCAGGAACCTGGTACTGGTGGTACCCTGGTCAATCGAGCCTACAAAGACCTCTGACGGCTGCATAGCTAGGGCGTCTCGCGACCAGCGGAATGCTTGAACTGTGTGACAACCTCGCGCAGCTTTTCCAATGGACTGGTAACGAAAGCGACTAGGGGAAGTGGGAACGCGAGCAAAGACACCAGCCCTCTGAAGCAGGAACAGAAATAGCGACCGCGGAGAGTAAGCTGTCATATTACTTATATGAATCCCGCGCACCGATGACCGGGGCTAATCCTTCGGGTCAATTTCTCCGTTACATAGCGAATCAACTGCGGGGAATGCGCTTTAGATCCAAGGCAACTGCCAGTGATAATCGTGACACGATAGAGGATGGGACAATGACAAGAAAAGGGACGGGTGGCTGAGCCAAACCGGCACTCAGGTGAACAGGAGCAATGTCGCTCATTCGCGGAGGACAGCAATGAGAGGACGATGCTGCGAGGACCACGTTTCCAACTGGGCCAGTCAACAGGGGTCAGGGTCGTAAGGATTCCATACCATTTCCAGCGAGTCGCATATGCTGAGAGGATAAACCAATTTAGTTCGTCTTGGTCCGGGAGAAAGGCAAAACTAGAGTTAAATTGGAGGGGGGGCACCTGACGCGACGTGACCTTTTCTGGTTCCCAACCGCAAGGGAATTAATTCCGATCCGATGAATTCGTATTGATGCCTCCCTTGCATTCTGCCTCAGGATCATCACTTGCGATCGTCGCGGTGGAGTCCAAGTGATGTGACCCACCCCCACAAATTGCGGGGTTCATCGACCACTACTGTACCGACACATCCGATCGTCGATGTACTCAACCCTATCTCCAGATCCTGGAATCATTCCAGAACGTTGTGGAGCCCAATGCAGATGGGACAATTTCCCCTGCTCATGGGCCTCTCAGAGCCGCACGCTTTATCGGCCATAATAGATGCACTTCTTAATCCCTCTACAAACGAGGACCAAGTTCCCGGAAGCAACCATCGCCCCGTCTGGCATAAAAACAGCCAGGATGCACGTATTGCAGCAAGACAGAAATATTCAAAAAAAAAAAGAAAAAGGCGATACCAGTCCGACTCTATCTCTGTACAACCGGCGATGAGCCAGAGCTACAGCGCCTAATCCTTGCGGTCTGACTACCAGCCAAGTAGAATGACAGGGTGACACAAATATCAATAGGCTTTTTCTCTGCATTACCATTCGGCAACCCATCGGAGAGCATGACATGAGGCCCCGCCTAGACTCCTTGCAATTGGCGAGACCCGTCATGCCTCCCAATGATGTACCTCGAAATAGTGTTATTAGCCAGGTTGAGAATGTTGAACAAGTGCTTCGTACTATATACAGCTTGTGCTCAGGGTAGAGACGAGGAAATTTTATCCTCTTCCAGATGGGATGCTTCTTCAATCCCGTTCCCCTTCACTCTTCCTGTCCAATTTAGCCGATTGACCATGCATTGGCCCTCTGGGGGCTGTTCTTCAACCGGTTGCGTTCTTCATCCCAAGCTGGCTGGATCAGTCTATCCAAGTCTTCTGGCCACGGGCGAGAGGGTAGCCAAGGCTGTCCGGTGTATATTCACTTATGTCTGAATGTACACAGCAGGGATCAAGCGTATTAGACGCGACATGAGGTTTGAGTACGTCGGAGTTATTCACTGCGTCCTCTTATTAAAGCACTCTCGCTGCCCCCCCTACCACTCGACACACTTTCATGCATCTTGTAAGAACTTGACATCCTGTTCGTAGGAATTCTAAATATTCTAGATCCAATCTCATCAGCATGAAGCAGATCATCGAACATACTACTGACCACCAGGATGGCACGCATGTTGCCGTCCTCTCAACTGATAAGCCTCTACCTACAGCGCTAGGCGTCACCCTCAGCTCAGAGGAGAGGGAGCTCGCTCACCCCCCGCTCCTCTGGGGCAAGATGCGAGAATATATCCGCGAAGGCGCATCCGAGTTCTTCGGCACAATGATCCTGGTTCTCTTCGGCGACGGCGTCGTCGCACAGGTCACCCTAAGCCGCGGCGAGAAAGGCGACTACCAGTCCATCTCATGGGGCTGGGGGTAAGTCCCTAATCCCCCATAAGCACCCTACCTCCATATTGACACATGCACACCCAGCCTCGGAGTCATGCTCGGCGTCTACGCCAGCGGCATATCCGGCTCGCACATCAACCCAGCCGTCACGCTAGCCAGCTGCCTGCTGCGGAAATTCCCCTGGCGCAAGCTCCCCACCTACGTCGTCGCCCAAGTACTCGGCGCCATATGCGGCGCAGCCATCGTATACGGCAACTACAAGTCCGCCATCGACGTCTACGAAGGCGGTCCCGGCATCCGCACTGTGCCAGGGTACTCGCCGACAGCCACGGCCGGGATCTTCAGCACGTACCCGGCGGCCTTCATGACACGGACGGGCCAATTCTTCTCCGAGTTCATCGCCAGCGCCATCCTCATGTTCATGATCTTCGCTCTGAAAGACGACACAAACCTCGGTGCCGGCCCGCTCACTCCCCTGGCCCTGTTCTTCGTCGTCTTCGGCATCGGCGCCTGCTTCGGCTGGGAGACCGGGTACGCCATAAACCTGGCCCGTGATTTCGGACCCCGTCTCCTGACTTATATGCTGGGCTATGGGCCGCATGTGTGGACGGCGGGCAATTATTACTTCTGGGTACTGTTCTTCTTCTCTCCACCCACCTCCTTTCTCTCACCTCACCTATTACTCTTAAGGATGGCCGCTCATTGGAAATACTGACTAGGTCCCCATCGTCGCCCCTTGCCTTGGATGCACCTTTGGTGGCTGGATCTACGACATGTTCCTCTATACCGGGGCCGAGAGCCCGGTCAATACACCCTACATCGGACTCCAGAGACTCGTCACGCCGCTACATCCGAAGCACAAGGGCCTAGGGAGCCATGTATGACCACCTGGGCCCGGAAGAACATGCAGGCAGGCATGATGTGGGAAAACGATTCCATTCGGGGTTTAGACTACGACAGCCTGGACTTTTGCTACAGATGTTTTTACTAAGGAAGGGTTTGTCCAGGAACGGACTTGCGAGATTAGAAATAAGCCCCGGCCTTCTTTACGAATTTTCATGGTGAATAATGAAATCTGGGAGATTGATGGCTTGGGGGTGTTTGAGAGTAAGAATAAAATATAGTAGAATTGGCACGATGCTGCGTTCTGCGCTCTGCGCTCTGCTTTCCTTCTCGGAAAACTTGCTGTTTAGTAAAAAGCCTATCCTACTTCCATGTTTTTGTAGTATGCGAAACGTGACGGTCTCTCAAATGGTGGTGGTCTGATGACCAATAGCCCCTACGCTACAGATGACACCGTTTCATCCTTGGCTCTCTGGTTGTTGGCAAGTTAACTTAAGGTTGGACTAAATTAGTGCTGACCAGCGATGAGGATAGCGTGCACGCCACATCGGCTGACCATGGTCGATACCGGTGGATCAGGTTGCCTCTACCTCTCGAGTATTTTACCTTAATTTTCAACGCAGGGCGACGAGCGCTGCTCGTATTGGCGGACTGTGCTTGCATTGGCCTTTCTATGCTAACGGAAACCAACCCTGCCCGTATAATACATACTAGTATTCAATGGTCATTAATCATGGTAACAAGACATCTGCAGAAACTCAAGGTCCTATGTATGTACAGGTCGAGAACCTTAGTCGTGAGAGTCGTAATCTCATATCCCATTCCCATCATAAATGGCACCTTCTATGGCGCCTCATCTAATTCATACTGCCCGTTCAAAACATGACCAGCGCGCTGCCGACCACCACGTAAAGAGCGACCATAGGCAAAGGGGCGTCGAACATGGCATTTGCGGCCCCTACATTAGGCGCTATATGGGCTGTAGTCGTGGAGGTGGGGGTGTTTCCAGGACCATTAGAGCCGCTTGCATTAGTTGTGGAAGAGGCGGAGCTGGTGGAAGTCGACGATGGCGTGGTCATTGTTGATGAGCTAAATGATCGTGTCGGAGAGATAGTCCGCTGCGTGGAAGTGACAGCTGTATCTGTTGAGATAAGGGTCGTACGCGACGGAGAGATAGTAGGGTAAGTCGATGTGCTGGCCGGTTGGGCTGGGGAGCTAACTGATTGCGTTGGCGATGGCGTTGGCGATGGCGTTGGCGATGGCGTTGGCGAATTGGTGAAGAGTCCCGTCGAACTGAGGGTCCCGATGGTGCTTCTAGTGCCAGAAAGGGAAACTGAACCCGGCGACAAACGCGATGATACAAACGTAGATAGGCGACAGGACTGTGGAGACACATAGCTTTAGTAACCCATCTAGGGTGCGAAAAGGTTCGGGCAATGCTCACTCACTGAAGCCGCGCTGGGCGGCTGGACTTGTCGAGAGCCAGAAAATGTCCAGCCACTTGGCAGAGGACCTTGACCCCTCGATTCTCCCGGAGTGGCCGTAGTGGCTCGAGGGACCCAAGGCCAGATACTCGGGGTCACAAAGCTCGAGGTTTGTCGGTGCGTTCCACTCCAGGGGATAGGGATACTAGCCACGGTTGAGGTGATGGCCGGGGCAGATTCGACAGAAGAGATAGACTCAGCGGCAATGTTACCATTGATCTTTCCCCCGGTTGACTTGATTGACTGCCACGACCCACTCTGATCACCGTACGAGTACTCGGTGCCGGTTGAATAGTCAGTCACCTTGAGCGATTTCAAGTACATCGTGTAGGGGCCGGCATTGTAATCAGTCTTGCCACCTGCCCAGTCTTCAGATCAGTTAGCTTTGCAGAGCATATTGTATGACATTCGGTGGCATATAAGCAGGGAACTCACCAATAGTACCCTGCGGGTTGTTGGGATCACCACCAGCCCAAACTCCAACTTTAACCATCATCGGGGTTTGAGGATATTGATTGGTCGCCGCGGTATCCGGAGTCAGTACCCGAACGGTCTTGCCATCGATTTGCCAAACAATCTGTTCGCTAGTCCAATCGATAGTGTAGGTGTGGAAATTATCGTGGTTTCCCACGTTATCATGGGTAGCGCCACGGTTGAAGCTATCAGTGTTTCCCTTTCCGAAGTAGTTAGACTGGACTAAGACGTTATTGCCCCCGAGCCATTCCCAGTCAATTTCGTCCAAGTCGTCTGACTGTAGAACAGCACTGCTGACGATACCCGTCCCTGGGGCAGCCTTGATCACAAACTCGACATGTCCGAACATGATGTACCAGCCAGACTGTATTAACGGGGCATCGCCCTGTTTGGCCACCGTGAACTCGGCGCCATCGCTACCATACGTGGGACCTCCGACATCTGCAAAATCATTTGCTTGACCCTGGGTGAAATCAAAGGTACCTGACGTGCCATACGCAGGTTTTGGAGGGCATGCTTGATTGACGTTAGATTTGGCACCTGGCCGGGTTAAACGAGGACGTACTTTTGCCTAAAGGGTTGCAGTCCGAAAATGTCTGAGCCAACGCGGGTGTTGCAGAGGCCAGCAGGAGAACCGCCACATTAATTGTTGGCACCCTCATGGTGGATGTTGTGTACTAGAGATGAAACAAACAATAGGAAATGATGTTGCGAACACGCCCGTGGGGAACGTGAGTAAAGGGAGATCAGGAGGAGCGACTTCTGCAGGTAAAATGTAAAGATCTAGGAAGCGGAGATACGAAGGCAGTTGAATAGTAGATTAGAGCAGCTCCCAAAGAGTGTGTGAGAGAGAGTGCGCCTGGTCAAAAGTCCAGGCCCGCGGCGTTGTTCGTAGGAAATAAGTACCTACACAGCGCACGTGCAGAAATCCTCTGCTCTGGGAAGGTAGCAGTCGGGATATTGTCAAATATTGTCAAGGCAGTCATGACTGGGGTCGGAACATATAAGTAAAGAAATGTCCGTTTAGGTGGAAGGGAAAGTGCGGTGGTCTTCAGAGTACTACGAGTCGTCCAGCCTCCTCTCTTTTTCTCCCGCTTGAGCTTTACATCAATCTTGCTGATTATCTTGCCCGATCAGGCAGTTAGCGTGGTCAGTCACGGGTGGAGACGTGACTTCGTGGCAGTCATTGGTTGCAAGACAGGTGCTGTGCCACTGGATCTGTGGCGGGGTACTCATGATTGGTTGCTGTCCCAACAGCTCCGAACAAGGGACGAGATTAGGTCTAGAATGAATTGTCGATTCTCCCATGTTGTGATACTACTAGTAGTATCGGTACCTGAACCATGAAATAGCTCTTTGTTTGTTTTGGACCAGCAAATAAGGAGGTCAGACCTGACAGGCAAATACTTTTCGGGTGAATATCAGGCTTGGCTGAAGCGCGACACATACCAGTGCTGCAACCCAATCTGCTGTTTACATTCCAGCCGATGAAGGTTGCTGTCATGCCATGTGTTACGGTGCAGGCAGAACAGGACCAACAACCAGGGGCAATTGTCTCATCTCTCCCTGGCAATAACTTGTCTAATGTCATTCATTTGCCACTGGGAAGGTAAGATGATAGAGTCGCTGGTTTTCATTACCGCCCGTCCTGCTCCACCCCCAGCCTCCCTCTTTTCAATGTTGCATGTACATTGTACCAATCCTTGGGTGTCATGGCAGACCGCAGCGACTTTCGATGCTGTGCTATTCTTATACCAAACTTAGATTTGGTTCTCTCTCATTTCTTCACCTTCCCCTTTTTTTTTTCTCGTCCCGGTTTGCGCGTTTCCCGGTCGGTACAGTTTCCACTGTAACCTTGCTTAAGCAGCCTATCCAAAAGTATTCCCATAGTGACAACGATCTGTAATAGTTAAGAATATCTCCTCCATATAGTTTCAACAGTCTAGATCAATACTCTGTCAATCTACATTCGCCATCCAATATATACTAAATTAAAGTCTAAACTATCCATAAACTCAACCAGGCCAATTCTCATCCCTACATAACCACGCCACATCATGTCTCATAGTAGCAACTTACCCTGCACTATATTCTGAACGGGCTGTTCAGGAAAGGTCTGTGGGCGCAATTATGAGTACACTTTTTCGTTTTATTCCAGCTAAAATTGACCCCCTGCGGACTTCGTGAGATGTCCATGTATCCACATGACACGATTGTAACAACGTTGTGTTGACCCACAACCAAAGGGTAAAACTGGCGGAGCAGAAGGAGACCACCTCTCGCTCCACATAGATTTTTAGGTTACACTTTCTGGAGGTAATCTAATGACTTGGACAGTAACATGGTTAGTACTCCTCCTTCAAAACCGGTAGAGGTGAGAGCCTGTGGAAAGCTGTTGCTTAGCACAGTCACATGTTTGTTATTCGAAGCCGTGGCCGATGGCACCTCGTTCAAGTGTGCCAATCGGACATCAAGATATTAAGGATCAGGAGCTTGGACAACGGTTCTCGGCTCTTGGATATTTATTATGGAGAATGAACACTCAAATATCTCAGCGTCATATTTATAGTTTGTTATGCCATGTGGGAGCTAGCGAGCATAGTTCGGTGTTAGCGTTAAGAATCAAGAATATAATATATATTTGTTGCATTCACCACAAAGCTTGGGGTTTTTTGAAGCTGTATCACTGGCTACCTAGCTACCTGCAGAAAAGCTGAGGATACTGTTGGGGCTTTTCTCGAGGGAATGTTGTAGTAAACTCATACATAAGAATGGTGTCAAGTGCAGTTTATATATTTGCACTTGCAACAAGCTTGCGGGAGCTCGTTGCTTCGACAGGCGGTGATACGCAGTGAAATTCTCTTAGAACACCAATGAAAACAGTTAACTATGGTCATATATCTAAAATCAACTAGTAGAAGAAAACAGACCAAGTGAGAACTAGCACTAATCTCCTAGTAGAGGAGATGATTGAATCCAGTTGGGTTCAGTCGCCAAGAGTCTGACCAGGTCAATAGTTAGCCGCCAAGAGAAGCTACTTGACTTTGGCCGTCGATCGGATGTCCCACGTGACTTCCAATTTA